CAGGGCATTCACCATGTGTCCTGAATGATCCGGTGGGAGATTGCCATGTAAGTAACTCGATCTACTTTGCTTTTTAAATTCTCTAGATATACGATATATACTCCGAGATATATATTTAAAATATATCCACACATGAAGTACTTCTCATGCTTATTAATTAACTACAAATATCGGTCTTTCTGGTTCTCTAGGTAATTCTTGAATCGTAGATTGAGATATTTCCTGGTTATTTAATCTAGTTTAAGTACGCTGCTACGCAAAACTTTCATACGCCCTAGCATTAGGTATCTTTACACGACTATGGTGGCATCTGTTTCTGCTAGAAAGAAACTTGGTAGCAGGGTCATGAGGCTTGTGTTATAAAGTGCATAATGTTCGATATCACCTGGGTTGCTGTTGGGCGATGGACTCAATTCTTAAAGGTGCATTACTACAAAAATACTCAATAACTATCCTACACATACATAGGTGTCTAATGAACCAGGTAATATTTGGGAGCATGCGTACCTTTCTAAGCAAAGAATGCAATATCCTTGCAGTGAGGTACACATCCTTGCTCATAGAAGCCCCAAAAATATCGTTAGTATCTATATTGTCATCTGTTGATTATGGAACCACACGAATATTAGATACAAGGTGAATGGATAGGAAGGATACGACTGGTTCAGCGATCATAATTCTAAATTGCAAGAGTTGTGTTGGAAGGTACGGACATCAAGATGATTGAAATCATTGGATATGCACTATTATCGAAATTTCATGAAACAAACGCGCCCCGACCTGGATGATATGGCAAGTGTATTCCCTTTAACCGCCGATTTATAAGCCACAGCTTCAGGAGGGAGGTATAAGAATTTCTCTCCATTCAGTATTATCCACTGTTGCCCATCCAATGATATTATTGGACTCGACTGAGATGACTCGGATGTATGATCCCCACTTCTGGACTGAAAATCGAAGAATTCCGTATCGGTTTTTAGACATGAGTCGTTATTAGAAAATTTAATATTCTTCACCATTTCCACGGTTCTCCAGGTCTGTTGTATTGTGTATGTCGAAGTGTTCCAGAGTTGAACTGTATAGCCAAGGGCGATACCGAAGGCGCAGGCTAGTACGTGACGGTCGGACGAAAATGCGAAAGATGAAACGGGCCAGTCAAAACCCTCGAGAGTCTGTTGTAGGGTACCAGTTACTGTGTCCCAGAGTCGAACCGTGCGGCCATAGCAGCTTGTGACTACTAGGCGGCCGTTGGGGGAGAATGTCACCACACTAACCATCTGTATATGCACGAGAGTATGACGTAGAATCCCTGTTACAGTATCCCAGAGTCTAACTGTGCGGTCACGCGAGCCGGAGACTAGTAGCCCGCCATCTGGCGAGAAGGAAACCGAGTTAATTTCGTCTGAATGGCCCTCGAAAGTATGTCGTAGGACCCCTCTGGGGATGTCCCAGAGTCGAACTTTGTGCTCGAAGGGGGCAACTATGTACTTAGAGGAGGGAAAGGCCATGAGACGATCGTCGGACGAGAATACGCCCCAATAGCCCTCAAGAGTCTGTTGTAGGACCCCTGTGGTGGTGTCCCAAAGCCGGAGTGTGCAGCTAGCATTGCCGGATGCTAGTAGGCGGTCATCGGATGAGAAGGTCAAGTTTCCTGGGGTAGATGACTGTAGATGGCCCTCGAGAGTGTGTTGTAGAGCCCCTGTCGCGGAATCCCAGAGGCGGACTATGTCGTTATCATAGGCACAGGCTAGCAGGCGGCCGTCGAAAGAGAATAGCATTTTCTCAGGTGTGCCTGAATAGTCCTTTAAACGCCGTTGTAGGTCCCCTATCGCGGTGTCCCAGAGCTTGACTGTGGCATCTTCAGAGCCAGAGGCCAGGCGGCCGTCGGGCGAGAATGCAACCGAGGTCACACCAGCTGTATGACTTCCGAGAGTCTGTTGTAGGACCCATATTGTGGCGTCCCAGAGCCGGACCGTGCGGTCTTGGGAGCCGGAGGCTAGCCGACCGTCGGGTGAGAATGCCAGCGAGGTCACACCAGCTGAATGGCCCTCGAGAGTTTGTTTTAGGGCCCCTGTCGCAGTGTTCCAGAGTTTGATCGTGTTATCGTCGGACCCGGAGGCTACAAGACCGTCGGGCGAGAATGACAGCGAGGTCACACTAGCTGAATGGCCCTCGAGAGTCCATTGTAGGGCCCCTGTTGCAGTGTTCCAGATTTTGATTGTGTTATCGTCGGACCCGGAGGCTAGAAGACCATCGGGCGAGAATGACAGCGAGGTCACACCAGCTGAATGGCCCTCGAGAGTCCGTTGTAGGGCCCCTGTCGCGGTGTCCCAGAACCGGACTATACCATCGCCGGAGCCGGAGGCTAGGCGGCCGTCGGGCGAGAATGCCACTGAGATTGGACCATTTGGATAGCCACCGAGACTAAGTTGCAGGACCCCTGTCGTAATATTCCAGAGCTCCACCATATGGTTCTGGTGTCTCACCCCAGCGGCTAGTTGACCGCCGTCGGGCGAGAATACCACCGAGACCACATTAGCACCGGCCTTAAGAGTCTGCTGTAGCACTGTCGCAGTATCCCAGAGCCATACCATGCCGTTATGGCAGCCGGAGGCTAGGCGGCCGTCAGGCGAGAATGCCACCGACTTAACAACAGATCGACAGGCCTTCCAGGCCTGCAATTCTGCACCCCACGTATTCTCGACACATGGCATCTGAGATATACACCGAGGAAGATTTGCTTCAAATTGTTTCCGAATTATTGAATTTAAGGGGGCAAATACAAGCCCCGAGCAGTAAATTTGGAGTGGCAATTCATCAGCCATCTGGTGGGTTTTCAGAACAAAGCGTTTGGCGTCATATAGAAACTCTGATATTGTATTATGATTGCTCTAGTTAAGCATATATATCAGTGAAAGCTAAAATATAGAACCATCAGAGCAACTTACAGGTAGGCCTGTCTGTAAAAGGTTAATGATCCCCACCACTTCTGGTCCGAGACCTAATAGGTTCATTGCTTCCATCCAATGTAGAAAATGCGTCTGGAGAAACAAAAGAGTATCATGCATCAAACAATGCAATTCTGTGGATTTCACCAGATGATGTGCCCAATATCGACAAGAGTACTGCAATTCTGGAGAAAGATAGTGATTGATAGTCTTCTGATCAATATCCGCACGTTGTGTTGCATCACTTGGTAGTTCACATATGTTCCTTCTTAAATTTTGACACACAAGGAGGCACTGAGTGGTCAACGTATAGTGCACTTTCTTCTCATCTACCCAAAGTGGCGTCTTGTTGCGTGTCTCCGGATCAAGAAGATAGTCTCGGAATGACAGATGGAAGAGCCGTACTGGTAAATTATCATCATCTGGTACACTCAGAACCGAGTGTAGTGGCTTTAGTCTGAGATTGACAAGATTATGAGGGAGGCCAATAAGATTCGAAAGTGAGATGACGGAGAGGGGACTCTCTAGTACCACGATTGCACCAACCACTTGCTGAAATTGACTAATCATTTGCTTTTTCTGTTTCCCGCCTTGCTTGGCGAGAAGCTGTTTGAGCACAGGAAGGTACGTCCCATCAAGCTTAGATGTATCGTTTTCATGTGCTAATATTTCCTTGAGACTATCCTTTGGGTCCCAATAGGGGTCCTCAAGTATACGACATATGGTAGCTGCGAAAATAAACAATGGCACAGACAATGTCACTAGGTATTGAAAATTAGTCATTCCAGGCCAGTCGACAGGCAAGGAGCGATCCGTTTGTATAGCTGAAAGTCGGTGCTTTAAGAATAAGGATATATCTTGCTCTTTCACTGGCTTAGGAATTTCATGAAGGATCAGGTCTTCGTGTTCATCTGGCATCCTTGAGAATTCTTGGAAGATTGGCCATTCAGGTCTGCTGGTTAAGAAGACACGCACATAGACAGCCTCTAGCTTCTGAAGTTGTGATAGCAATCCGAGTATGAGTCTCATATCATCATCCGAATCACATTCATCCAGTGCGTCGATCACTATCACCACAGTTGGCAGAGTGGATGAAACTAAGCTATAGAGTGGCTCAAGAAGCAGTTTATCAAACTGTTCCTTCAGTCCTCTTTTTGCAATATCGGGGTCGTCTTGAAGTGCTTTCTGGACACCGGGGAAAAGCCCGGGAATGCTCCTTACTAGTTGTCTTGTAATTGTAGGCAATAGCTTCATTGCATTCCCCCGGTCCCCTTCACCCCTTTTGAAGAAGAAGTTCGCTCCGAGTAGATTGGCTTTGTTCAAAGTTTGTGTCATCGTTCTCGAGATGGTTGATTTGCCAGTCCCTGCTTTGCCATTCAACCAGAAAATGCCCTTCCCGGTCGGCGAACTAGCCCATTCCTTAATTTGACGAAGGAGATCTATTCTGGTGCCTGGGAGACAATAATCTTCATGCTGGATCGCATATGAGTCGAACTCAGCCCCCTGTGCAATCGACAATTGGCCTAGGCTTGTACTATAGTCGATTCGGTCGGTAGTCTGGCGCACAGCGGTGACGACAGTTCTAAATAGGTGTCAGCTAACTGCTAGTCACTGGTTGGGGCACCTAAATTTGGTCAATTTGCAAGGATAATGTGAAGGTTGATTTATATTCCTGAAGATCCGATGCGATTCCTTTCGCCTGCTTCCGTTTGATGGGCCAGGCTAGCGCGCGAAGCCCTAGTCTTCTCATAGCCTGCTTTCGTCTCCCTGGCTGAAGGATCTCTTCCAAGGCCTCCAGGGTTGAACGGCAACGAGTAATAGAGCTGGCGAGGGTCTGAGAGCTAGAGAGCTTGGATCCGTTGGGGCTTTGGAGGAGCACATTCAGCTCTCGGAGGACTCCTTCGAGATCCGTCACCGCTTGCTGTAGCTCAAGAATTTCGTCTCTAGCATTTTTCGCTTCCTGAATGTAGCTCCCGCAAATTTTCACAATACTCCCCGTTAGTTGGATGACCGCGATAACGCTAGTTGCAGATGAAAGTCCATCCATTGAGCAAAGTGGATACAACGAGGGAAATATTTCTGTCAATAAAGTTTGGGTTTGAGATAGTAGGTTGTAAGAGTCAAAAATCCATCGAGGCTGACTTCAAGAGGGGTAATTGTAACCGCCGTAAGTACGCCCAAATGAAGGTGTGCATTTTAGCGCAGTATATAGGACCAATCATTATTCGCTCTTGCCAGAAGCCATGCGCAGATAGAGACATATCTCAGGTAAGACAAGATTTCATCAACAGTAGAAGCCTCAATATTGAAACCAAGCCTACGTCTGAAAATATTGATTCTATGATCCCGCTCTCCCGATTTCTGGACTGTCCAATTTAGAATTGTCGGTTGAATTGTCGGCCCGAGCCGACCGGTTCAACCATGGAAACCTTCTGCGATGCGGCGGAGCAAACTCGGATGAGGAGTTTTTCCGTGCCAACACACGCCTGGGCAGCAAAAGGGGGACATATGCAACCCGTTGGTTCCCGTTGCTATGGTTAGCTTTTTAAGCATTAATTTTCCACCCTGAGAATTGAACTTACCCCGTACTAGATCTCATAGCCTCGTCTTTTTATCAATCCCTACCTAGGACCAGTTTGAAGCTTCGTGCTCGCTTTGCCGCAGCTCCACCTCAGCCGAGCCTGTGATGATGTTGGGAGAGGTATGCGGACAAGGAGACCCTGAAATGCGTAGTTTCTTGTGGGATTAGATTATTGAAGAAGCTAGGTTGATTTGGCACTATATGACCAAGAAACCATGATGTAGACCTCAGCACGAAATGAAAATATTGGGGTTGAACTGGTTTCTGTGGCTGTGCATAGGCGAGGTGACTATGTACAGAGTTGTAAAGTATGCATCGATAGAGAATTGCATACGTTTGAGATAACTGGAAGGCGTTGAAGCTCGGCCGGGAGACAGATAGTGGGCGTCGACGTAGTAGAGATGAAGAGTGGCTAGGTGAAGCCGGTGCGGGTTCATGAAAATTAGGATCTTGATAGATGGAGGGTTGATAGAATTTCTGAAGGTTTATCCCTGCCAAGAGAGGTTTGCACAGGGGGAGATGTCACGTTTTAATGCTTCAAGAGACCTTTCTAGACCCACATTCTGTAATGCTATAGTTTCAATTTGCTTATATACAATCGAGCGGAATGAACATGTCCTATCAGGGAGATATTCACGACAGAGGTCATGTCCTATACCTTGCCCCCATGCAATATAAAACCTCAAACCCGGCTCTAACTTCTAGGATTAATCAAATCCGCCGCCCGCTCCGCAACCGCATAAATAGTAGCCTGAATATTACCACTAGGCTCAAGCGGGAAGACGCTAGCATCAACAACCCTCAAATTCTTTGTTCCGTAAACCTTCAGCTCAGAATCCACAACACCCCCGATCTCCTTCGGCAGCATGGCACAAGAGCCTGCGGGGTGGAAACACGTATACAAGCGATCCTTAACGATATCCTTCGCATGGTCAAGATCGCTCAAACCGGTTGTATTTTCAGGCATACGTTTCCCGGCCTTAAGGAGAGTAGAGAATGGCGCAGTATCGGCAATGCGGTCAATGAACTGCAACTGCCGGGCCATGATCTCTAGATCGAGCGGGTGGGATAGCAGGTTAGGGTCGTAGGTGGGCTTATCTTCACTCTTTCCGGAGGAAATGTGGACCGAACCGCGTGAGAAGGGGTGGTTGTGCAGCAACATGATGGAGACGTAATTCTCCGGAAGAGTTTTGGCTAGCACATCCGTGAGGGTTGTTTTGCCCGGGTTCATGTGGAGCTGGGCAGGAAGGAAGAGGTAGTGCGAGGAGGGGTCATCGCTTTGGAGGAGCATCTTGCGGATGTGAGAATACTGCGCTTGCAGGTTGGTTGGGGTGTCATCGTCATTGAGATATTTGGAGAGCATGGCGTTGATTTCTTCCTTCGGCACGGCGCCTGTTCCATCCACTAACGGGAGATAGGCCATGCTGAGGGGCATGCCTGCGAGAGGGCCTCCACGCGTCTCCTCATAGAGCTTGATGAGTGCCTGGACGACGTTTGGATCGCGCAGGATATCGCCCGAGACCTGGCCATCGGCGATCTCGAAGTTGATGCTGGCGATACTGTGATCTTGGAGGTTCTCACCTACGGCGGGGTTGTCGATAATCACCGGAATGTCGTGGGTCTGGAGCAGATCTGCACTGCCAATTCCCGAGAGCTCGAGCAGCTGAGGGGAGTTCAGGCTGCCTGCGCAGAGGATAACTTCTTTCTTTGCCTTGATCTCGTATGAACTGTCTTGGGTCTTGACTTGCACACCTGTCGCGATGACACTTCCGTCTTGTTGGACGAAGAGGATTCGCTCCACCATCGTTTCTGCGAGCAGTCGTAGGTTCGGCCGCGCCGCGACCTCGGGGGAGTAGTATGCCGCTGCGTACCCTCTTGCCCCCGTCTTGCCATCGACGCTTAGTGGACAAGTAAAAGCGCCCAGTTTGTGGCCATCAAGAGGATCGGCATCGGTTTCCCAACCCAATTTCGCAAATGTCTCGTTCCAGGCCTTATTGAATGGCCCATACACATCTGGTAGAGATACGGGGACAGGGCCATCGGATCCTTGGTTATCGACTTTCATGTACCGGCCTGTACCGAGTAGTTCTGCTGTGGCCTCGCTGGGTGCAGTATACGAGTGGAATTTCCGAAGATAGGGGGCCATGTCCTTGGCGCCCCAGCCGTCATTTCCCAGCGCTTGCCATGAATCAAAGTTTGATGCGGTAGGGTATACAACCGCGGAGAAATTCAATGCGGAGGAGCCGCCCACGACGCGACCGCGGGGCTGGCCGATTTGTCGGTTTTTTGCATGAATCTATTTATGTATTGGCTTTAAGTACGAGAAGGTGATATGTAGGGAAGGCATACCTGCGGAACACTCATGTAATCCCAGTCAAAGTCCGGGTTGCCATACATCGTGGCCAAAAACCCAGGGGTCTCGATACGAGGATCCCCCATCCGATTGGCGCCAGCTTCAATGAGGAGGACCTTGATGGCAGCATCTTGGCTTAGACGATTTGCCAAAACGAGACCGCCGATTCCTGCGCCGATGATGATATAGTCGTAGTCATCCATGTTGTAGTTTACCAAGTTTCAATTACTATGGAGGGGAAGTGACAATTATAGAAATATTTCGGGAGGATCAAGAGTGGACTGACGACTGATTGACTGATTGACTGACAGCGGAGTAAGGAGTACAGAATTCCCATATTCTGTTAGCTTCAAGTTAGCCGTTACATATCTTGTTAGCTCCGTACTCCATACCCTGCCGCGCCAGCTCGGCCGAGAACTCCGCTAATGCATGCACGCCAGTCATAAATATGTTATTCTTTCAAATCCACACAAATAATTAATTAATGAAGAAGCTATGATATACATACTGACAGTTGATGACCAATGATTATTAGTATTGGTATTACTAACAAAAAAAAGTAACCACATGCCGTAGTTCTCGACCGGACTGGCATGGCAGGGTATAAAGTCATTTGCTCAGAGAATCGCTCATACCCCTCAGTGAAGCTAGAGGATCCACTCTAGAAACAGGTGAGGCGGTATCCTATTTGTTAATAACCGAGGCAATGGAGACAATAGGGAAAATGGTCTTTGCAAGTTTGACTTGGCTTCAACTAGTTGAACTAGTTGATGTTCTTTCCAATGACAGTCAATTTCTTCAGCCTTCAAGTCCTAGTCTGGTAAATTAATTTCGGTCTAAAAAAACGGGCCGCTATGACGGCCCATAACCTCCTGCTGATCCTTTTGTTTGGCCAATTGATAGCTAGTCGGAAACCCTAATGCATAGTACTTTGTACACTCCATGGAGACAACCGGTTTTGTTACCCTCGGACTGGTAGCGGACTGGGAGCTATTCTCGGTTCTTCAAGTTCATTCGCCTTTAATATTCTATGCTGTATAAAGTGTACAACATACGCCATAATTTCAAACTGATAAATTAATGGGAAAATGAAATTATACAATGTTTTCACCTTCCACATCGTGCGCGACCAGCTCATCGCCAACACAATCCTTGTCGCCCTCGCCACCCTCCTGGTAATATTGCGTGGTGTCTCCCGACGAATCCGAAAGAACCATATAGGATGGGACGATGCATGCTGCGTCGCGGGGTTATTTCACACATATGGAATGCTTGCGATGCAGTTCCACTATGCTCGGGTCGGGATGCGACACCATATCACGGCTATTCCGCCGGAGAATGCCGTATTGATCGCTAAAATGCTTATGGTCTACCAAATCGTCTACTACAATGCTATGGTCTTGGCTAAATTCTCTTATCTCACCTTCTACCTGCGCATCTTTGTGTCCAAGGAATTCCGCATCCTGACGTGGATCTGTATGGGCTGCGCGGGCGCATACTGGACTGGGAGTATGCTCCAAATTTTCCTGATCTGCACACCCTTCGAGAAGAACTGGAACCCAACACTGCCCGGTCATTGTGCGAGTCAGAATGTGGCATTTTCGACGATTGGAGCCTTTAATCTTCTCACCGATGTGATGATCATGGCATTGCCAATTCGCTTTGTTTGGAAATTGCAAATGTCTCTCGCGACTAAGCTGGCCGTGGTCGGAATCTTTGGATTGGGTATCTTGTGCGTTTTCCCCTTTCTTTTCTCCGTTACCCCTACCTCCCAACCGAGATTATCAATCGCAAAGTTTTAACGAGTACCGCAGTATTTCCTCCATTACCATCATCCGCATCCATGTTCTCACTACGGTCGATTTTACCGATCTGTCATACTCGATGATCTGGGCTGCTTTCTGGAGTGTCACGGAGCCTGCTCTTGCCATTTCAAATTCCTGCGCGCCCATGCTCCGGCCGATTCTTAAGGCCGCCTTCCCGTCCCTATTCTCCAGTGCCCGTGCTGCATACTCGACGCAGCCGTCAACGGGAGCCGTCCTCAGCAAGAACAGTACGGGGAAACGGGTGCATGGCATGGATGAGATGGATAGTGAATTTCCGCTCACGCAATTGGACCAAAGACCAGGATCAGCGGATGGAGGGTCGTTGAATGATCAGTCGCAGGATGGTCCCTCGCACTATACGCTATATCAGACCCATAGGTCTGTTGTTGGGACTCCTAAGGAGCTTTCGTAACATTTCCTTTATCAATTAAATTATCTTTGTAGATATTTTTCTCGCCCTTCTGGATGAAAGTGCCCATTTCGCCTTGAACTCACACGCTCCCTTTGTGGATAAACTATGTATTCTCTCCTCTTCAGTTGGTATGCGTAGTGGTATGTGCGACGTTGAAACTTGATGACTGAGCACTGAGGCTTGACAGTAGAAGCAGAGTCTTGACAGCCGATGAAGCTTTTCAGTCCGCGCCGGGCGAAAGGATCAAGCGGGTCGCATGATTTGTGGCGTTCGGCGTTGCCCAGGCGCCCTGTTTCACTCTTATGTTTAGAGTATGTTGTATTGTATACTTTACGTACGGAGTATATGAAACTCAAACGTCAAATCTTCTATGGATGATAGGAAGATGGAATTGTGAGGTACTCTAGTCATATTTACTTCATTTTCTCCGCTCAGATTCTCTATTGTCCAGGTACATCCTTTTGCCCTTGTACATAGCTAGAACATCAACAAGGGGTGAAACATCCAAAGAAAAAGAACATATATGAAATGTACCTCCAAAAAAAGACAAAGACTAGACAAGGAACATACTTGTGAACTAGACTGATTTACCCTCAGCTGCGGCACTGCTGCCTCAGGCAGAAATATCAGACTGAGGCCCGCCTTGCCTCACTTTTCCCATTTCATCACAACAGTTTCGCTGATATCACTTTGTATCGTTTTGACACAAGCCAATCAGTGCTTGGCCTATGGTTCAGCCAACCATACCATAAAATGTGGCTAATAGCGTGGAGAGTCTGAATCATGACCGAGACAAAGAAGAGACATACTAGATGAGTTCGCACATTAGTTTAGCTAGGGAGAGTAATCAAAGAGCACGATCGTGTTGCATTAACGCAGAAGAAGGATTCAGCTACGCCCCGTACTATTTACGAAATACAGATATGCATTCTTTAGTCTACATATACCACTGGCGCACCATGCTGCATGATACTACACAATTTGTGGGGAGTTCTTCAGCTGGAGCAACACGTACATAGTTAAGCCTATTTCCTCTAGGTACTTCGTACAGGGTGAATGAATTGCCCATGCATAAAATAGGTAGGAAATTGCCTGAACAATCAATACACCCCAGCCTCTAATCTTCTCAAGGTTGAAGGTTTCTAGAATTGGAGGAGCAGAAGTGGTCTCTCACCGCAATTTCTAGGTATTTATATTATAGTTTCTCATGCTATCCACGGATGGCGTACAAAGCATATAGCTGAACCTAGGTACATGGATTAAAGTTTTGTTGACACCCCATGCATGAACAACCAATCACAACTGCATTTGGGCGCGTGTTCATGTGACTGTGCAAGCTGAAAATCTGAATAGATCTAACTTGAGGTGCATCAGATTTCCGAGGTATTACGAGCATCAACCAATGAAGATCCGACCATCTGAAAATCTCCATCTTATTTACGGGGTACAGAGTATATGTATGTACTCTCCAGATATGCATACCCCTCTTTGTGACGAGACCTATAGATGCAGCTGTGCTCTCATCACGCATGTTGTCGTGTGGTACGGAGGAGCTGAAATTGGCGATGCAAGTGGATGTTCGTGAACTGGATCTGCATAGAATCATTGAATATATATTGAGCAGCCCCCAGAGAACAATTGGTTATCGGTCAAGCTTCATTTGGGTCTGTTTGAATTCTAGTCAAAATGGGATCTGTCACTCCCCAACGTTCTCCTTTGCAGATCTTTGATACCACGGCCCAGAAGAAACCCGACCAGCTCTATTGTGTTCACCCTGTCTCCTCGGATATTTTTCAAGGATGGAGAACTATTACCTTTGCAGACCTGGGGAGTGCCATTAATCGGATGGCTCTTTGGATCCAGGAAAATGTCGCATCTTCCGATGCACCGCAAACTCTGGCATATATGGGAGCCAACGATGTTCGATATTGCGCATTCATGTTTGCATGCATGAGACTCAGACACACAGTACGAAATTCAAACCTTCAGGTTATTACAAGGTTGTTGACCATGATATAGGCGCTGCTTCTCTCCCCTCGAAACTCGGAATCGGCCTCAAGCCATCTCCTCGGTACTACTGGGTGTTCCAAGTCTGTGTATAGTCCCGAGCGAAGTAAACAGATTGAAGAGTTGAAAGGGGCGAACCCGTCATTGAAAGCATGGGTGGCACCAGGTTTGTGGGAGCTGTTCGATAGTAGCTCAGCCCCTGCGCCCGTGGTAAAGGAGCCTGCAGAGGATTCAGAAGATCGCATCGCAGTTTACATCCACAGCTCTGGTACAACCGGTGAGTGCATATTGTTGTACATATCCTTGGCTCAACCGAGAACAAATCTTCTCTAACACGTCCTTTTCGTGGCAGGCCTCCCAAAGCCAATTCCAATGACCAACGGGTATTTCCTCGCACTTGAGCAAACCGGTCTTCTGCCCCTTCCCGAGAACCGAGAAAGCAGCCTGGTGGCCATAGCAGAAAGAGGTAAACTGATGTTTGTGATGAGCCCTTTCTTTCACTTCATGGGTATTCTAAGTATTATGCAACCTATCCTCTTTGCGACACCATTTGTGCTGAGCCCCGAGAAGCCCCTGACGGCAGAGCTTCTGGCTCAGATTGTTACGGACACCCATCCTGAGACATCTATCATTGCACCTTCTGTATTGGAGGAGCTCAGTCAATCTGAGCTCGGTATGCAGTCTTTGTCCTGGTTCACCTTTGTTGCATTTGGAGGAGCACCCTTGGCACAGGAAATCGGCGATCGCATTTCCGAGATAACCCACCTCCAGTCGGTCCTAGGGTCAAGTGAAAATGCGGTATTTGGAGCGATGAAGCACCAAGACAAAAGTGACTGGCAGTATCTCGAATGGAATCCCAATGCTGGATTTGACATGCGTGACGCCGGCGACGGCTTCTTCGAGCTCGTCGTCCCCCGTGGGGAGGGCCGAGTGGCTCACGCTGTCTTCCACACATACCCCGATAAGGATGAATACAAAACCGGTGATCTATTTGTTCCTCATCCAGAAAAGCAAGGGCTATGGCTGTATTCTGGACGCCACGATGATGTAATTGTTTTGAGCAACGGAGAGAAGTTCAATCCTACTACGATGGAGGAGATCATCTCCACCCACCCACTTGTTGCTCGAACACTCGTTGTTGGCCAAGGCCGCTTTCAGTCCGGTGCCATTATTGAGCCCAATTGGTCTTCATGGAGTGGTGAGCCTAACGCATTGATCGATGAGATCTGGGTGAATATCAAGAAGGCCAACGAGTCCGCCCCGGGGCATGCCCAACTTATGAAAAATCGTGTCGGAGTGTCATCTCAGGAAAAGCCATTTCAACTTACACCAAAGGGAACTGTTAAGCGACGTGTCGTGGTTAGTGACTATGCAGAGGAGATCGATGCGCTCTACGCTGGCGGCGATCAGGTCGATGTTGCCCAGATATCCAAAGATGCGACGCATCAAGATATTACTGTCTATGTAACTGCAGCCGTGTCGGAGATCTTGGATGTTCCTTCTTTTGATGAAAATGCCGACATTTTCTCATCGGGCCTCGATTCCCTACAAACTCTCCATTTGGGCCAAGTTCTTCAGGGCTCCCTAAAGTCAGCTAGACCTGGTTTGGGCCCGGTGTTTGGTAGCCCACAACTTTACTCTCGTCCTACCATCGCACAACTGTCTCGATACATTCTCGATATTCTCCGAGGGAACGAAGCGGTTCCTGATGCAGCCAATATTGAGAGTGATAGCGACCGGAAAACGAGAATCGCTGAGCTGATTGGAAAATACACCGAGGATTTTGGCAAAGGCCATGCAGTAATTCTCACTGGATCCACTGGCTCACTTGGAGCCTACCTGCTTCACGAGCTTCTGAGTGATCTCAGCGTTACCAAGATCTACTGTCTCAACCGATCAGATGATGCAGCAACTAGGCAATTGCAAAGTCTGCGCGAGAAGGGATTGCGCACCTTTAACAAATTCCCGCGTCGAGTGGAATTCCTCCAGGCTCAGTTTGGTGCCGAGAAATTTGGATTGGACGACGCAAAATATGACCATATGCTGCAAGAGGTGGACACTATTATTCACAATGCCTGGAAGGTGAACTTTAACCACAGAGTCGAGGCTTTTGAAAATCCCCACATCGCAGGTGTGCGTCGGCTTGTAGAGTTCAGCGTCGCCAGCGACAAGTCAGCTCACATTCATTTCATTTCGTCTATCTCTACCATTGAAGGTTACAGCTTGGAGAGAGGTCCTTCAATACCTGAGGTGATCTTTAATGATCCCAGCTCAGCACTCCGACAGGGATACGGAGAGTCAAAGCATGTCTCCGAGAGGATCTGTGCTGCCGCCTCGGCCAGATGTGGTGTGCCGACCAGCATCCATCGTGTTGGCCAGATTGGAGGCCCCACGACGGAGAAGGGCATATGGAATAAGCAGGAGTGGGTGCCATCTTTGATTGCGACATCCAAGACTATCGGACAGATTCCAAATGGATTGGGATCAGTTTCTGTGCAGTGGGTTCCAGTGGTAAGAATGATCTTGGCTGCTGATTTCCTTTATCAAAGTCTAATAAACCTGGATTACTTAGGACGTAACCGCGAAAGTAATCATCGACATCGTCAGAACTCGACATGAAACGGAGGATAATGAGCCATGTGCAGCCTTCCATATCGTAAACCCTCGGGCCGCAGAATGGCCGTCACTTATCCCGGCTGTGACCAAGTACTTCGACATGGAACAGGTTGATATCAAGACATGGATCGAGACTCTTGAGGGTTTCACAAATCCCACGGAAAGCGATCTCCAGGATAAGCCCGCCCTCAAAATTCTCGACTTTTTTAAAGCCATCTCATTTTCCGATGAGGCTGGTCCATGGACTGAGACTACTAAGACTCAAGCTGCCAGTAAGACGCTGCAACGATTGGGGGCAATTGATGCTCCCCTTATGGAGAACTGGATAAAACAGTGGAAGTTTTGAAAGGATTGTTTTACATGTAATGGCACAACTCATCTTTAGTTGAGGTAAACATTTGGTCTATTTATTAGGAAATACATCCCATATAAAACTTCAGCCTAGCTCTAAAACATCAAAACACTATCGGTTCGTAGAAAAGACCTCCATTAAACGCATCAAAAAACGTCTCATCTTTGTCCAATACAATCCTGCTTCAAAAAGCTGCGAAGAACATTCAGATATCTCACGCACCCCCTATAGCGGGTGAGACATTACTGGTAGTCTCTTGAATAAAGAGATCATCGAAGAGAAGTAATATCTTAGCATTGGGTGCGTATAGATTTTAGCCGTGCAGAGCATAAGACTAAACTGAGCCCTACGTGATAGTCCCTTCTTTCTCTTCCTCAAATCCATACTTAGTTTTAGCTCGTTGCGCAACGCCAAACTCCGGACGAGGAAAGTCAAAGGCACACCAACAGCAGCAAAGGAAATTCCGACATGCTACACAAGTTTGAAGCTATCCACATAAACACTCACAACTTACACCCTGATAACGAGCGTGTCATTGAGAGATGTAATAAATGGCCTGCTAGCGAGATTGTATGCTCCGCCATTCACAAGGAGAATCTGCACACGCGGGCTAGCAATGCGACCGACGAGCTTAGTGAACTGCGTGTTAAAGATGGCGGCGGGAATTACCCCAAATGGATCCGAAACCGCGTAGAAAAGCCTAGGTCGCTGTCCCAACTTCGAATTCTGGCAAACTGGCTAAAATCGTAGGAAGAGCGGCAATAAAGGCAATTCCGGATCCCAAAGCCAGCAGACTTTGATATGCTGCCCAGCACGTAGTGCTGCTGTTCTTCTCCAGGATGATGAACGGTCCCATGTCGATAGACATAAGCAGGAAGTCTATTATCAACAGCGGCTTGTAATTTCCGGTGACCGTGATTAGGACTCCGACGATAGCGCCTGGGATCATGAGAACAACGAAAGGGAATATACTTATTAGACCCCCGCAAAGCACAAAACCCACAGCCCGGCTTAAGTATGGCTAAGCGGACGGGAAGCCGTGGTTTCCACGCCATATAGTTGGATATATCAGGCTACGTGTAGGAGAGGAGTATATGTTAACATACTAGGAGTGGTCAGGTGGATGGCGTGTGCGAGATGAGCAACAAGGATAAGAAATTATAGCTGTGATACCCCTGGGGAATTGGAGTCTTTGTTTTTCACTGCGTGCTGGGCTACGCTAGACTTTTATGGAAGACTATTGTAAGTATGGATGACAGTATTGATTTGTATATTTCCTCATATCATATTGCCATATCTACGCCAATATAAATTTAACCTTTTACTTCCATATTCATACTTCCTAGGCTGATTTTACACTCTAACTACGCCAATTTATCGAGTGTATGTAAATGTTCCATCGGATGCGGGTTTTCAACTTCACCGTTGGTATTAAGGCGAAGACTTCCTAAATGTTTCAGTATCAGACAGCATATCATTCTCGAACGAATCAATTCCCCAGTAAGCTAGACGGAGTGAGAAAAGAGATATGACCTGATTCCGCAGAAGTATATACAAGATTTTTCTATTTGAAAAATGATCGATTAAATATACATAATAATAACTGGCTTCGTAGCGGTAACACCAAGCACTGTTTCCACCCACAAGAATCAAACCTCCAAAATCCACATATATAAGTACACTCAAAATGAATTAAGATCTAGCCTTAAGCTCGCTCAAAATCTCATCAGCAGCCTTCTCGGCAACCATGTAAGTAGACACAGCGGTGAAAGTACCAGGGATCTTGGGGTAAACGGAAGCATCAACGACACGCAGACCGGAGACACCGCGGACACGGAATTTGGAGTCCAACACAGCCCTTGGGTCATCATCAGCACCAATAGGGCAAGTGCAGGAGGCGTGGTGGCCCCAAGCGCCATCCTTGATATAATTCTTAATGTCCTCCTTGGATTGGACATCAGCACCGGGGAGAACCTCAGTGACGTTGACGACCTGGCGCTTGAATGCGTCACGAGCAAGCTCGATGGCTTCGTAGAGAGCAGTGAGATCGGCATCGTAGTCGCCAACACCAGTGTCGAAGTAATTGAAGGTGATCTTGGGCACATCAAGGGGATCAGCGGATTGCAGAGCGACGGTACCGGCGGAGTTGCGGGGGTGAGCCTTGAGAATAGCCCAGGTGAACCAGTTGTGTTCGTCAGTCGCGTTGATGCTGTAGTCGGGGAAGTAACCACGGAAGTTGACAGGGCCACCGAATTCGAAAATGTCGAAGTCATCGCCGGCCGTGGAACTCTTGTATAGCATAGTGGCGGCGAGCCCGGGGGATGAGTAGATACCACGGTCGCCAAGGATAGGAGACTCCCAATCACTGATACAAGGGTCGTCCTGGCCGCGAATGCTGAAGGTGCACTTGTCCAAGCAGGAGAAGTCCTTCTCGATCTTGCCCTGAACAGAGATCTCATAGTGGTCCTGTAGATTGGTACCGACACCAGGGAGATCCTTAATGACCTTGATATCGAACTTCTCAAGTTCCTCGGCGGGTCCAATACCACTGAGTTTGAGGATCTGGGGAGAGTTGTATACTCCGCCAGCAACGATGACTTCACGGGAGGCGGTGGCGGAACCGGGAGTACCGGGAAGAGCAGATTTCGACATAGGACTGGCCTTGTAGAGGTGCTCACCGTCGAGGAACTCCACACCAGTGGCGCGGGGTGGGCTTTCAGTCTCGTCGAAGGTCACCTTGGTGACGTGGGTGTTCATGCGGACATCAAGAGGGTACTTCTTGGAGCCATCATCATTCTTGGCATCGCGTACAGCGATGATGAACTCGCGGGGACCATTGCGGTGGGCATCATCGGTAGCAATAGGAATCTGGTAGTAGCCGGGCTCGGTGTCACGGGTCTTCTTATCAGCATTGGCATCCCCAAGTAGCAGAGTGCCAATGTTCATAAGGTGATCGGTAAAGTTACCGAGCGCAAAGGCACCTCCGGTGAGCATGCTCAGCAGCTGGGTATCCTTCAACACAATGCTGAGGGGCGCGGTTTCGGTCGACAACCAGCCGTCGTAACCGTGACCCTTTGCTGCGGGAAGCGAATAACCGTTGTTCTCTAGCTTAACGTAGTATTTGCGCATGTTTTCAGGTGTCCAAGAGTTATCACCGGTGATAGTCTCAATGTATTCAAAGTCAGACTGGTGGGGGTAGACTGCAATCAAGGCGTTGTGGGCAGTGCAACCACCGAGGGTACCTGTACGAGGATACAGGGTTCCCTTCAAGGTCGAGCCCTCGGGAGGGTTCAGGCCGGTGTATATCCCGCCATCAGGCGTGTCGTAGCTAGCCTTCCAATCGCGAGCCTGGCGTTCCTCATTTTCGTAGTGGTGAACGAAGAAATTCCACGCAAGCTTCTCGTCCTCGGAGGCCCTGGCAGAGTACGCAGGGATGGTGTAGTTGTAGTTTTCACCCTGGTCATCACCGGCCTCAAGGAGTAGTGTCTTGTGGCCAGCCAAAGCGAGACGGGCGGCCAGAGGACCACCACCAGCACCGGAACCAACAACAACATATTCATACCCGGTGATGTTAACGGCCTTGGCCAGGCCGGACGTGGCGACCAGCAGGCCAAAGATATAAGAAAGAATCATGTTGATAAAGAATGACTATGAGTGAGTTGGCCTTCCAAAAGAGGCCATTCGGTTTTTATACACCGTTTTCCCCTGAACAACCCCATTGTTCGCAGTGTTCTCCATTTTTACCAAAGCCGTTAGCCGTCAAAACTTGGCCGCCGTGCCAGTCACCACTAGCTTATGGCGATCTACCCGCAGACAGCTGAACCTAGTACCTTTTCAGGAACAATTCCCGAGCGATCAACGGTAGTTAAATTCGTACCTCGTACACCCCTGCTGATCATTGAAATAGGTCCACATGTTTCGGGGGTTTCTCCTTTCGAGAACAAAGCTTGACCAGCAGTTCGCTTCGCCAAGATATTGCGGTGAGCTTTTTTTTCTTTTTCAAAAATGAGATTGATTATGATCCCTGTTCTCTGGAGGCTTGTCACTGTGGTTTACTAGGTCCTAATCGAAAGAATGCAGCTAGTTCAAGATACCAGAGCCACTTCTGCAAACCATGCAAATACTAGGTGCTGACTAAGAATGAACAAACAAAGCAATCAAACAAAGAAAGATCATACAGCATGTGATAGGAAGTGACATAGTTAACTATGGAGCACAATATACGGAGTAAATATATCTGCAATGATGTGGAAAAAACAGGTTTTCTTCCAAGACCATAACCAAAGCCTCGGTTCCTGTCCGAAGACCTAGTGGGGCTCTGTCCTAGTACACAAATGATCATTCCTTTTGACCCTAATCGATCCTTCTAGACAGATGGCTGAGAGGATCGATTAGGATAATATAAATTAATTCATAATTTCTACCTCAATTCCTACATTATCTTTCATGGATCCCAAGAGATCAACCATCCAACATCCCCATTTGATAACCAGTACTTGGAAGCCAATGTCAAAGTTTTATCGATGTGACAGGAAGAACATCCTAAACATCCTAAACATCCCAAACATCCCAAACAACACAAACAACTTGGCCCGTGATCGACTTTGGCCGGCGTTCGTCCGGGTCGTTGTACTACCCCTGGCAACAATTTTGTCCATGTAAATCCCGCCGATCAGTTTGCGCTAGTAACAAAATGTCTTTTAAACGACTTAATACAATATACTGCGTAGTTAGGAAAGCCTAGGATTGATGATATTTGCCATATAAACTCTAGCATTCTTTTGTGAATGAACAATTACTATTATACAAGAGGTCTTACTCTTCAAGATTTAGGAAATATGTAGATTTATAGAGTATCAAGTATTTTGTGGTAGCATTACAGAGCGTAATTAGAAATTAGCTCAGGCTTGGTGGAGCCACATTGACAGAATTGTTGCAAAGGGGAGTATATGGCCGTGGCTCTCTTGCTCTAGGTATCATTGGCAGCTGCGAATACCGTAAGCTTTTCAATACGTTGCAATCTGTAGCTTGAAAGCCATACCTTAATCTTGACCGATCTCAATTTTAGCATGACGATAAAATGACCATTGTATTCCTTTTGCGAAAAACGAACAACTGCTCACCCAGTGAAAAAAAAAGAAGTAGAAAAACAAATATGAAGAGCCAACCCCGGCCTGCTCTTCCTCGGGTGCCCGTTTGGGCCTGATGAAATTTCATTCGAAATGCAATCTAAAACCTTTCTAGGCAGAGTCTAGATGGATTGTACCTTAATCGGTTCTACTCTATTCCTGGGCATTCTTGGCTAGTTAAAAATGCCCATATGTACCCAGTTAATCCAAAGGTAGCAATTTATCTAAGGCCTCTTAAATCAATTTAGAGGAGCTGCCCACAAATATCGTTGAGAAATTTACCTATAAATTTATTTAATAAATTAACTCGTCAAGTGACAGCAGTCAAGGGAAGATCACCAGACTACAACGACGACGAGACTCGAGAACATTCACAGTAGCATAACTTGTTTGATCTATAGGGATGGTTCTAAGCTTACTATGGTATTCTATGTGTACCTTCACATATGACGTCATGTCATTAGGCCATAGATATCGACGCCCAAGTGATCTGCATATACTCGTAGACGTGCTTCCGACTACTTATATGGTATTAGAGTGTTGTATCACTTATCACTTCAAATATGTGCTATGCGACCGGGTTGTTAAATCTTGTCAACATGGCGTGAGTGTCCGACTTCCTATGGGAATACGGAAGATCACCAGGGACTAACACCCTTACAGAAGATAACGACACTTTCCGTCCAGGAAAATCAATTCGGAGCTCAGTTTTTGCAGCCTCAAAAACGAAAAGTTGTCCGGTTCTATTAAACCTTTCGGAGAAAAAGCAAGATGTAGATCACATCTTATATTCAGTACGCGAAGCAACACTAGAAGCTACATACCCGGAGTGTTTTCCGAGTCTTCGTTGATGTGTGATTTTATTTTCAAAAGAGCAAACTAGCAAAGTAAGAGAAACCGAATAGTCTAAACTACATTGGACGACGGCTCTCGGGGTAACCCCTGAGTTCCTGTGGTGGATTTAACCTTTGGTTAATAAAGCTTGAGGGTACTACTAGTATATTTTAGGTAGGTGAAAATTAGCCTCCAGAGCTATACCTTGGAACATTGGTAAATGGACTCGATGGCTGCTGAATAGGGCATAGTAGCAATTCTTCCTGAGGTGCCTGCAGCAACATATAATGGGCAGCCACTCCCTCCTTTCTTTCCCCCATTTTTCCTTCCTCCAACCATCTTGCCCATCATCTATCCAACACTTTTATCGCCTCACCTGTATGTTTTATCATCACTGTTCCACGAGTTGATGGTAAGAGCTCCTTCCATGGAGTTTGAGGATGAAAAAGCAAGGAACGCAAGGCGCTCATTGCCTTGAGCCCATTGCATGCATAGTCTAGGGAAACCCTAACCCGAGTTTGATACTGTCGGAGTTCAAACAACATGAGCAAACTGGCTGGCTTCCGGTAAGAGCACCTTATCTATATTTACCAGACTGGTTATTCCCTGTCTAACATGAAGATGACGAAGCCTAATCACCAGCTTGATAGGCAAGTTTATCCTTATGGGGTATGAAATTTATGAGTCATGAAAGTTATGAGCTATGAGCGCTTTGTCTCGGAATTTGGATCACTTAGGTACCAGTGACTCCCGGCCACACTTGGAAAGCCCGCGCTTGATCAACACATTTGGCCGCACAGATGGAGCAAGTCATCTGGCCGAGGGGTCGAGTGAAAACTTCAAAGGTGCTGAGGTGACGGCCGAGTGGCCGAGTAAAAACGTCGAAGATGCCGAGGTGGCGACCGACAAACACCCCAAATGAGCTCCTGCAAGATGTGTATCTGCGGTACCCGACTAGCAGTAACTCCGGCCCCGAACCCGACCCCAAACGAGGCCTTGCAAGACATGTGTCTGCAATGCCAAACTAGCAGCGACCCCAGCCCCGAGCCCAACTGAGCTCTTGCAAGACGCGTGTCTGCAATGAAGTCTCACTTGTGTGCCACCGACGGGTAGCTGTTGAAAGGAGAGACGATCATACGACACGCGGTTAGCTCCAGAGAGGGGTGACATGACCGGTCTTCCATGAAAGCTGGGGTTCATGAAAGACCGGGGTTTCCTGGGACTGCAGTGAGCATCCCAGGGGATCCAACAGCCGCGAGCTTGGACCTCTACGTGGTGCTGTTGACTAGTAGCCTTTTGGTGAAGCCAACGCAAGCTCATATTATTATAAACTTCAATTCCCCCTACAGTAGGTATCCTGTCACTTCTAGACTGACCATCTCTCAGGGTAGATAGGCGAAGTTTCTACGCCATGAATACCCCAATCTCGTGATCTGGTAGATATTTGAAACAAGGTCAATTCTCTCTGATCAAGCGCAATGCTATCAATACGAGAGAACTGGTGTATCCGTGTGTCTAGTGCTTGTTGACAAAGGTAGTGGGAAGAAATTCCTCTTTGGGGCGAAAGATTTAGCCGCAAAGCATACAATGCCCCCATAGCTTGATGCGTTGAGAAGTACCTCGAGGCAACCTATAACTTGATGTGTTGGGAAGAATGTGAGTCTCCTTTTGAGCATATCAACTTGTAACATGGATACCCCCGGCGCATCTACTCCCCGTCAAACCTATATTGACTCTCTGCTCAGATGCACCTCCAGCGAAGTGGTTGAAAAAGATTAGGGAACGCCAGTTTTCTTACCATTTGTCGTCCTTCTTACGCTCTGGTAAGCCCAGTCCAGTCTCATTTCCGTGCCTCTTGTTGCTAGGGATTTTGATCTAGATACTATAAAAAGATCCCCTCAATCCAAAGTATTATACCATATATTGAGTAGCGAAGCTCACTTATCTATTTTTAATAGGAGCATATGTATCTTTCTAAATATGTGCCAATATAAAGAATAATTCACGCTATTCCTAAATCAATTTCCCATTGTTATTGTGCTATGATGAGATTTATCTCTTACTCAGGTAAACTCTCCAACGCGGTATTCGTTCACGTGCAGTCTGAGAGTCTTCCTCTCTTTTCTTTCCTTTTATCTCTTTCTCATCCACTGCAAAAGATACTACCGATGTCCAAATTGGATAAGAAAAGCACAAATGGCTTGGTCAGTGGTTCGGGACAACCTATGTACAAATATTTAATCTGACTTGGTCGGAGATGCGCGTCTCAAATATATTTCCGCGATAGTGATATTGTGGTTTCGGTCGCAAATTTATACAATCAGGTAAAAAACGAGCAAGGAGGTGGTGTTACAAAAACACGGGGTCAGCACTCGACATAGGATCCTACCCCGATTGTATGGCAAAGATGGGGCGGCATGTTCGTCTACCTACTCGACTAATTTTTCAAACTTGCGATATTTGTGCTGAGTACTAAAGTCAGGGTAGATGACAAACTCTTCTACCTAGTTCATAGTGACTATTCCCACATCACTAGCATAGGAACAAAACATTCAAAATGCGAAGGGCTAAAGGGTCTAACCGAGCGATATCATAATTCTGAAGGGATAAAACGAAATCATAGATCGAAACCGTTTAATTTAAATCGCTAAAATTACGGTGACGAAACAGATTCTTCTCGACATATCTATTACTTGCCCTTGACTAGCTGCTCATGCCACGCGGTTCGTGCAGCAAGCTATCTACCAAATGACTATATAATAACCTTGCCACAGAATATGTGCTACAGGCTCGAGTCCCAGACAGCGAGAATCTCATCGGCAACCAGCTGAGGCTCAGTCGCCATAACTGAATGTCCACTGTTAGTGGCCTGGACAAAGCGACTGTTACCCGACAAGCTCAGCTGCTGCATCTGCAGCTCACGATCGAAAACGTCAAAGCGACTCTCGAGAAATTCGTCCATCTCCTGGAAATGCTCTTTGGTACCGCAGTCACCTTCCTGGGCAGCAGTGCGCAGACGTTGAAAGTCGCGACGTGAGTCACCTCGAATAACAGTGACCGGTCGCATGCCCAGCGGACGCGTATCCAACTGATGCTTCTCTCCCAAATCAATGGAGCTTTGGAGTATAAGTGCAGCCTCTTTGTCCGTGGTGCTCGCCGCGGTCGGGACGCTTCCGTCTGTCGCAATGCGGTCCAGCTCTTCCTGAGTCCAGGAATTTTCACGGAACAACCCAATGACATCGGAGTAGTCTCGTTCACCGCACAGTGCTTGTATGGCAGAGAAGGGGACGCGAAGCTTAGGGTGTGTGTTCTCCTGGTTGGTATCTACCAACACCATCCCGGCTATTGCTTCGGCATCTGCAGCAGCTAGAAATTCACGCGCGATGATTCCGCCGTAGGAGTGAGCGACGACAATGTATGGCGGACTTATCTTCGCGGCTCGGAGAACATCAAGTAACTCTGCCGCCAAGTTGGCTGCATTGCGTGGCGTCTTCGATTCTGGGCTGTTTCCATATCCAGCACGATCATAGGCGTAGCTGCGGATACGAGGGTCTAACAGCCGTTGCACGGCTGCCCATTGTGCACCGCTGACCCCCAGTCCTGACTCAAAAATAACAACTGGATTGTTGGCTGATCGAGGGGCCCCTTTAGCTATTATGGACAATCGGGTCCCGTTAGGGCTTTCCACAACACCCTCTCGAGCCTCACATGACTCCCGAGTGTTCTCGTAAGTCATGGTGAAATTATTGGATATGACTTGATGGAAGGCGTGTTACTAGGGCAAAGAGGGGCTGGATACGGAGTAGTCCGTAGTTCCTTTTCAATTTCCCCGCAGAAGCAACAAGTGGCACCACCGTACAACAAAGAGCATATGCAGTGGTGCCACTAGTCTCTCCTTGGCCGATCCTCCCAAATCAATCTCCCGCCTTTTTCTTTCTCTTGGGCCAAGTTATCTCCAAGGTTACCTTATAGAATTTCTATCTTTTAGTCAATAAAAATCGGTATATCATGCGTTCATTATCTGTGTAAAGACCAAGAGCTTCTCCATGGAAAAAGTGGAAGCGAATATTAAACCCAGTTGGCTTCCATTCATGTTTGTAACTGCTTATAGGAAGCTACACATGTACCTGTGTACTTTTCGCGGCTTTATTAGTAGCCTTGAATATAGTATACGTCGATATATAACCGAAAAGAGTGATTCTATTTACTATAATCTACTGAGTCCTAGCGAGAGGATTAAGTAAGAAAGCATGCTCATCACCCACATATGGTGTCTCCTCTTTTGCCTTGAACATGCCTTGGCCGTGAAGTCCGCGATCAAGTTCCCTGGCAGCGATTCTTGCCCTCCCAATCTGTTTCTTGCGATAATCTTGGTACGACTTCTCCGAGATAGCCGAATATAGATAACGCGGGTGCACAACGATTACTTGTGCACTCTTCTGCCCAAACCCAAAAGATTCGACACAGAAAGCTTTCATGTCAGATGGACGGAGCTTGATGTTCTCATTCGTCAAGAGAAGCCCCTCAAAGTCCTGTAGAACAGGATCGATATCATCTGCATTTCGATTCCCGGGGATGATGCCCGAATGTAGAGCCTGGAGGGCCCCGTTCAACGCCCAAGAACCCGAAGCTCCCAGCCCGTGGCCCACAACAGACTTCTGAGCAATGGTATACATCGGGTTCCCAGGGTGTCGACCGAGATGTTGCATTTGCGCCTCCAGGGTCGCACATTCATTCTTGTCATTCAGTTTTGTGGCTGTCCCGTGCATACTGACAAAGGTAATATCATCCACAGAAAGACCAAAAACCGATAACCCTCCTGCAATGGGTGAAATATTGGGCTTGTTTCGCCAGTAGTTGTTACCCAATTCACGTAGGACAGTCTTTTTCTCGAAAGCCACCTCCTCCTGGAGCTCCCGGAGTCGTGCTTCCATGGCTTCGGCGCAGACGGGTTCTCCCCTGGACTCCATGAAGCTGATTTCTTCCCGCAAGGCATCCATGTCTGCCTGAGCCTGGCGTTCAATATGGCCCAGCGATGTGCGAATTCGCTTGGCACGCAGTGTTGGATTCATAGACAAGCCAGGTGCTCCAGTTTGCTTTGCTGCTGTGAGGATACCCTGGCCCGGTGCTGGGATCGATCGCCCTATCTTGTCCGCTGCCATGTGCGACATAGCGACAACTCCATATATGGGCAATCCCATTTCCAAAGCCAAGGATGCACTCGTTAATACTTGGAGGCCGATTCCTTCACTGAGGACGAAGCCATTCCGAGTGGAAGTGAATGGGCGTGACATCTCGCTCGGCTCTCTTCCGCGCTTTGAGTCTTGAGCCGAGTTTATGATCGCTGTCATGTTGCCGAACTCGTAGTAAATAGGTCGGGTAAAGACCTCGTAACCACCCGCAATACAAGCCTTAGATCTGCCACTGCTGATAAGCTCACATGCAGTGTCTACCGACTCGAGGGATGATGCGCAGGTTCCAGCAGCAGTCTTCAAGGGACCAGATGCAGAGAGAAGAAGGAGATTCACCCAAGCGCCAGCTGTTCCAATGAAAATCTCAGAAAGAATGTCTTGCTGAACCTCCCTACCCAACATGCGATGCTCATGCAATGCCTGAAAGGCTGTAAGTCCACCGGAACCAGAGGAAATGCAGTTTCCAACTTCGGAAACATGGATGTACTTGTACAACTCGTATACATCTGTGATTCCAGCGCCAAGGAAGGCTTCTGCGGTGCATACCAATGCAAAGAGCGAAGGTCGATCGGCCTGGGCCAATATCTCAGGAGGAATACCATATATTGCGGGGTCCCAGCCAGTTGGAATTTGAGCCCCCACGAAATAATCCGTGTTCAGTGCCTTGGGGATGAAGATGGATGCCCCACGTCGTATTTTCACGGTGGCTGTAGTCCCGTCATCCTGCAAAATTTCGACAGCGTCTCCATGTCGGGCTTTGAAACCTTCTGCTGCTTGCGAGGAACACTCGAATGGTGGTAGCTCTTCTTGGGTACCGACTTCGTGCAGCATGTTCCGCAACCTGGGGTTTGGGTTGCAGTGGTCATCTAGGTCAAGAATGCGAATTCCGGTATGCTTGCGAATTTTGCCTTCCAGCTTGGATTTCACGTCAATATCACTGATCGGCTCACCCGACTCGCACTCAATCCACCCAGCACCAACATTGTTTCCGTTGTGGAGGCGATGGCGCTCATATTTGATCATCCCAGTCATCCAAGCGAGCTCGATGCACCCTTCCATGGAGAATACTCCTTCAGCCTCCATTTCCCAGCGCGTCCGGGAACTACCCATTGGGCCGATTTCTGCAAATCCGGTAATCACGACCATGGAATCCAGGTCAACAAGGCCCTCCAACCTATACAGGTCAGGGGGGACTTGCTCATTGTAGCACTCTGGAAGCTCAGGATAATCGTTTCGGGGCCTTGCCCTAGGCTCTTGGGGCGCGGGTGGCTTGTTAAGCTGTGTGTCTGCTTTCGAGGAGATTTGGTCATGTAAAATCTCCTGCTGTATTCGCTGTTTGATTGTAGCATCTGTCTGAATTCTCAAACGCGCGGAATCCATGCACGCCTTCAAGTCTGGAAGCGTCTGCAATCCACCGCTGAAATCACAAAGGAGGGGTTGTACACTACACGCCTCGAATAAAGCAGGCTCCATCACCATGATGAGAAGCGATGCCATTTCATCTGCTGCAAATGTTCGGACTCCCAGCCTTTCAATATCATTAGCCAGGATATCATTAGCTTCCATCAGGCCAGTGCCTCTTGTCCAACCAATCTGGACACCGCATAGGGACACTGCATCTGACCATTGCTCAGAAGACCACTTGTTCAAAAGTGCTTCTAAACCCAACTTGGACTCAGCATACAGCCCATCTCCGCCGATTTGACCATGGTTTGGTGACAGTGGCAGCAGAACCTGTGTGGAATGGTTCAACACATGTCGGTCTCGCTTAGAGCTCACAATTGCGCCTATCAATCGAAGTGTATTTGTGAGCATGATACGGTGTGCAAGCTCGGACTGTGAGTCTAGGTCCTCTAGAGTCTTTCCAATCTCTGATATTGCTGCAAAGGGTACCAGGTGGTCCACTTCCCATCCCATATCGCTGTGGATATAGTCAATTAGTTTTGTGATATCCTGCACGCTTCCTTGATTGAATGGTAACAGAACCAACTCAGCTCCTGCTCGTGCCTCCTCAGCATACACTCGGGAGTAAAGCCTCCTGGTACTTGGTGTCATTCGAGTGGTACAAAGAGCGACACGCGATCCAGCTCTGAGTAGCTGTTTCACGAGAACAAAGCCAATAGATTGTTTTCCTGCGCCAATTACCAGAACAGTCCCGGTCATCGGCTTCAAATGTGGGCTTGTCTCAACCTCATGAAGGCGGTTTGTCAAATCAATGTCAGTCGTCCATGCACCATTCTGATCTTTCACGGACACTCTAATGGGACTCTGCACAATAGACAATGAGGAATCTGATGGGGTGAATGCCTCTTTGTTAGGCAGGCTCGAATACGAGCTTGGTGAATCACTTGAATCCCCATCGACATAATCCTCATCCCTTCTCGTTGACCCAGAGCCTGATGAGGGACTTTCGATGTCTTCTACTAGTGGACGCAGCAGTAGGAGACAGCCATCTCTCTCGGGCGTCTGTGGCAGTTGCTCCCATTTGTGGTGCAAATACTGGGCGCATCGCCGGAGCCGATCAGTGGATCGACTTTGAAGTCGATCTGATGACTTTTTGATCCATTCTTGCAGCTCTTGCTGTCCACTCATCTCTGTGGAGCCGGTTATGATCTTCGACAAAGTCACGTATAGACCTTGAACTGCCCAGTTCCAGCTAGACTGATACCGGTGGACCAATTCAGGGCAAAAATATGGCTCCACGCCTGAGATGAACTCGGGTCCAAGCTCCTTTGAAAGCTGATCAATCTTATGCTCTATTTTCCGGTCGTGCTCTTGTTTTTGTTGAAGCTTTGTCTCTGTCTCCGTACCCGACTCTGGGGGTGTAAAATGCTTCGCCATTAGGTGGGCAAGGTCTTGGCCGAACCTAGCCAGCTGAGGACTGGTGGTATCTTGCTGCATAGCTGGTTGACTCCGGTCCTCCGTCACAGCTTGAGTCAATGCGTGTTCCAACCCACGTTCTTTCATATACAAATGTGTCCAACGATTAACAGCATCCCATGATTTCCCATCATCTGGCAAGCGAGTGGTAATCTCATCAAAATCAGCAGTCAAAAAGAACGAGTTTTGGTGACCTTCTTTCAGGCCAAAGGAATCTCTGAGATGATTGCGCAATTTGGAGAGTGTAAACCCTGGGGCGAGTTTGGCTGATATCTTTTTGCCCAGCCATTCGTTCAAATATATACCGAGCTTGCCACTAAAGGACCTCTGCAAGTCCTGGCTAAGCTCAACCAAAGGGATTTCTTCCACCGCATCTGGGAGCTGCTCGAACTCTGTGACCAAGTTTCCAATGATCTCGTTTTGGAGTGCTGACCGTCCTGTAGAGTTGCTCTTGGGTTAGCTGAATCCGTGTGAGGAACATTGCAAGAAAGTACATACCCCTTGCTAGTAACTTGATGGAGTTAGCTGTATCGATACTTGCCCTCGAAGCTTTGAGTGCGGAAGCTACAATAGCTAGCAGGGCTTCTGATGCTAGAGGAGGCACATCATCGATTTCGGAAATCTGGCCAGTCGTCCCCACGGAAACCTCTGTATTGGTTGCAATGGCAGCTTTGATGGGTTCATCGGCCTTTACTGGCTCCACCGCCTCTGTCCCAGATACCCCGATGTCCTGTGATGGCAGCGTCGGCTCCTCCAAAACCATATCAGGCACTTTATGTACCCTGGCAATTTCTTCCATAAACGTCAAAAATTCTGCATTCTGCTCTCCGGTAGCGTCATTCGATCCCTGCGCGAAGGTCTTCTTCAACATAGACATCAATGTGTCTGCAGGTCCTATCTCGATGAACCGTCCATCGGGATCTCCATTGAGCAATGAATCCTGCGTGGAAATCCTATTACCACAAGTAAATTAGTTAGCACTTTTTCGTAGTTCTAAACTACCAGAGCATACCATTGGACAGGTGAGGAGAATTGGTGTCTGTGGAAGGCATGTTAGCATACATCGAGAGTTGAACGCATGGACTATACCACGTACTCGAGCAAGGTCAGTTATGTTCGAAGTACGCATCCGCTTCTGCCCACACACGGCGACATGCACGACTTTCAGCAATCATGTCCAAACCCATTCCTTGAAACTGACTACCTTGGCCAGTGAATAGGAGTGTTGTTGTGGGTGGATCCAGCACAACTTCAGCAGCCAGAACTGTTTCCTCTGATCCTTCGCGCTGAGCAGAGATGCTGAGAATGATCCGTCCTTCATCCATGGCGACATGCTTTACCAAAACTGTTAGCTTCTCGCGTGGGAAAACCACTGCCGAGAAAGTTACATCGTATTTGCGAAGTGTCATCACATTTGCACCCGGAATCTCCCGTCGGATTAGTTGAAGGACAAGGGCGATCGTGTGGTTGCCATGGTAGACCGGTACTTCAAAGCCCGAGAAACGTGAAAAAGTGGGAATAGTGTGGATTGGATTGTAGTCACCGCCAGCTACCGCATATTCAATACTGTTGTCTGGAGGGTTGATTTGAAATGTCATGCCAGTCTGTGGTGGGAGCCGAAGTGGTTCGCCCGTGCGGGAAGCCTCCCGTTTCATGAAGTCTGCAACAACATCGGGATGGGTAGCTTTGCACATGAGTTTGACCTTGCCACAGAGATGTTTCGGTTCCTGGAGCCAAACATCTCCAGTCGTGCTGGCGACGGAACTGCCGTCTTGCAATCGAGTCTCGCGCTTTATCTCGAATATGAGAGTTTGACCAACATTCAGCGACTCGTTGCCATCAATCAAAGAGAACCATGGTTTGGCCTGTATTGCTTGTACGTCCGATTCACTCCGTAGGGGCAGGATCCAAGTGGTGGGTTCACCAGAGTCAGAACATTCGGACTCAGCAGCTCGTTGGCCGAGCATCATAATTTGCTGGATGCAATCCATGATACTTGCACCTTCTCGCTCGTATTTAACATCGAAAACAACCTCGATTCCGGAGTCACGGTTATGCAAGGCGCGAATCTGGGTGGTAACCCTGACTTCATCACCCACAGCAAGCATGCGGTGGCCTTCTCTCATTTCAACCATGGTGCGCTGGTGTAAAAGCTTCGAGATATCCCAATCCCAGGTAAAGAGATGGCGCCATTGATCCATTAGAGTTAAGATTGTAGCATACTCAATGGGGACCTCTCCATTGGGACCTAGGGGATCCGCGGCGTCTAGTTCCCGCCCGTCAACCGCTCGCATCCATGCCAGTACATGGCTTTTTGATACAGTCAAAGAAGAGTGCTGCATGAAATGAGGCTTTACCTCCTTGGAGCGGATCATGGTCGGACCAAAAAGCACACTGTGGTAAAAGTCAAGTATTCGCTGTGTGCGGCCTTCCGTAATCTCCACAATAGGAGCATACGAACATGATGGATCGTACAAAAATTGAAAAGATAATTCACGGAGATGACCACCAAGCGAACATCTGGCGAGTATTGCCGCAGTAATAGTGCTTCCATTAATCGACACTCGCGCATCAACCAGGCCGGTAGCACGGTCACATATTTCTGCCCCACAATACCCATCTTTGGCCTTCTCCAGAAGCCGCACCAGTATACCTGGACGGGCAGAAAAAATGCGCCTGACTGGGTTCTCATACGACTGCCCATGAGAGACCAGTTTCTGGGCCCCAAAAAGGCGCCTACCCCATTCGCCTAATTGAGATCCCAGCAGGAGTAGCCATCTCTCGCTGCTCACAGCATCAAGGCTCCTGTCGGGATGTTGGATCACATCATCTGTAAGGTTGACATGGAGTGCTTCGAGAGCGTGCGAGAGGTCATGCTTGTCATCCAACCATGCGGCTGGTGGGGTCAACCGAGGTCCCTTGGCCAGATAACCATGGTGGATCTGGCGGAGCAAGGTGGAGACTGGTAAATTGGCCTCTTTGCAATGTTGGACCGCTACAGGTCCACATAGAATACATACACGGCCGGCATCCCTGTGATAAGTCGCATCCAGGTTTTCTGACTGCCAAAGTGGATCTTTCTTGAACCAGACAGGGAATTCCAAGTCAAGAACCGGGATGAACGGAACTGGCTTCTGCCTTTTTTGCTGACAAAGGTCCACAAAGTAGTGTGTGTCTTCTAAGGATAGGAAATGAAAAGCGAGATGTGGTATAGCGGATGCCACTGCGTCCAGTTTCTCTTGTGGGGTAATCGAGCTGTCGAGAGGGACACCACCAAAACGTTCCATGATCCGCTCGAGGAATGCATTAAAAATCTTTTGATATGATGGGAAAGTCCAGTCCCCTCTTGTATCGGGGTGCAGCAATTCAAGGAGCCGACGGAGCACATCGAAGTAGGTCATGTCGGCAAGATCGACAGCTTTGTTTGAGACATAGTCAAATCCAAACCAGACCTTCTGGTAGTCGTCGTTCAATCGGGAGATGAGATATTCACGGCGAGAATGAAGGGCTGTGATCATTTTGTCCTTGGGGAGTGTGAATAGGGTCTTGTCCAGCTCAGCCCACAGCCGCATTCCACGAGTAGCAAGAACATGCATCGGCTCTCCCAAGTGCGATATGACAGAAATGACACCCCCGGTACACCCCTTCAAGGTAGATGGCCATTCTGTATCAGCTACCCCACGGGCATTGACTAAAGCCTGCTTGGCGTCGTGACTGGTTTTTGCTTCCAGGGTTGTCATGATGCAAGTCCCGAGCAGAATTGCATCGAAGGGCATCGGCTCTCGGCCGAACTGAGATGACCACTCCCCAGAAATGTATGGCCACGACCCGTCGGCGTCTCCAAAGCCACTCCCGGCTACCAGAAGCACGTTCGATACCTCGCAGATGGCATGATACGTTTCAAGAATTGGCCGGTGGAAATCTTCAAAGGAGTGGTGCCCCCCTGCCCTTCCCCCGGTCCATTGTAGAAGGATTGGGAGAGTGGGATGAGATTTGGCAATCTCTAGTACCTGGTAAATAGCAGAAGCCGAAGCTGGCTTAAAGCCTATGTATGAAAGCTCCAGAACTTTGATATATTCAGCAGCAATTTCTGCAGATGGAACGCCTGCACCAATGACTAGCCCGCCAATCGGGCAGCCCTTCCGAACAAGGGATGCCAAGAGTGGGATCATCCAGCTGAGACCTTGAGGATTGGCGTAGACAACATTCACAGTGATGAGTCGACCGGGCGGAATTGATTTTGCTAACGCCCAAACGGCATTTTCCAATGACGGTGCGTCATGATAACCTCCAGTTGCCAATTCTGCATAAAATCCAGCGTTCATGATAGCTGCAACGAGGCCTGGATCGCAGGTTGTGGGCGTCATGCCAGCTACCAGAATGTTTGGCAAGCCCATAGCATGCATGAAACGGGACGCGACCCGCTCGTTGCTCGGTTCCTGTCGGGAGATTTCACTTGCCACGAACTCGACATTGGAATATTGTCGCGACGTTGGACCGATGGATAAAGTTGAGATGAGGTTCGCCGAGGGACTGTCCTGAGTGCGTGTTCGCCAGCGTTCGGCCGGACAGACCGTATATATCTTAGTCTGAGTTCCCGGTTTCATTTTGTTGATCACCATTCCGATGCCATTAGAACCTCCAGGTCCAAAGTCTAGCACCTGCCACCGCCCAGTCATGGGCTCCAAAGTCTTGGGCCAGTCAACGGGTTGTGACAGGCTCATTTCAACGAGACAATGCTCCAAGTTATCCGCCAAGCTCGGGTCTTTTTCAAGCAGTGAATCCAGGCCCCACACAGGTACGCGGATCTGATCCCTTCGAAGTCGGTGTTGGTTCGGCTTCTTTCGAATTTCGGTCGCTGCTTTCTGAAGAAGTGGCGAATGAAAGGGCAAATGCGAGGGAACAAATTGGAGGGAACATCGAGGTTGGCGATCACTGAGCGGGGTGTTTGCCTCGTCAACATCGGGTGATTGTGACGTTCTTAGCCGGCTAGCCAGAGCTACCAGACCTTCTGGACTTCCAGCTATGACAAAGGAATCGACATCGTTGAGGAGTGCCAAATGCACCGTCCGACCCTCAGGTAGTATGATGTTCATCTCGTCTATTGCTTTGGTAATCTTGGATCGTTCGAGGCCCGTGACGGAGAGCATTGAGGAGGGTGCACCTTCGCCTCGTCGCACACATTCGGTCGTCATCGACTGGGAGACCCTGGCCCCCTGGTCCCATATGGTACTCGCCTGACGTATACCGTAGTAAATATCAGACATGACAACATTGGTCAAGTCATAAAGCGAGGACCACGAGTCAGCCACCGCCATCCAAGCGGCCACGACGATGCCGACTGAATGACCCGAAAACGCCGAAAAGGACTGCGCCATTTCCCCCGGAGTCAATCTACACCTCCTGCACATTATCACATAGCGAGAAATTTGTAGGATGGCAGTTACAACGCCGGAGACCTCGGCAGGTAGAGCATGGCCGGGTGGCAGTCGTCGCGATGAGTCGGTGATCCACTCCATGAGGTCTTGCTGCACGTTGTCTGTTGACCGCTCGCCTTCATCCGAGGCAAAGGAGCGCATGGTCTGACTGCAGCGCTGGAGGAATTCTTCGAGGTCATCTTTGTGCAGAGCATAGAGATCTCGTAAATCTTTCAATGGCAGCCTCGTGAAACCGACACCCCCCCATACAGCCAGAATGGGGGTTTCGCTCCCGAGATAGAGAGTTCCTCCTCCAGTAGGTGGTACTATATTACTCTTAGACATCTCAGTAAACAACGCGTGGAAGTTTCAAAGTTGATAAGATTGAAGTACAAAGCTGATGCAACGGCTTGCAGCACTTACAAAAGGAGAGCACGGGCACTATGACATGACTAAGTTTACTTGTATCATTGATCATATCCTAAGAAAATACCGATCAACGACAAGGCAAAGCAGTGTGGTGTCGCTCCTGGAGGCTGAAACCGTGCTGGGTGGAATCACATATGGTGGTGCCACTTTAACTAGCACATAAAAGTACCACCACACCACTGCATTGTGCATGATCTTCGATGCATTTGCATTGCATCTACGAGATCAGAGTTGATTTCTCCCTTTCTTCGATCTTCCTAGGTTGATCTGCCTCATCCGAATCATCAGCCTTCTCTGTCCTCAGACCCTGCGTGGTGTCTAATGCCCGATCTACATCGTAGCTTTCTGTCCCGAAGCTTAACAACATAGCTAGGCCACACAAACCACAACATATTGCCCAAACAATCCGCAAACTATCAGCGTATGCTTGTTTGAGATCAGACTTATCCTGACCATCTGACATGTCCCGGATCACCTGCACAAGTCCAGAGGCATCCTGACTGTACTCCACCGCCCTTAGTGCCAACGCAGGGTATTGTTGCAAATTTTTGAGCATCTGATTCTGAAATACAACTCCACCAATAGCCACTCCTATTGCTTGCCCTAGCGACTTGAGAAAACTGAAAAGGGCGACGGCGATTGCAAGATGCTCGCTATCCACCGAGGCCTGCACCGCAAAGGCCAAGGCTGGAAATAGTATTCCCAGCCCCAACCCACCCACAAGGTTCAGGAATACCCAAGCTGGAACTGAGGTATTGATGTCCATCAAGCACATTATGCCTAATCCAAGTGTTGATGTCGCCCATCCCAACCAGATAGCCCACCTGTAAGAGCCAAAGCGAGTGATCAAGAACCCCACCACAACGGATGATGGAGCGGTCGTGAAAGTTATAGGAAAGAGGGCCACTCCGGAGATAATTGGAGTGTATCCTTTGACCGCCTCATAGTACAGAGGTAAGTAGTAGAGAATACACCAAAGTACCATACCATGTAGAATGTCTGTGACATAGGATATAATAATGCTCCGGTTTTGGAAAACAGTGACTGGAATGATAGGGTTTGCTGTACCCTTGGCTTCATAGACAGCAAATGTTATCAAGCCAACAATTCCAACAATCAGTGGAACTAGCGTGTGCCAGGATGACCAACTGTAGAGAACTCCTCCCCAGGTTAACGGAATCAGGAAGGAGGATATACTCCCTACAAAGAGGACAGTTCCCGTAAAGTCGACCCCACTAAGCTTTTTTAGAACCGAGCCAGGCAATCGAACCAATTTGAGGAATAGGAGAACCAGTATACCACCGATACCGATGAAAGGGAAGTTGATATAGAAGATCCATCGCTGCAGTTGGTCGGAGTCAATCAGTTTCCCTGTTAACAACGTTTACCTCATGAAGTAGAGCAAGGCTTACCCAGTTGACGCTTTGAGCAAATCCTCCACCAAGAATTGGTCCAGTGACTGACCCAACAGCCCACATAGCACTGAGAATGCCAAAGTATTGTCCTCGTAGACGCAGGGGAATGATGTCGGTGATGATAATTTCAGTCATTGCATTGATTCCACCACCACCAACACCTTGGAATGAACGACCGATAATCAGAGATGTGAAATCTTTCGCGAGACAAGCAATGATAGCGCCCACAAAGAAGAATGTTAGGGCGGTCATAATAAGCACCTTACGGCCGAAGATATTGGAAAAGGCAGCAAAATTGGGTTGGAACACTAGCAAGCAAAGCGTTAATCAAAGCTAGGGACAGTCTAGTTGTTTGTTGGAGCTTCCTACCCGTCGATGCTAGTAGAAATGAGGTCCCAGTCCAGAATGTCTCAATCGCGCTTCCATGGAGCTCATGTGAAATGATCTGCACCCTCTGTGTCAGACCAATATATTCTTTCGGAGGTCGCTCTGGGTTCTTACCGGCAATGCCACGGAAATGGATGTTCCATCCAAAGCTGACATCAAACTGAGAGTCGCAAGAGAAAAGAACACCAATACTCTTGTCTTGGTCAATTTTGAGTCGTCGGGTAAAGCGTCTGCCATATTGACGATTTCGTATGTATATCAAACCAAGCCTACCAAGTCACCTTACTAGATGTACAGTGAGTGGATGATTTGGAGCGCAGTTCAAGTTAATGAGAAAATGCGTGCCAGTTTGAAATACATACCTTGGTATTTATTTCACCTGACTTGACCGAAGATCCACCCCTTTCGTGGACATCCTATAAACGGGTAAATGATACTGCAATGAAATGCCAGGTATTCATTTTCCAATTAAATACATGTTTCTTTTTTTCAAAAAGGAAAATTCGCTGTAGAGATTGATTGTATACTCCATTGATCTGCCCGACACTGAAATTTGCTACGTCTTGGATTCAAGAAGATTAAATTTCTAAAAACTGGAAGCAAGGATAGGAACTACTGTGCTATGCACTGGGTCGTGGATTAATCCAACATGAGTGAACTTTGCAGATCATTAGAATGGTCACACCAGGTGTGTCCACCCTTTGGCAAAGGGTTTATGCAGTGGCACCACCATACAATGCAAATCATTTGGCGCTATCAAAAGGGTATTATCAACACTCTAAGTCCAGGTGGTTATGTGTAAAGTCTCCGAATCACCTTGTTGTAAGTATTGCTAAGCTTGGAACATATCATCTAGCTCACAATATCAGGACCAAAAAAATCATCCGAATCCATATTTAGCAACCTGGACATATGGCGGGGTTTGAAGATGCCAGGATGGGCTATTCCAGCGTCATCGAGCAGTCAAAACCAAATAATTGTAATGGGGAACATACTGGAAGCCTGAACGAGCAACAGTTGATTGTCTTGCGAGAGATTTGGGCAGATATCTTGGATATCGACGTTGAGGACATCGATCAAGATGCGCACTTTTTTGAACTGGGTGGTGATTCATTAGCGGCAGCGGAGGTAGTGAGAGCAGCCGCATCGCAAGGAATGCAGATCACCCGCGGACAGATCTTCGCAGCGCCCACATTCTCTGACATGGCATCTCTCATATCTTTTGGAGAGCCTGGTGCATGGGAGGAACCTTCGAGCAGCCTAGCCCCGTTCGCCCTCATTGATAGTGATGTATCCTTGATTCGGCAGTTGGCCGCAGAGCAGTGCGGTATTTCTCCGGAGGAAATTGAAGATTTGTACCCGACGACCGCATTGCAGGCTGGCCTCATGGCTCGGTCCATTAGTGTACCAGGTGTATACATGTCTGCGTGGCTCTTTCAGAGCGTCCACCCCGTGGACCCAGTATGGCTCACAGGTATACTGCAGCGAGTGGTGCAAAAGCTGCCCATACTGCGAACTGCAATGGTGACCTCGGAGGAACACACCTTTATGCAGGCTGTCCTGCCACTACCTGCTACCATCGATACCATCCGAGTGCGTTCTATTTCAGAACTTAACATTGAAAACCGCAAGCCTGCCATGACGGTGGGTCGCCCTCTCACAAAGTTTTCTGTGGTCGTCAGCGAAGATTGCGATCGGCCATACGTTTTATGGTATGCACATCATGCGACATACGATATGTCGAGTGTGGCGCTCGTAGAGCGTCATATTGCCGATCTTGCAACCGGGGAGGAATCACTCCCGGCACCCCCAAGCTTTGCATTATTTGTCGCCCATAGCATAGACATCCGAAAAAGTCCCGAATGCAAGCCTTTCTGGACTGAGCAGCTGGATAATTGTCCTGCATCTTTATTCCCATTTGGTGCAAGAGATGCACCAGCAGTATTTCGCACAGATTCTCAGTATGAGATCTCTTTCCCATACGTTGGCACAAACTCTGGCTTCACGATGGCCAATCGAATCCGTGCCGCCTGGGCATTCCTATTGGGGTGCTATGAGCAGTCGGAGGATGTTGTGTTTGGCGTCACCAACGGGGGCCGGTATGAAGCTGTGCCACAATGCGCTGATATTGTCGGGCCTGCAATCGCAACTTCGCCCATGCGGGTGCGTCTGAATCGCGAGTCGACTGTCGCTGAGTTTCTACAGAAGATCAGTATGCAGGTGGTCAGCATTAATGCCTTTGAGCAAACAGGTCTGGCAAACATCCAGCAACTGGGCCAGGACGGTGTTCGGGCTTGCAGTTTCCGAACCTTGGTCAACGTTCAAGTCACCGATGCTGGGCGCGGCAGCAATTTATTGACGCCTGTAGAGCCAGATAAAGTCGAACCTCTCGATTATGCCCTGGTACTGGAGCCTTTTGTCCTCGGGGGAGGTTCGAAGCTTCGACTCCGTTTGTCGTATGACAGTCTGGTTATCCGACATGAAAAGGTAATTCAGGTCGCCGCGCAGCTGAAAAAGGCACTTCGCCTGTTCACAACCCACCCAAACAAGAAAATAAGCGCGATAGAACGCCTGCCCATTGATTCCCCCTCATCGCTGGCTAGTGGGCCTTCAGTACCACCCGGAAAAGTTCCGAAGCCTTTCCAGCTCATTTCCTCACCTGCTCATGAAATTCGAAAGCATGCCGCCGTGGAGTGCGGCGTATCTGAGGATATTGTACACGATGTTTACCCATGCACACCAGCGCAAAACAGGATGGTGATGGCCTCTTTGCGGTATCCCACAGCGTACAAATCACACGTCGTCTTCACTCCCCCGGAAAACCAGAACGACACGGATATTCTCCATGCATGGAATGCACTTTACCGTCAGATGCCTGTATTGAGGACTCGGTTCTTCCATAGCCCCATGGAGGTAACCTCATCGAAGAACGATCGTGAACTGCGCATGTTGCAGGCAGTTGTGGACGAACCCATCCAATGGAGTGAATGGGGGGATGTACAAGAATGTTTGTCGGCAGATCATGGACTTATCTTTAGCAGCGGCCAGCCTCTTTCACGCTTTGCTCTTATTCGAAACCAGCCTGGAGGTGGAATACGGCAACTCGTCCTCACTACCCACCACTCCATCTTCGAACCATCAATTACACAACGTATGCTACGTTTTCTGCAAGAGATAACAGATGAAAACACTCATGATTTGGAAACGACTCCATTCACACTTTGGGCTGAGGCCGCATTGCAGTCCCTGAAAGAGCCATCCAAAATCTTCTGGGCTCAAGCGTTGAAGAACTGTCAGGCCCCTTCATTCCCTAAAGTCCCAGCCACCCATGCCCCGCTCACGACAGATACGATGCACACAACCATTGCTTTACCAGCAATTGAGTCTGGAATTGAAAGTCCTGCCCCGAGCAAAACGCTGCTGCAGCTAGCTTGGGCTCTTACCCTCAGCCAATACTATGATTCCAATGACGTAGTATTCGGTATCGCGGTACAGGGTGCACATGGCGATAGACGGAACGTGATGGGGCCGACCTTCTCGGTTGTTCCTCAGCGCATCGTATTTGAACATCCCGATATGCGAATGAATGACTTAATTCGGATGTTTGAAGAACGGACGGAAGAACTGCTCGATCACGCGCAGTATGATATCTCCATGATTCGTGAGATTGACGACTCCTGTGCTACTGCATGTGAATTCCAGAATCTTCTGGTTTTAAAGACCACCCCGGATGACAATGGCACTAGTCCGCTCTACGGAACATTTAGAAAAGCTGCTGTGTCGACTGTTGCAGGAAAAGTCGTTGCGGGCGCTTCTACTCACATTCACAACTTTGCTCTAGCAGTCGAGGTGGCCCCGCTGGGAAATGAGGTGAGTGTTCGAATGAGCTACGATCCCTTTGTCCTGAAAGCAGTCCAAGTGCGACGTCTTATGTCCCACTATGAAAGCATTATACGTCAAATGTCCACATTCGACCATTCTCGCACTGTCAGTGGCATCCACCATGTGCCTGACGACCATTTGGCGGAGATTTTATCCTGGAACGCCGTCCTTGCACCTCGAGTATCCTGCGTCCACGAACTCTTTGAAGCGCAGGTACAATCTCAACCATCATCCCCAGCTGTCTGCGCCCGTGATGGCGAATGGACATTTTCGCAACTTGACAATGCCGCCGAGAGGCTCGCTAGATTCCTTCGCTCTATGGGTGTGGGACCAGGATCTTATGTCCCTCTTCTATTTGAAAAGTGCGGACTTGCTATCATTGCCATGCTTGCCATCCTCAAGGCTGGTGGCTCGAGCGTTGCATTAGATCCAGGTCATCCCAAAGACCGATTGCAAGGTCTCATCAATGGTATGGGAAAGTGCACTATTCTCTGTAGCCGCGAAAACCATATCCTGGCTGCCCAGGTTGCCCAACGTGCCATTGTGCTTGATGAGCAGACTTTATCAACCCTATCAAAGCAGCCACTTCAGCGGCGTCTGAGTGATGAAGAGCCTGTCTCGGCGCAAAGTACGGCATTCGTTCTGTTCACTTCCGGATCTACGGGTATGCCGAAGGGTATCCTGATCCCGCACCAAGCATTCTCAAGCAGCATCCGAGGCCACTCGGAAGTTCTTCGCTTTTCCACGGGGCCAGGATCTCGCAATTTCCAGTTCACAGCTTATACGTCAGATGTCAGTATTGGAGAAATATTTACCTCTCTTGCAGTCGGATCCTGTGTCTGCGTACCCTCCGATTGGGACCGCAAGAACAATATTGCTGGTGCAATCAGGGATCTTAATGTGAACTGGGCCTTTTTCACACCCAGTGTGGCAACTTTGCTAGTCCCCAGTGAGGTACCAGGTCTCCGTACCATGGTATTCGGGGGTGAAACGGCATCACCAGAGAACTTCCAGACCTGGGCCCCAGCACTGCATTTGATCAATAGTTTTGGTCCCGCTGAGTGTTCTATCTGGACGCATTGCATTCCGCGTAAAGTCACCCTTGATGACTTTGGTAGCAACATTGGCTTCGGAGTCGGTTGTGCAACTTGGATAACTGATCCTACCGATCATCATCGATTGCTTCCCATCGGAGCTGTCGGTGAGATGCTCGTTGAAGGGCCGAATGTTGCAGCAGGCTATCTAAATGACCCCGTTAAGACAAATGCCACTTTTGTTCATGATCCGGCATGGATGCCACCAGACCGGGGATCGATGAGACTTTATCGATCCGGGGACCTCGCACGCTACCTTCCAAATGGAATGGTACAGTTCCTTGGTCGCCGTGATCACCAAGTCAAACTCAGAGGGTTACGTATTGAATTGGGTGAGATTGAGCACCAGATTCGGGAACATTTCTCCGACGGCAATATGCTTGTGGCGGTAGATATTGTCAATCCTCGGCCAGTTGGTTCCCCGCCTATCCTGGCCGCTTTCATTGCTTCCAAAGAACCTGAAGTACTACCTGAGGACCAGGAAGGGGTGTTGAATTTGTTGGCGGACAAGTCTGATCAAATTTGTCAAACCCTGCATGGCCTAGAGAGTGCGCTAGTTCAAATCTTACCCCGTCATATGGTGCCCGCTGCATTTGTTCCACTTCGCCAAATGCCTTTGACGGCCTCGGCAAAAACAGACCGTCGTGTGCTAAAGAACCTCGCATCGTCTGTCTCAGCAGAGGAGTTGAGTCGGCTGATGGTGGAGGTGCAATCACGAGAGGTTCCTAGCACAGTCATGGAAACAATTCTCGCTAGACTGTGGTCGAGCGCCCTCGGCTGGCACGTTGACGTCGATCGACAGAACAGCTTTTTCCGTGTCGGCGGAGACTCGCTGTCTGCAATGAGGCTGGTATCATTTGCCAGAAAAGAGAATGTGCGCATCAGCGTCGAGCAGGTATTCCAAAATCCGATCCTGCAAGACATGGCCCAATGTGCTATTCTGGACGACAGCTCAGCTGTGGACGATATAAATGTACTCCCGGACATTGCACCTTTCTCCGCACTCGGAGATGGGGATAAGGTTGCTGGTGCAGTTCGATCTGCTTCCGTGCAACTAGGAGTTGAAGCAGATCAAATCGAAGATATCTATCCCTGCACGCCACTCCAGGGGGGCTTACTCGCTTTATCTCAGGACTCACGAGGAAGCTACGTTGCACAAATGGTGTTCGAGCTGCCCACGGACATTGATCGTCCTCGCTTCGAGTCTGCTTGGGTATCCTTGCTGGAGGAATGGCCCATATTGCGGTCGCGCTTTTTCCAATGGCACCAAAGCAATGGCACTTCTCAATTGATGCAGGTGGTCGTGAAGGGACGGACACGATGGCTTCGTGCTCGCCGTCTCTCTGAATACCTCAAGCTCGACCGCCGAGATCATATGCAGCTTGGAGATCGTATGCTGAGGCTTGCTGCCTTCACAGACACATCTGATAAAAAGCAATACTTCGTTATGACTGCCCACCATGCCATATACGATGGCTGGATGCTAGCTCTTCTCTTTACTGCCCTCCGTCGCTCCTATTTGGGCCTTCCTGCGTTGGAGACAACCCCATATCGCGTGTTTGTGAATGTCAACTTGGCTGACCGCAACAGCGAGGAGAGCCAACGTTTCTGGAAACGGTATGTCTGGGATGCTGACCGGCCATCATGGCCAGAACTTCCTTCTCCTGACTTCAGGCCCAAGCCCACCTCCGTCAGGAAGCTGGCAACACACTTCTCTACTGGTAACCAGAGGAATTTCACCCCTAACACCATAATGCGAACTGCATTTGCAATTCTCCTCGGAGCTTACTCCCATTCGGAGAACGTCGTTTTCCCATCCACGGTGTACGGGCGTACTTCTGGTCGGTCTTCAGCAGCAACAGTTGCAGGTCCCACGATGGCTACAGTTCCTGTTCTAGTTCGCCTGGAACGTCAGTCAACAATACACGAAATTATGGATACTGTCCAGGCGGAAGGAGCCGAAATGTTAACCCATGAGCAAGAGGGTCTCCAGAATATAAAGCAGTACAACCGTGGTGCTTTGGCGACCATCGACACTCAAAGCCTCTTAGTTGTTCAAGTAGACCAGCCTTCCGAAGAGTGGAAGAATGACGACTTTGCTCTGCGCTCCGTGGATGTATCAGGACTGGCCAATGGTTTTCTCAGCAGCGCCCTGGTGCTTGAGGCTACCGTTTCTGGGAATGAGCTTCATCTTCACATGACCCACGATGACCGTGTTGTTGCTCCACGCCAAGCCGAAAGGTTTTTGGAACAACTCGCCCACGTGGTGCATCAACTTTGCGATGCATCTCAAACACAACTTCTTCGTGAATTGGATTTGGTTCCTCAGGGGGAGAGGGACGAAATCCTTTCGTGGAATGCAGCCGTTCCTAAACCAACCTCGGCCCTAGTTCAAGATCTCTTCGCCGCACAGGCAAGCCAACAGCCAGACGCAGAGGCATTGGTGTCTTGGGAGGGTTCACTCACATATCGGCAGCTTGATGAATTCTCCAATCGGCTTGCAGGATATCTGTGGACATCATGTGGTCTCCGCTCTGGCATCCGGGTGCCTCTGCTATTTGAAAAGAGTATTTGGACTGTGGTCGCAATGCTAGCTGTTTTGAAGATTGGTGGAACCAATGCTGCTCTGAATCCAGCACATTCAGCGGATCATTTGAAGTCGCTCGTTGAGGATATTGGTGCCGATTTCATTCTGTGCAGTGAAACTTTTGAGCCGCTGGCCTATGAGATTACTCCAAGGTGCTACTGCGTTGGTTCCTCTGTCCAACACCTTGAGGGTCAAAACGGCGTCAGCTCCATCGCTCCACAGCACATTGCCTTCCTGCTCTTTACCAGTGGCAGCACGGGAAAACCGAAGGCTATCATGATTGACCATGTGGCCTTTTCAAGCAGCATCAAAGGTCATGGGGAGGTACTGTGCTACCGCAAAGGCTCCCGAAACCTTCAGTTCACGGCGTATACCTCAGATGTCAGCATGGGAGAGATCTTCACGTCGCTCAGCCGAGGGTCGACGGTGTGTATTCCCTCTGACAACGAACGTATGAATGACCTTGCGGGGGCCATGGAGAGAATGCGCGTTGACTGGGCGTTCCTGACACCCAGTGTGGCCTCACTGCTTCATCCTGATCAAGTACCGACACTCAAGACACTCGTCTTTGGTGGCGAAACCGCCACAGTGACAAACATCCAGACTTGGTCACCACGGCTGCACCTAATCAACAGTTTCGGGCCCGCAGAGACTTCCATATGGTGCCATGCGCATCCTCATTTCACGGTGACTGACGATGGCTCGGATGTCGGATGGTCGATTGGGTGTGCTACATGGATCGTGGACCCGGAGGACGGTAGCCGGCTCATGCCCGTTGGCACAATCGGCGAGCTTGTGGTGGAGGGTCCCAATGTGGCAGCCGGGTATTACAAAAACCAGGCAAAGACAGAAGCCGCATTCCCGGAGAGTTTACCTTGTTTACCACCGGGTCAGCGCCAGCGCATCTACAAACTCGGCGACTTGGCTCGACTCTTGCCTGACGGTCGTTTGCAATTCCTGGGTCGTAAGGATGGACAAGTGAAAGTGCATGGCCAGCGTGTGGAAGTGGGTGATGTGGAAAATATGATTCGTCTAGCTCTTGGTGACGACCACCTCGAAGTCGCTGTGGAAATGGTCAAGATTCCCGATGAGCTCACTGGCTCACGCCTTATCGCATTTATTAGCTGTACCCCGGCGGATCAACCACAGGATCGGAACAAACCAGCCGTTTTGACAAACAACGAAGGACTTCTAGCTTTCCAGGAACGAACCAGTTCTCTCCGGGAGGAACTCGCCTCACGCCTGTCCAAGCACATGATCCCTAGCTTCTTTGTGCCTTTGACGAGTATGCCGTTAAGTGCATCAGCCAAGATGGATCGAAAGCTCTTGGGCTCCCTTGCCAGAAACCTGGAAATTTCCGAGTTGGCACGCTTCTCTCTCTCGTCGCATAGAGACATATTGCCACCGGAGACCCGAGTACAGAAGCTTCTTCATTCTCTGTGGAGTTCTGTGCTGATGCTCAATTCAGATGACTTCGGTATTGAGGCAGACTTCTTTGAATGTGGTGGCGATTCAATTGGGGCTATGAAACTGGCCTCCCTTGCACATGCCGCCGGTACTCCGCTATCGGTACAAGATGTGTACGACCATCCCCGTCTTGGCAAACTCGCGAGTACCATAGAAGGCAGGGACCCCACAGATCTTGTAAAATCTGTTTCTGAGATCGAAGCATTCTCCCTGCTCCCAACGGATCATTTCGATGAGCTAGATACGCTCATTTCTCGAGTTGCCTCAGTGTGTGGGGTCCGGCCCGAGCAGGTTGTTGACATCTACCCATGCACACCCATTCAGCGTTCAATGATAAAGAGGACCGCCAATCATCCTGAGGCATACTGGATGCACAACACTTTCGAGCTCTCTTCGGAGGTTGACGAGCTCCGCCTCAAACAGGCATGGCAGGGTGTCTTCGCCTCTCACGGTATCTTGCGCACACGTATTCTCCCGCACAACGGTCAATATGTACAGGCGGTTCTGGATGAGTCACACGAAATCCAGCCCGTCTCTGGGGTGTCCCTAGACGAATTTTTCATCGCTTCTCGCGAGCGCCAATTTACAGACGGGCAGCCGCTCCTCTGCGCTTCAATGGTATCCGACGACACGCGGCGGTACTTTGTCCTGGAGTTCCATCACGCCATATACGATGCTTGGTCGTTAACAAAAATCTGCGAATCGTTGCAACGACAATACCTCAGCCTAGCAGATCAGGTTAACATTCAGAGCATGTCAGAAACCCCAATTATCGGATTCAACTACTTTGTCAAAGCCGTCCAACAACAGAATCAGGCCCATGCACTTGATTTCTGGAGCAAATATCTTCTCGGGACAAAGACTTCATCCTTGGCTCCATCATATGAGGGCGACAATGCTGACAGTACCATCCGCCATCGCATCGCACTCCCAGACCCAATGGTGGCAGGTAGCTCGATCACACCTGCAGTCATGGTCTATGCCGCGCTCGGGCTGGCACTTCATAAGCAGCTTCAAGTCCCAGACACCATCCTCGGCCTGATCTCTATCGGTCGTTCCCTTCCACTTACTGAGGAGCTGGTCGGTCCCACAGTCACAAGGGTTCCACTGCGTATCAATCACAAGGAACAGAGCAGCCTCCATGACTATCTTTTACATGTCCAATCTCAAGCCCGACAACCTACAGCCTTCGAGCATGTGGACTTTGAAGAGGTTGTGCGTTTGCATTCTGATGCGCATGATGCTTGTCACGCCGCGCCCCAGGTCGTTGTTCACCCGTATGATCCATACACAGAGCAGCCTACGGCTAAGATGGGACTCCTAAGGCAGGAGCTCTCGGTGGTGAATAACGACGGTATTGCACTGTCGATTGATATATCATTGGTACTTCGAGAGAGGGCACTAGAGGCGTTGGATGTGCGTCTCATGTTTGCCAGCAGCATTGTTGGAGAGGAAAAACTGCGGCTCCTTGTTGGAGATTTGAACGCAATCATGTTGAAGATTCACGCTTTGCAGGGCGACTTGCACTCGGCTACGGTGGAAGAAGTCTTGCAGGGAGTACCAGGAAGTGCAGTTGAGCTGGCTGTAGAGCGGATTCAGTGACGGAGAATTTAGTAAACACCACATATGTTGACATTCCAAAATAATTGGTGTTCTGTCTTGCTCCATCTTTGTGATTAATTGGCCAAAAATGACACACTTCAGCAGAGGCCCCGGAGCAATTTCGTGGATATTTCGTATTCCAGTCATCAAGCCCATATAAATGTCCCTTGAATTACTTCTTGGTCATATATATTTTTGTCAACGCGATTTATAATCGCACTGAAAGCTAAAGGCGCTCGTATATTAGCAACTTGCAGATAATCCACCAGGTTTGTAGGCCTCAGGCGTAGATTGGCAGAGTTTATAGCCACTTCATACGCCTTGCAATATAACTTCCACCACCCACAACCCCTGTAACGCCCGTGAAAGCAATCAAGGATCCATATCCACTACCATATCCATAGCCAGCGCTCCCCTCCCACGGCAACCCCTTAATAAGACCCTCACTGAGGGGCCCAGAAACCAAGTTCCCGACGCCTCTTCCGGCCGCAAGACAGGCAAATACCATGCTTGATTCGGCCGATGGGTTGTTGTGGGCCACCTCGCGCATAATACCAGGCCAGGTACTGGTATATGAACCCGCAAAGAGACCGTATACAATTGAGAAGACGAACAGAGGAGCAAGGGACATGGAGAAGCCCCAGACAAGGAAGACACCGATAGAGGATCCGATAGTTGAAACAAGGATGCAAATCGTCACGTCAAGCTTGTCGATTATGGCGCCCATAAACACACAGCCGACGACGGAAGCCAAGCTGAAGAGGATAACAGTCAGTGCTTGGAGGGAGGTCGAGGCACCAATCATGCCTGCGTAGGTCGGGAGGTATATAGATGGCAAGAAAAACCCGAGTGCCTCGACAATATTGCAAAACTCGAAGATGGCAAAGGTGGACGTAAACATGAACCGGAAGTTCGGGGCTGGCGGACTGGGTCGGTTATCTGCAATCGGCACGCGTGGTTTGACAAAGTAGACCAGCGGCGCGGTGAGAACAAACAACACGACTGCAAAGCCGCGCAAGGTAATTCGGAAACCGTACTTGCCCAGCAACTGTTCCATGACGATAGGGAGGACGACACCGCCGATTCCGGTGCCAGCCCACATGACGCCGAAGGCGAGGCCCTTTCGTCTGTCAAACCACTCTTCCATTAAGAGGATGCAGGGAGCATAGGCGATGCTGCCTCCCAGAGCATAGAAGATTCCCTGAGTTACGATAAGGTGGTTGGTGTTTGAAGCGAGGGAGCTCAAGCCGAGGGCAGCACACATGAGTAGCACACCTAGACCACAGCCAAAGCGTTGATATTTGGGCCATTGTCTATAGGCGGCGAAGACAAGAGGGAGGTCGAGATACATGATTCCCTGGCGTATATAGGTTAGCTCGGGTTGGGTTGGAACATAAAATATTCGAATTTACCATAGCACAGGTTCCGACGACAGCAATATTACCAGAGTCCTTAAATTGGGGTAGGTCGGTGTAATACGCTTGGAAAACACCATATGTGAATGCAAACCCCCAGACAAGAGCCTCCATAACGAAGCACGCAGCGAGGAACAGCCAGGCATTTATTCCGCCATCCATGGGCGGGGGTTGTGTGCCATAATGAATATTCGACACGTCAGTACGGCTAGTCATCCCGTCTAGCTGGGTCTGCAGCCCCTTTTCGGTCTCATTTGACGAGTGTGAGTCCATAACTTCCTCCATTCTCGACAACCAAAAGAAGAACAAGTAGAGAAAAGTTGTCTCAAAGAGTGAAGCTTAATTTGTAATCCCCGCAAATGTTAGAAAACCAAATAATCCTCAAGTCGTGATAACATGTTGTAGGAAGCTTTTCGGAAGGCAATTTAAAAGAAAATAAGCTGCCAAGCCATATGGAGAAATCATCCACAGGGCGTGAAAGGATCGAGGTTCCGTCACTGACAGGGCCAATCAGCGTTGGGTGACAAGGCGCTAATCTCCCAAGGTCTCCACCTAGACTACCAAGGCACGTAGGTAATACCTACATGAGCGTATATATGGGGTAGCAGTGAACATAAGGCTATGGAGGACGTGTATTCTCTGGCCACCTGCTTACATGTTGCGGGGAAGAGTGACATGCCTCTTGCAACGAAGGTGTATAACCACTTGAGGTAGGTGAAGACTTGAGGTAGGTGAAGAAGCCGTGAAGGCTAAGCCTTAGTGCCCAGTCTTGGTTTGAATAGGCACGGAAGAAGGATAGATATCACAGAGGCTGACCATACAAGGGTAAGGAATGGGGATAGTAAAAAATAAGGGTCAGAGATGCCTGTCATTCGAATAAAAAAAAAGACCGAGGAAGGTGTGCTACCTATTTTATTTAAGATGAGAGGTACAAGCTAATTGCTACCTCGCCATATGTGCACCCAATATAAATACAACAATCTTCTACATCACCGTTCTTCCATTTGGCCTTCATTTCTGCAATTATCTTGAGAACGTGCAGCATAGCATGTTCGTCCCACTAAATTCGGATTCCCGGAAGCAGTTTTGAGGGATGTTCCGCTTAGTCATGAGCTTTTTTCCCCTTCTGGCCTTGTAACTATGTAGACTTAGCTAACTCGACAACCTTATGTTCATGCAAATTCAATTTGTATCTCAACTACCATATATTTATCAAATGCAGCCAAATCAATAAATGATTGGTGATGGTTAGGTTCAGTATGACTTTCGGCACTTGTGCGGCATCGCCAAGCCGAACGGACATTCTCCATCCACGTCGGAGATTCCCCGTCGGCCTCAATCCAAGCGTATCAGCATATAAAGATGGGGTTAAAAACCAAAGACCGTATCTTCACAGACCTCATATTCCTCATTAAATCATTTGTCAACTTGACAGATTGACACCTTGGCACAAATCATTCATCATGGGCTCGATCGGAAAAGAAGAATTCACCGTTCCGAACCCCTTCCGGACTCGCATTCTTAACGGACAAGTCACTCCGATTGTGACAATAAAGTATGCCCTCGGCAATGAGATCGCCATGATGGCCAAGATGGCCGGCTTCCATGGAATCTTCATCGATATGGAGCACTCAGCCTTTAGTCTCCGCGAGGTGTCGCAGCTCATTCTGGCATGCAACTATGTCGGGGTCTCGCCAGTTGTCCGATCCCCATCCAAGTCGCACTGGCACATTAGTCGCATTCTAGACGCTGGAGCTGCCGCCGTTGTGGTTCCGCACATCGAGTCTGTTCAAGAAGTCAGTGATATTGTTCATCATGCGAAGTATGCGCCTCTTGGCGCCCGCGGTTGCACCAATAACCAGCCTGCTTTCAAATTTCAACATGTCCCTGCGATAAAACAGAATGAGGCACTGAACTCCCAAACAATGCTCATACCTATGATAGAGACACCTGGCGCTGTGGATCTGGCAGAAGAGATCCTTGCGATTGACGGCGTGGATGGGATTCTGATCGGCTCGAATGATCTGACTACAGACCTGGGGATACCGGGACAGTATGATGATCCACTATACCTGGACTCCGTCATAAAGATTATCAGTGCCGGAAAAAAGTATGGCAAACCTATTGGAGTCGGTGGCATTAGCGGTCGTCTAGACCTTCTAGAGCGATGGTTCTCCCTGGGTGCCACGTGGTCTTTAGGTGGGCAGGATGGAGCAATCTTGCAGAAAGCATTCAAGCAGATTGTTCAAAACTATGAAGAGATTAACCAGAGGGTGCAAAAGCAGAGGGCATAGTCTCGAGATCTGTGAGCTAATATTCTTGTCATTGCTAGTTGTATGTACATTGAAGTCGATACTATCCAAGTATGTTGTTTAAATCAAATCAAACATACCATCAAAATACAAACTCATTGGGGGGTCTCCATAAGCATACTCGTTCAAACCGGCCTCCATATTCCATAATGTGTTGTCTTCAAATATATCCCAAGACAGTATGGAGCCTTCTGATAAATTCGTACCGTCTTGCGTACGTACATTCCCATGAGTGAATGCAGGCTCGATGAGCGTAGCATGGAGCGAGGAATGTACATGGAGGCCTGGAGAGACACTCGCTCCAGTGGATAGGATCTCAGGTTGATCCAAGTGGGGTCGGCCATCGGCTTGGCCATGACAAGCTTTTGGATCTACCATGAGAGCGGGCGCTAAAGATCGGGAATGTGCGTTATTCACCTCCAGCGAAGGGTGACTATTTGAACATTCAACTTGCAGCGGGCGGCCGTATTTGCGAATGACATACCATCGCAAAGCTTCATAAACGGCGACATAACGTTTTGCATCTGGAAGCTCTTCACTCATTTTCTTCATGGCGTTTTCACCCATGATCACTGCATCCGTGCTTTTCTGGATAGTCTGTGGATCAAAGTCTTTCACGACAGATAAGCAAAACATCACGGAAAGACCCGCGGTGAAGAGCATTTGAAAGTAACTTCGAGTGAAGGTGATCTTCTTCAGCTCAAGAAGTTGACAGTAGCCTGTGATGGCCCCAAATGCGCACTCAAGGCACAGGGACAACAAATCTCTCGGCGGGATATTATCTCGCTTTGGAACGATGTCGATCGCTTTTCTGACTAGTAAAAGGCGCTCCCTGAGACAAAGAAGGTCATACCACTCTGGCATCTGATAGAGGCTTTGCGGGTTGTGAAAGACTGGCGTGGAGGAGCGCCATTGATCGAGTTCCTTTAGTAGCTTGTCTAGACTGGAGTAAATGACCCCTCTTGCTGTGGTATCACTTTGCATAGCCCGACGGATTTCTTTGCCACCAAATTCACGATGAATCTGGGCACTAATTTGGCGGAGCCTTAAGCAAGCAAAAAAGATAGACATCTCGGTGATCCGTGTCGTCACTGACGTGAGAGAAGACATAGATCCCAAGGAATCTAGGTCAGAAAAGGCACCTGAGCGCTCCGCAGCCTCGATTTCCTCGTCATTCGCATCCACCGGAAGCCCAATCTGGATATATTTGTCGCGAATGGCAAATGGGCGAATTAAAGTAATTGAGCTATATCGGTCAATCATATAACACTGCCAGAACACTCGCCGTTGAAGTTGCTCTTGCAAAAGGCCAATCTTGCGGCTTGAATGAATGGCCTTGTGTAGATCTTGTTCTATGCACATGCGCATACCTAGCCGAGTGACCTCCCAAATGGATGTTCCTGTCAAAATGTCAACAATTAGCTACATATAAGCTCATGTGTGACAGAGATGAGCCCATCCAGCGAGTGAAAGGCGTTGGTCTCACCGACGTAGTGGTATATCGCAAACCGGCTCACAAGTAGGAGATCTTGAATTGATGCGAGCCCTCCAGAGAGGAAACTGTCATCAAAGTACTTCAGCGCAGACAAATAGTAGCCATATGGATGATGCTCAAATTCCCCGTTGCGATAAGGCAGAACCGATCCGATAGCAAGGATCATGAAAGCCCGAAAAAAACTTTGCTTTGCATCCCGCTCCGAAGCTTTACCTTGCTTGTCTTCAGAAGTTGACAGGAACACTTTGCTATAGATACTCTGTACTTCGCGCCGAAGGAGAAACGGGTTCTGGACATGAGATCCATTCAAGCTAATACGATCAACCCACTGACTTTGGTATGGTATGAGAGCCACTTTTTGGTGTTTGACATACTACTTATCAAAGATTAACCTCGCTTCATCCGGAGGTGGAAGGAGTGCTGCTCTGACTCCCGCTTCGGCCGGCCCGGAGCCTTTAGAAAAATTCTGTAGCAAGCTCGGATCATGTTCACGCCATTCTGAGTCCGCGAACAGGTGTCGCATAAAACTGTTCTCCTTGTCAGAAACACCTGATTTAGAGAATTTTGGCGAATTAACCTTATCCCACCGCCCTCAATGAAATTGGGGGAGTGCTCTCGGTGGTCTTGCGAATCTGAAGGACCTGCAGGCGCCGAGGGTTCTCTAGATGCATGGCCAATTCGGCGCGCCGCTGCGAGTTCGTTCTCTAGAGACTTGACTCGTTGTTCAAGATCGCCAATGTATCTGGTGTGATACAATGGTATTAGTAGTAGTTGCGGGTATTCTACCCGAAGGAAAATTACATACTGTCTAGTAACCGACTCGTTGTCATCCACACTCAAGGTCATGCATTCCTGCTCGTGCTTAATGCAAAGGCTGCATGTTGGTCGAAGATTATCGCACTTAATTACATTTTAGTTTGGAGTTCTAGAGATTCGGTTGCTAGTTACGCACCTTGGTTTTTCTTGCGTGACAGAAGCGACATGCTGGTAGCCGAGGAAGGTGGCTAATGCTGACTCCAATCAACTTCGAGGAGTCTCTATCAACTTCATTCGCCTCCATGTCACGGATTGCTCTTCATCTGGGGCAGGCGTTGGATGTGAAACCGGAGAATGTCCGGGGAAAGACTTCCCCGCTTCGACCCGAGTCAAACTGAACAAACATTACCGGGTTTTTACGAGCGCAACTACACTACCTTTATGGAGTAGAATATGCTGGTATGTGGTTATTGTATATATGAGTAAATCATAATATTGGAAACCTGCAATTGACCGAATTGAACCTTTTCCTCTAGACAATATATGTCGAAAGCTATAATACAATACATGGTTGAGAACCCAGCACGTACTTATATATCTGTCATCTATACCATACATTGCTCATTTAATGTACTCCGTACACCAGTAAACCTCCCTCTTTTGAGCACCTATTTAAGCACTCTTTTTAACAGTCTTTTCAAAAAATAAGAGTAATAAGACGAAAAAGAGGCCTCAATTGTACTGGCTTTGGCGGGATGGATTCTAAAACCTGCCGTACGCAAAACAGAACGCGGACATCCCCCGCTAACACCTCCGACTTCCCGTCTGCAACAATTCGACCGGCGGTGCCGCAACACACGTCACGACATGGGGCCAAGTAGCCCAATCGGACAGTCCACACTTGCCCCAGGTTCAAAACAACGCGGTCAAGCCTGTGAGAGATGCTGGAAACGCAAGCAAAAGGTTCGGCGTCCACCTTCGTTCATTTCTGCTTTCCTTGTTCTCCATCAAGTTGTTGTTTTAGCATGGCAACCCAGCTTATCATATCAGTGCGATCGAGTATTGCCTGCATGTACACCATGTGTTGAAGCCAGTGTATCATGCATTCCCCGGAAATTCGCCATAGAGCCAATCAGCAACGCGGGGGGTAACCTTTCGCATGCCGCCATCCCCAGGTGAGTTTTTTTTTTTGAATCTCCTGTCGTACATATATAGTACCTTTTATTTTGACTACTTCAAGTTATGTCTCCACACTGAAGAGGAAACGTGATGACCTGAGTGATCAACTTGAACGGCAGCGAGCATCTCGTTCAGGGGAAGCCCCAGCTGAGCCACCACAAACACCTCGCTCTGCGTCGCGCCACCGGCAAGAATTCCAGTATGCAACAGGACCCTCTAGACAGGACTGTATTGAGAATACTGTTCAAGCTGCGATGGGTGAGATTGGGTTCTTGTCGACCAGTGCAATGGCAGAGCCACGAGATGAAACGAGTGGTTTCTCGGAGGAACTCGCGATGGGTCGCATGGTTCGAGCTGCGCTGGCCCTGTCTGGTGCAACCCCGTCCCAATCGAATATCGATTCTTATGGGCAACAGATTGCCGCAATAAATGGGCCGACTGTACATCTCAGTAGGCAATTAGCTGTGCCTTTCTTCACCACTTTTCTTGACATGATGGGCTCTCAAATGATCCATATTGACTCGAACGAGTTATGGACAGATTTCGATACATTCTTCACGGAGTCCAATGATTTGGTTGAAAAGTACTCCTCAAATTGTACTGCAAAAATATTTGTTGTTTACATGTCTGTGGCCACGGGCGTCTTGCTATCGCGGGAGTCGGGGAGCCTCCAAGGGCTTGCTGGTGCTCTCCATCAAAAAGCAACGAAGCTTCTCCCTGGGATCATGAGGTCGGGTAACAAGATTGAGATCCTACAGTGTATGCTTTCCCTAATCCTTTACTCGATGCAAAATCCACAAGGCGGCTCAACATGGCATCTTGTTGGGCTGGCGATGAAGAAGGCCATTGCCTTCAGATTCCACCATGGCTCAGATTCCTCCGTTAACATACCATCTCATACACTCTTGATGCGCCGCAATATCTTCTGGAGCCTCTACACCGTTGACAGGTAAATCCTTTCGATAGCCGCACAACGAGTCTTTACTTATTAAGTAATAGGACAATAAGCACAATCATGGACCGACCATTTAACATTGAGGATGACGAAATCACTGTGAAAGTGAGTATCCCAGGCCACTCACATTGCGCTGCTACAACGATGCTTATCTAACTAACAATTAGGAGCCTGACCAGTACATGAGTGACTTGCCCCATATGAAGAATAAATTGGCACGACAGTCTGTCGCGCACGCTAGGCTCATGTCTGAAATTCGTGATGGGGCAGTGAACAGTGTCCTTTATCATTACAGCAACCTGTGCTATTGGAGAGACTCCGCCCGAAACATCAAGTCGGAACCGTCCGCCTCAGAATTCCCACGAGCGGTAGTCATAGAACTGGCAAGTAGAGCCATGGTCGAGGTCCTGAAAACGAACGGCTCTGCAGATATTGAGCCAAGTATGATTCATAGCTCCCAGAATATCGAGAGGGATATCGTGACGACTTGCTCGGAGTTTATCGAACATGCGTATCAAAGCTCCGACCGTGGCGAGTTTACTGGGAGCTTCGTGGAAGCATACGACATCTTCGCGGCAGGTGTGGTCATTGTTTGCCTTAATGTGAAATCTCCCTCGTCATTTACAGACGCTGGTGTTATGAACAAATGCACGGCCCTGCTAACTACCGTGGGGGAGAGATTCGCCGGCCTCAGGGTCTTCCGTCGTGTGCTCTGGGCTCTGTTTAATACCGTCTCGGGAAATTCGAAATCTGACCCCATCGTCCATGAGCTCCCTCCGATAATTCCGGATGGTATTAGGAATCTCATAGCTGGAATTCTACGCTAAAACAACGTCACCTTGAGCCTTGAAGAATGGGGTATATTCAAGCTCCATCGGACATCCACGGAAAGCGCCGACGTCTTGGGTCCGATAATGGAATGCTTCTGCTATATGACGCAAGTATATTTCAATGGGACCACGCGCATCTTCGACCGGGGATTTTCATCAAGAGTTTTTTAAGACCCCATTGCTTTCAATTCTGCATCATGGCCCCGGGTCTCATTGACAAAGGCCGTGGTATACCGTAGATAAAGTTGCGTATTGGGATCGCTCGGACGTCCAGATTGAGTAGCTTAGTAAAGGGGAATTTGCGCCAAAAGCTGGACATTTTGAGTGTCCATAATGAGGCACCGGCTTCTTTTTGGCGAGGGAGTATGGTCTGTAAGGAGTGCAAACAAGTAAGAATATATCGTCCTGTTGACCTAGCGAATGAGGATCTTGTTGATGTGACTTTTATTTCGGAATATTCCGAGTACTTGCAAACCACTGAAACCAATCTATATTTCTATCTATCTATCCTAGAAGGTCATACTTACCACGCCAACACTTCAATGAAAGGCCACAATCATCATATCAAAGCGCAGAGCCGTACCGTGACACATTTTTCTCAATATACGTACTCAAAGTTCGGGTTTTGTATATCAGTCAGATCAGCAAAGGCCGTGGAATCGGCCATGAGCTCAGACTCGCCCCCTCTCTCCCGCAATTCGTCGCGCATCTTCTCCTTTCGTCGGTTCTCCCAGATAAAGGCGTAGCGGAGCACAAAGAAGAGCATGAGTTCAAGGCAGTTGGCAACGAGCAGAGAGCCAATACCCAGGGGGTATGCTGGTGCTTGCTCGGATTTGTAAAAGAAGGGACTAGCAATGTTGCCAATGCATGCACCAAACCAGATCATACCGGATACGATCATCTTCTTGGACTGTCCACCTGTATTAGAGGTAACAAGGGAAAGGGATATCACAAATGAGGCTTGGTAAGACCCGGTGAGATAGCTGGATGTTGCGGGATCAATCAGTTACTGCCATTCACTCACGAACATCGGTTAGATATACTTACAAGCAGATCAGTCGGCCGACGTATGCATTGTCAGGGGCAAGCAAGAAGCCCAGGGCGCCTGCAATAGTCGGGACCATGAACAGTGCACAGACTAGGGTACGGCTATTTTTCGGCATGTATTGGTTGGCGTATCCTCCAAGCACAATCCAAATGACCACAATCAGACCTTGGGGTATACCAAGAAGCGCGGTATTGAGTGTATCAAACCCGAGGCCTTGGATGACCAAAGTGGAAAAATTGGAGATTCCACCGTTTGGAACGTTGGCAAGGAAGCCCAAGATGGTGAATAGCCAAGTCTTATAATCGAGATACGCCTCTTTCACCTGACCCCAGTTAACCTTCCGTCCCTCAATACCAGTCTGGTTGGATCGCAGTCGCGCAATCATCATGAGCTTCTCATCGCGACTGAAGCCCCAGAATGTTGCTGGCGAGTTAGGCAATAGGAGACCCAGTGCAATTCCCCAGGCAGCGCAAACAGCACCGATGATGAGGAACTCGTAGCGCCAGGATTGAAGACCACCTTTGATATTGCCGATTCCATAACCTAAACATCATCATAAGTGTGTGCTACTTAATCCAGTACAACAATAAATGAAACATACCAATAAGGCCGCCCCCGGCAATACCGATGCCGTTCCACAAATAGTATGCCGAGATACGCCAAGGTTGCTCGGCACGGGTATAGTATGTCGAGACAACGAGCATAAACGCTGGATCCGCGATCGCCTCAAATGCACCAGAAATGATACGGAGTGCGGCAAGCGTGGCAAAGTTTTTCGATACAGCCTCGCACATCAGAACCACGCCCCACATAAAGATATTGAAGGCGAGATACCAAGCCATCCGGCTCCGTTGCATAAGGAGGTTAGATGGGATTGCCCAAACTAACCATCCAAAATAGAAAATGCTTGACAACCACGAGTATTCCGAACCGGATAGATTGAGGTCATCTTTGATGCCAAAGATTGCTGCGTAGGAAAGTGTCGTCTTGTCGACATACTATTAAAGATGGACGATGTCAGCTGTGGTTTAAACAGAGCAACCTTGAGACAACCAACATACATAAAAGAAGTAGCATATGCCAAGAAGTGGAATGAGGTGCATGTCAAGCTTGCGTTTCAATTTCCTTTCTGCCTCTTTGTCGATGGCCTCATCATTAGGATATCTTTGAATTGCTTCAAGGTATAGTTCACTGTCTTCCCCTTGGTTGATTTTGCCCGCCACCGATACCTTGAGGTTCTCCTCTATGTGTTGGACATCATGTTCGCCTTGCGGCTCCATTCCCTCTGGAAGGTTTCCTTTCTTGTCACCCATACCGAAGTGCCAAGTTTCTTATTCAGTATCGGTATTAATTGGTGTAATCAGTGGAAGGAATGACCAGTAAAAATATATAGGACGACCAGCACAATATAAAAGCTTTGCTTGGAAAGCCGGCAATCGGCAATCAGAGTTGGACACTATCGCTATTGGTGGAATAAATTTTGCGGGGATGTGGGATTAGCGCAAGATTTGGGGCCAAGTCACTGGGGCGACTCTACTTGATTGCGTACACTGCGAAGAACTATCTTTCTATGGAAAATAGGGTGATTCGACGCCTTGGAGGTTGGAAAAATGCTTCTCTGCCTGTGGTTGTCCTGACCATGGAAATTAATCATCATCAGACCAGAATATGAAAATGGAATTCCGGGATGGTTTTCTAGGCGTAGCGAAGCCGGACAATCTCCGAGTATTCTGGCCAAAAAGGGTTACGATACGAAAGGTGACGATATTATCCCTGGTTTGAACTTACCCCCAGATATATCCGGTGATTGAGTACATATTACAGCTGTGTGCCCCGCTAGGAAATTTGAAAGATATCGGAATAGGGGTATGTTTTTGGCTATATCTGTAGGATATGGTGGGAAACATGCATACCCGGCCACGAACTGCTATAGGCCGGAATGATTTCATGCCACTGCGGTTAGACCATCTGGGGTTTCCAGTTGTGGGTCGGGTGCAAATATAAATCTGTGGGGGAAATTGTGTCGGAAAAAGGAACGTGGGGGCCGGGGAATTCCCCAGGCGGCCACTGCCGAGCAAGAAATGACCGGGAATAATTGCCGAGCAACTCCTTCCTTCAGCCACAATATCCACGATGAACCTTTTCAGCGAGTGGTGGCAGAGATCGGCATATGAATTAATCCTTCGGCGTTTGGGTGCCATTAATAGTCACATGAACTGGCACCGATAGTATCAAGCAATTCGCCCGATCACACCCTAAAATGAGTCAGAAGGCTCTGATAATGTCGCTAGGGTATTCAACTAAACTAGGAACCTGTCTTTCATGCTTGACAGTTTGCCAAGTTTGCCTATGAAGTTAGTAAGCCACCCCTGGAGCCAAGGCCCCGGGACCGGTCGCCAAGAAACCCAACCCCCTGCTGGAACCCAGCCCTGGGGTTCTGTTTCTTGGCGAGGATTCGGTAGAGGCTTATCTCGTTCGGACTTTTGGATTCTTGGATCACATTTGTATCAACCATATATAGTTATAACAAGGCAATATCTAATACTAGTTATGAACTGCTCGATTGCCACTGGCGCTGATAGCTGGGATGCAGGATGTGATGACCGATAAGGTGCATGTGATTGATACTCGTGGATGGCAGATCTTTGCTTGTGGCAAGTCACATCCCCTTGGGCATCCAAAGATATCAAGTTACCGTCCTCGCTGTTGAATACAAAAGAAAGCAAGGAAAGCGAGAGGCAGAGATGGGATCGGTTTCCTCTAATCTATGCGGCATACCTCTTAGGTATCTCAGGTATCCCAACCTCTAAAGCCAAATATTCAGTCTAAATAAATAGACAACCTGATTCGGACGTTGCAAATCTTCTTCCTTAATATGGTGCGATCAATGCTTGAGGGCCCATTGGTTGAGTTGCCTGGGACCTTCTAATCTGAGATTAGACCTTGCTTTTGTTGTTTGTTTTCCGCGAGTCTACAAAGGCTTGGCATGTAGTCACGTGTCGATGTGTGTTGCTGCCTGGTCTGTCAGGCAAGGAAATAGTTGCACGTGTTTGTTTATGCGGGTAGAATCTGGACTTCTCTCTCTCTCTCTGTTTCTTTATCTTCCCTCTTCCCTTTCCGATAAACTAAATTAATCATATAGATAGACTATTAACCCATAAATCAAAATCCACTCCATATCAGGCCTTTATTTGGCCCTCTGAGTTTATATATACTCCCAGGAGGGATGTGTACGGTCGGGGATAGAGTTGGGATCCAGCATTTTATCTAGCTAGGTGTGCATTCCAGTAAGTTCTTCAGGAATAGTATGGCAAGGCTTAACAATATCAAGCCGCTACACGAGGCAAGGGTGTAAGCATAAAAATCAGATCAGTATCATTTTCGGCCCGAATTGGGTTGGTACTTCGTACTCCCTATTCATACGACACCGAGTACTACCACCAGTGATCGTCAATTTCAATTTCAATGACTTTTCACTTTTTTTTTTCTTCTGTTTTTTTTTCTCTTTGCAACGCAGTCGACACCATGTGCATCACTTATTAAGTAGAAGAAATATACATTTCTTCAGCAATTAATAACCAGCAATCACATGCGCAAATGAAGTAATTTGACCATATTTGGAAAACCAACCGATCCATCATGTTGTTACACGTGCACATCAAACTGGGTCGGCCAATAAATTACCTCCGAAATCTAATCCTCCCGTCGCCGAAAGTTGAACTATCTCCGAATTTTCGCTCTCTAGTATATTTTCACTAATCCTAAACCGCTGTAGCGGATCTTTGTGCAGAACGAAACTCGTGGATCAAGGTGACAATGCATAAAAACGATCTGCAGAATGCGCGACGTGCCTTGCATGTCGGGCATGATTGGCTCCGATTACATCCCATCACCCGTAAATATTTTATGTTTACGGTACTTGCGCCGAGGCGCGAAATTATATATAGATCCGAAGCATAAAGTGTTTGTGAGTCCTAAGAGCTCAGATTTTGTGAAAAAAATTACATTATTTGGTCATGGGTGGAATTTCGTCCCTCAAATTGCTGCCCTTTGTGGCTAGTTGTGCCTTTGCTGGTGTCAAATATCCTCAGATTCCGACGGATTTGACTACACCATTCCAGCAGCGATTGTCAGTCTATGGACCTGATGGTGAGAAGGATGCCAGATATAGTGAACTTGAATGAATGAGGACTGACTTGCCTCGTTTCTAGCTGTGTCCGTTGCTTGGAACACCTACGGACAGCTGGAACAGAGTTGTGTGAGCTATGGCTTGTCAGAAAACAACCTCAATACCAAAGCGTGCTCATCTTTGTCGACCACCTATGACCCCTCCCGGACGTGGTCGAATGTCGCCGTTCTAACAGGTCTGACACCTGCGACAACCTACTACTATAAGATCGAGTCCACCAACTCGACCGTCAACCATTTTCTCAGCCCCCGCACGCCCGGCGATAAAACCCCCTTCAACATGGATGTGGTCATTGATTTAGGTGTCTACGGCAAAAACGGCTTCACATCCAAAAGCGCAAAGAAGGACACCATCCCAGTCGTTGAGCCAGAACTAAACCACACCACAATTGGTCGCCTCGCGAAAACGATCGACGACTACGAGCTTGTCATCCACCCAGGAGACTTCGGTTATGCCGACGACTGGTATCTCAAGTTCGCAAACTTGTTCGATGGCAAAGAAGCCTACGAGGCCATTATCGAACAATTCTACGACCAACTCGCACCAATCGCAGGCCGCAAGCCCTACATGGCCAGCCCCGGAAACCACGAAGCAGACTGCTCAGAGATTCCATTGCTGAACGGCCTCTGCCCCAAAGGTCAAAACAACTTCACTGAGTTCATGCACCGTTACGAGAAGACCATGCCGCAGGCTTTTGTTTCCTCGTCAACCAATACAACTGCTCAAACCCTGGCTCGCACGGCCCGCAACCTTTCAAACCCGCCCTTTTGGTATTCGTTCGAATACGGCATGTCCCACGTCGTAATGATCAACACCGAAACAGATTTCCCCAACGCACCAAGCGGCAAAGATGGCTCCGCCGGCCTGAACGGTGGGCCATTTGGCACTCCAAACCAGCAGCTTGATTTCCTCAAGGCTGATCTCGCTTCCGTCGATCGGAGTGTTACCCCCTGGTTAATTGTCACCGGGCACAGACCGTGGTACTCAACTGGAGGATCGTCGAACATCTGCAGTCCCTGTCAAGAGGCGTTTGAGGGTCTGTTCTACCAGTACGGCGTTGATCTTGGTGTTTTCGGCCATGTGCACAACTCGCAGCGATTTGCGCCTGTTGTTAATGGTACCGCTGATTCCAACGGCATGGAAGACCCTAAGGCGCCCATGTACATCATTGCTGGTGGCCCGGGTAACATTGAGGGTTTGAGCTCCATTGGCAGTAAGCCTGCTTATACCGAGTTTGCGTATGCCGATGACTTTAGCTACAGTACGCTTAGGTTTTTGGATGAGCAGCACTTGCAGGTTGATTTCGTGAGATCTTCTACTGGAGAGATTGTGGATTCTAGTACTTTGTTTAAGAAGCATGCCACCGATTTTGTGGACCAGTGATAGAAGATTGGGGGTGATATCTATGTCCTGTGTGAAAAGCCAAGCATGTGTTAATGAGATGGTGTGGTTTGTAATATTTATATCTTAATATCTTTCGCACTAAGGAAATATGTAGTTGAAGACACACGGTGGTCATGAAAAATCGGTATTTCTATAGGTAAAAAAAAGATATGCACAAAAGGCATAGGGAGAAAGAAAGGGCGAAAGAAAGAGGGGAAAACGCCATTAATGCCAATGTCCTCGGATATCATCCAATATGCACAAAGATACACCCCATAAAAAATTATATACACCTTAGCCCATATAACCCTATATTCATCAAGGGCCTAACGCATCAAATGATAAAACTACAACATCTCATGTGATATATGTCGTTGTCATCGATGCGACAACTGACTTCCCCACTCCTTGGGGGGCGTCGTGGAAGTACCCACACCGGAACCCTCCTCGAGGGTCCATGGCTCACTGCGCACGACAGTCTCCGAGACAACAGTAATATCCTTCGAAGACGGCTCCGATTGAGCGAGGATATGCTCATCACTGCCCCATGCAGAAGTCTGCATATGCGTCGGTGCAGCAGCGTTCGTCTTGCTCTTCTTGGTATCGCCTTCACCGCGGGTTGTCAAGGTCTTTAAACCTCGGCTAGAGAGCTGGTATGGGTTTCCTGATGTTTTCCCAGAGGAACTGAAGACATGGGATAGACCGATCTTCTTGAAGCCCTTGCGGATAAGTGGTTGGATGATGGGCAGGTTGGAGACAACAATTGAGACAAAAGTCTCACGACAGGCCCATTTTGAGCCGGCTTCGGCTCCATCGGGGCTGGACTATAGTATGTGTCAGATATATGGCAAGTGATAGACATGAGTATTTCTGTATATAGGTTTTATTATTGAATGGGACGTACTCTCATAATCGTAGCGGCCCGAATAACACCCGCTATCATAACGAATGTGGCGCCAGAGAAGAGAACCATGAGGGGAATCTTTCGTTTCAGATTGAGGTTAACAGTCCAGAGAAGGGGGAGCGGAATTGAGAGAAGGTATATATCCGTGAGAACGTTGAGTATCACGACGACAAAAACATAAACGCGTGAGTTGCTTGGCTGACAGATATCTGTGCAAATATAGTAAGATAAGAAGGCCATTATCTCTGATGGAGGAGGTGCTCACTGCCGGGGTCAGGATTGATCTGCCAAAATGCATGGAAGGGCTGGCATGATAGTAGGAGAGACAATGCCGTGGCGATGTATGTCACACCTAAAATAATATATCCCACCCGAACTCGCGTGGGGAGGTGTTGGAGCCCAGTCCTGTTATATATTTAGCGTATTGGTTCAGATATCCAAGTTGATGTGTGAAGCGTACGTTAATCGAGAGTAGAAGACTGCTAAGCTGAATTTGACCAGCCAAAGAATAGCCACGTATAATGACCATCCAATAATCTGGACTTTGGACCCAGCAACACGATGAGACCACTCCTTCGAATTGGGGTCGAGCGCTGCTCGCTGCTCAGGTGTCATATAGCTGTTAGTCAGGCCCCCGAATTTGGCACCGACCAGGTACGCCGCTACCGTTTCAAGTACAAAGAATATCTGGAAAACAGCATTATGTTAATTGTACCTCCTTTCAATGGTGTTCACAGGACAGGTAACATACTCCCGCCAATGGCATAAGATAATCATCAAGTTGGAAATTGGCTGGCCCCACGAGCTTCCATCGTACTCCGACACGCACTGAGATTGTGACCAGAGCTAAGGACAACAGGGTCCATGCCTCGGCGTTACCGGTCATTATTTGGAAGCAAGACAGAGGGCAAAAAGACCATGGAAGATGAAAGCGGGAGTTGAAAGGAATTAAAAAGGAAGGCTCTAGCCATACCGACCCGCCGGGAATCCCCAGAACGTAAAGATTTACTCCGTACGGAGTGCCATGTAATGTTATCCAACTAGCTTGTCAGGCTAACTACGTAGCGCGAATGGTCAACCCCTGGAAGATCATCCATGTAAATTTTGCATCAACCCCACTCTGTCCCACTCTACCCCACTGAATCCACTGGATCCACTCCGCCTAAGAGGGGCCGAGCCCTGTTATTGGCGCGGGGCCGACGATCCGTGTGCCCGACACGGGAGGTACCCTCGGTCATCGCTGCGAGACTGTTGATATGTTACGAGCCAACTGATTATTGGTTAATTCATGCTGCAACTTGTTCAGCACGTTATACAAAGTAGAGCTTCAAGAGACTTGGATTTCCTCGATATACTACTTTGGGAATAGGGTCCCCCTATCGGTATCTCCACTGTTCTCCGGTGAAAATCATGTATTTATTTATTCTTCCTTCCCGCCCAATAATTTCCAAAACAAGTTTATTTATTGTTGCTTGTATTTTTCTTTTTTGGAGATTTCACTCCCATCCGACTCCCGCACCGTCTCATCCAAGTCATTACACACTATGTCTACCTTTGATTTTATTGTCGTCGGGAGTGAGTAGTATTGATTCAGCCATAACTTTGTTGCCACGAACCCCTAACACGTCTGGTAGGTGGCCCGTCCGGCTGCGCACTTGCCGCCGGCCTCGCTCATTCGACCACCAAGCCACGCGTCCTCCTCCTTGAAGCAGGCGAGAACAAGGAAGATCGCAGCCTTCGAGTTGATGGCCAGCGATGGCTCACCTTCCAGGACCAGTCAATGAACTGGGGATTCAAGACTACCCCGCAGGTGGACTGCAACAACCGTGAGATTGACTACAGTCGCGGGCGGTGCATGGGCGGCTCAAGCTCCATCAATTTCGGCGTGTACAGTGTTGGCGCGCGCGACGATTACCAGGAGTGGGCGAGAATTGTTGGCGATGAGACTTTTGCATGGGAAGGAGTTCAGCAAAAGTTCAAAGATCTCGAGACGTTCCATGCGGAGATCCCAGAGGGCATAGATAGAAAGTATGTGGATCCGAAGATGGAGAACCATGGAAGTGAGGGCCCGTTGCATGTAGGCTTTGCGCGGGAATGGGAGCGGGATTTAACAGACCTCCTGGATGTCTTCGAGCAGGCCGGGTTTCCGTTGAACCCCGATCATAATTCTGGAAATCCGATTGGTATGTCGGTGCTGATTAGCTCGGCGCACAAGGGATTGCGCTCGACAGCAGGTGATTTGGTCAAGGAGAAACTGGATAATTTGACTATTATTACTGGGGCCCCTGTACAGCGTGTCCTCCTAGAGGGAAAAAAGGCTGTGGGCGTTGAGTCGAACGGAAATAAATGTGAAGACGCAATATACCCCTCCAGCGTGTCAGTCATATACTAATAGTTGTGAACAGATTACGCTTCCAAGGAAGTCATTCTATCTGCCGGCTCGCTGAACGACCCCCGTATCCTGATGCACTCAGGCATAGGCCCCGCTTCCCAACTCCAGCAATACAATATCCCTGTCGTCCACGATGTACCCGCCATCGGCCAGGGGCTCCGCGACCATTGCTTCGTGCCGATGGTGAATACTCGCACAGCAACCAGCACAGACAGGAAATCCTTTTATGGGGATAAAGCCGCCATGGAGGCTGCGCAAAAGCAATGGGAAGAAGACGGGACAGGCCCTTGGGCGAAATTTGCCTGCGAGTTGGGCATCGGTTGGTTCAAGTTGACCGAGCAGCTTATTTCCACGCCAGAATTCAAGGCCCTTCCAACAGATGAACAGAAGTATCTTCTACAGGAAACCGTGCCACACTACGAGGTCCTCACGCATTTCCCCGTTCACTGGGTCATCCCGGATTTCCCGACCGAGGCGTTGAACTACTCCTGTCTGCTCGTCTTCTTGTTCAATGCCCAGACTCGTGGAGAAGTCACATTGCAATCTTCAGATCCTGACTCTCCGCTCTCCTTCAACCCCAAGTTCCTGGCCCACCCGTTCGACCGCCGCCTCGCGATCGAAGCCTTGCGCGACTCGTTCCGCGTCGCTAAGCACGAATCCTACACCAAGGACAATGTGGCGGAGCTGGCAATGCCAAAGGGCGACTCAGATGAGGAACTACTCGAGTACTGGCGGCAGAACATCTCGTCGAGCTGGCACATGACGGGAACAGTGAAGATGGGCACGAAAGACGATGTAGACGCAGTTGTGAATCCGGATTTCAGGGTGGCAGGTATTGAGAATCTGCGTGTGGCGGATATGTCGGTTGTGCCGGTGTTGGTGAATGCGCATGTGCAGGCCGTTGCGTATGTCACTGGTGCAATCTGTGCGGAGAAGTTGGTGAGGGAGTATAGCCTTTAGATTCCCAAACACCTCCTAGTCTTAGTGGACTCTAGCTGATACAAATTCCCACCCAATGGAGATTGTACATTTCGTCTCCATGGATGTATGGTAGATATGCTTATAGAAAAAGTTTATAGAATGCACATGCACTCACACATATATTATGACTAGTCTCGTTACTAAAGCAGATTAAGTAGAATTTTGATCAAGATTGATGTCACTGAAGGAAATACTCTCTTCAGTCAATACATGTAGTCTCTCTGCGAAACTGCGAGGTTTCAGTATTGTGGCACGCTAATTCGGAAAATGGGGATTTTCCGTTGTTATCAAGAAGTGGGGAACTTTCCAAGGTTTTTGCGTGCCGGTAAACTTAAAAACTATTAACCCTATTATCGTAATATATAGTGGGGTAGCATAAATACAAACTAGAGTATACGAGGTACTAACTACATATGTTCGACAGGTGTAGAAATACATGTATTTACTAGCGTCACCCCCCGGGGATTACCAATTGGGAAAGTGGTAGCAAGTCGTACGAAGCCCACGCGTATGTTGTATGCACATCAAATCCCGTTCAACCTGAAAGATCGTCGGAGACCAAATGCTTCGAAATCAAGGGGGTTTCTAGATTGGCGAGAAGTCTTGGTAGGGTTATCTCTGCACAGAAATGGCATCAACAGGTGTCATATATGCATTATATAACCCTATTTTGGGACCTCGGGACCTCGGGACCTCTCGGGCTTTAATTCTGTATTGTCTAAGTAAATCAGTCCGGGAGCGCAAATTCATCGAAATTATGGAGTTGACAGATTTACAGTCTCGTTTGCAAAAAGGTGGGTTTCGCTGTACCCACCTATGTACGTGGCGGGGCTAGTGATAGTGTTAGGCGACCCGAGAGTTCACAATGCACATACGTTGTACTTCAGTACCTACTTTCTAGGCTCATTATTAGAGCAGCGATACGTATTGAATTTTATAATGACGTGTACCCGAGCACCTAACCTAGTGAATAGTGTGAGAACAACTCCTTGTTCAAGTTACCTATAATTAGACTGTTACAAGACCCATAAATGTGTCGAAGATCCCTACCCAGGAACCAACCCAGGACCCATTGTGGCGGCTTCCCCCGTTGGACCGATGAAACCCAGCGTTACATAAATCTCGGGCCGTAGGTGTCATTAAACCGGTAGCTCCAGTTGTTTCCCACTGTTCTAGTCACTCTTATCAAAATTTTAAATTATGTTGTACATCACATCAATTCCTAAATTAATAAAGCACTACTAACTACAACAGTCTATACCTGTGGGATTCACCCACCTCCACTCGGGCTTTTTTAGCTCATGAATAGCGTAGTATATAATTCAGTATTGTGTACAGATTGAAACCAATTTAATATTTAAACAATAGTGCTCTTAACTCTCAATTTAAAATATAGCAGGTCTTCAAGAGTATGACTAACCACCTAAGTATGTGTCTGTCATACAATAAATTAGCAAATCCAGGGGCTTATATAATATAGAAAGAGAGCAATTCGAGAGATTCGACAAATTAGATATAATACCACATACAGGTTCAATACTAAGGGCGAAGACTAATTGGGGAATATTAGGCCAATCCCTACGCCACAGGAAAAAGTGGGTGGGTGAATCCCACAGGCATAGACTGTTGTATGTAGCTGGCATCTTTACCAAATTCAAGTATTCGTGACTACGCGAGGTGGGTGTTTATTTGATGCGGTTCTATAGATTGATGTTTTAGGTAGTGGTGCATTTTGTAGTAAAAACTACAAAGTTCAATAGAAAGCCGAGCCATGCATCATGCATAGTGCTTTGTGCCGTCGAATCTAGTACAAAAAGCCTAGAAAGAAGCGTAGATCAATTAGGGCTGCATGCCCTGCACCAGCCTATTTTGTAGACACGTGGCCACCATAACTAGAACACTAGAGGCAACTCCGTTGGCCGCCATGCTCTATATCCAACTTTTGATGGGTTATTTTGTCTGGTTTCATGGCTTCAATATCGGAGATCTTGCATTTCATCCATTCTGGCTAACAAATACCCCTCCAATTCATGTGTGACGTATATAACAACAACAAGTCGTGTCACTATCACATGCTATCACATGCTTGATGATCGTTCTTTGTTTGCTTTTTTTGCCTTGCTTAGTCATACAAATGGGGGATGGAGTACCCGCGATATATCATCCCGCGCACGAAATTGTGGGACCAGTTGTACGATCTCGGCATTGAGATGGATTACGACAAGATCATTTCGAACCCGTAGGCCACCCGCTACGTGGTCAAATTTATGCACCAAACAGGTCTCCTCCAGCAATTTCGACACGTTGAGATTAAGGACGACGACGACGAACTGATAGGCCTTACGGCAATAGATCTAGGTATAGAAGACGATGGGTATTAGCCAATGACGAAAATAAAGCTGTAGAGCGAGAAACTTAGCCAGGGATGACAATCATGCCGATGAACTGGCCACCAAAAACATCGCCACCGATTGAAACTGAGGCAGGGGGGAGAACGGAGGTTGTGGAGGAGGGGAGAGTGAGAAACGAGAAGTGGGAGTTAGAAGGTGGAAGGTGCACTCCACGGCAATCATTAATTATTTTCTTATGTATGGGTTTGGGTTTACGGGATTCACGGGTTACAGGAATTGGCTGATTCCACACTCTTTCTGATCGGCATCTGTATACTCTCTAATACTCGGCGTTTGGCCTCGAGTTCTTACTTCAGTTGGAAGAAGCGCCTGCATAGTCATACGCAACTAGTTAGGCTGCAACAGGTTAATTGAACTTTGATTGATTGATTGATTGATTTCGGTCTACATGACCAAGAAGATCAACGAGAACCACCATCTCTGGGGTGTCAAGGATAACTTAGCTATTTTTATCGGAGGTACCGAGACCGAGAACTGACACTTGGCTCACAAGTTCTTGCCACAAGCGATATCCGATGGCTCGCAGAACGAGTATTTCGCTGACCTAGCAAATGCCATTCAACGGACGGCTGTTTAGATACAGACTCAGCTGACATCTTGAGACAAGCCTTTGACCTTGGCATATCTTGGTTTCAATGACTTTTGCTATACTGCATTGGCTTAGGGAGACCAAGTATATTATCTGTATTAGGGAGGCCGAAGGTAAATCGGTATACATTAGGGGAGACGACTTTTTTATAGGTAAGAGGGAAGCTCTTAAACTAACGCGGGTCTAGTAGAGGTTACAAGTAGTTAGTAGTTTACAGATTGACAATACACACTCCTACACCTCTCCAGCTTGACTCCTTGGTTTCCTGTCCCGGTTGCCTTTGCAAGGCCATGGAAGGTAGGGAGCTGAATTGCGGCTGCTGAATCGACCCGTATGCCAGAGAGCATACTGCCTTGAGCGTTCCTCTCTTTAATATCTAGCTTAGATAAAATCTATATTATTACTCTAAATGTAATAGATAGCTAGGTAATACTAGCAATTCTGAATCCGGACTAGAACTAGCCGGTGGAGTTAGGGCAGCTGGATAGAATAGTTAAGGTAATCTTAGATAGCTTCTTGAAGATCGGCGTAAATTGCCCCTATCCATTACTATAGCCGCTATAAGTTATACCCCCTAAAGCACCGGTTATACTAAATTAAAGTAATATGAAAGTCAACGAGGGAACACGGCTAGGTGATGGCTTAATAGATATAACAGCGGCTTGAGTAACTTATTCAAATTTGGGACGGTAGATCTCGATTGATTCGGCGTGTTTCTAATTCAAGTCGGGTTGTTGCTACTGATGTGTTGCTATTGATGTGTTGCTATTGATGTGTTGCTATTGATGTGTTGCTATTGATGCGTTGCTATTGATGTGCTATAAACGTGTTTTTATTTATCATATTTCCTCTCGCGTAGGAGTACTTTAATCCCACTCCCTTTCTTTTTTCTTCCTATTCCTCCTTTCCTCTCTACTATTCACCCACATCATTCATCACCCATATCATTCAATCCATCCAGCCAAAATGGATAATGACACGTACGAGTATCAATCTAATTAACTATGATGAGATCCAGACTAATAAGAATATATTTCCATAGTATCCCCGGTATCCCGTCTACCCTACCGGTTCTGAAGCCAGGAGATAGGACCTCTAACGCTGGTCCTTGGTCGAAGCACATCAAACGCCTGCCTTGGTCTATTGCTAAAGAAGGAGATCTTGTGAAATCTGTGTTTGTCAAATTCATGATGAGCCAGGAGAAGAAGCGGGAGCCAGTCGTGCGGCCTACTATGGGCCTTAACCCTGAGCGTTGGAATGAGGATATTGGGTCAAATATCCACAATGTTGAGGCTGTCTTTGTCCATATGGTAGGATGTGAGGCGTCCGTACGCTGTAACAACTGTCTCGCAGGCCGGGGGATCTTTGCATTATGTGTGGTGGTTGATGAGCCAGGGTTCCCTGAGTGCTGTGGAAACTGTATGTACGGTGGAAAAAGGGGGAAATGTACGATCCTTCAGCACGGCTGAAGCCAGCCAGTCAGTGTGGCTAATGCTGGGGTCTTCGGTGGTATGGCTGTCGCTGGATCGCAAACTTCGAGCTGATATCGTAGCAAGCCTCGACGGTGTCATCCTCCAGCTACACAGGAGTTTATAACACTCCAACAAGTCCAGGCCACTGCCGTGGCATATCAACATGAGGCTCTCATCAATGTACCAATGTACCCCGATCTTGATCAAGTGGAGTTGAAATTAAAGTGAAATTGAGATTAAAGTGAACTTCGATCCTGGAACCTGAAATTTATTTCTGGGACATTTCTACTGTACAACGAGTGGATTCTGGAACTTTGACTTGGAATGAACAAAGACAAGCAGTGTAATCATAAATTACTGTTCGCTGGTCATGAAAGGGATCGCATTTGGGCGTGCTTCTATCTTTCGGGAGCGCTCAGGACTATACAGAACCTTGTTGCGGTCCATAGAATTCAAAATGTGAGGAAGTTCTTGCTCAAAATTTCAAAGTAGACGGAAGAAGTGCCTGTTTGCGTGAGCTCAATACTATATCTTGTATTTCCTGCTGGTTATGCACGAAGTACCCATGTCGCGGAGTTTTTTGTCTTCCGCCTGTACACCGGCCTTTTTGCTGCGTCTTACATGTCAACGGACGGCGGGACCGTCATATAATTGCTTCCAAAGGATGAGAGGGGACTAGCAATGGCTCTATTTGCTGCGGGGCCACTTCTTGGGCCAGTATGTTCTTCATCCAATGCTATTTAAAAGAAAGGCCTTGGAATCAAGAGACCAACATGACTACTAGGTTCTTGGGCCTATTGTTGGAGGATCTGTGACTGAGAATATAAACTGGAGAAGGACTTTTTATCTCATTCTCAGGCTTGTAAGTCATTCCACGCCTCGTCCCCTGTACAAGCATTGACCATAGGCTACCAGGCCGGCACCATTACGGTTACCTCTTTCATAGTTATGCATGAGACAAGCGCCGCCACAATTCTCAAGGAAAAACCTACCCGCTTGCGCAAAGAGGCAGGAAATCCAAATTTGCGTGTAAAGGGCGGCAAGCAGATCCCAATCAGTCATCTTACTGCTCATCCCGTGACTCGTCCAGCCACTTTCCTTATCCTCTCACTCGTTCTCTTTCTGATCTCTCTTTACATTACGTTCAATCTTGGTGTGGCCATGTTATTGTTTGCGACATACCTAACCGTCTTTGAAACCTACTATGGCTGGAGTGTTGGTGTCAGTATCGACTGTGCCGTTGGTGTGTTGATCTTTGCCAATCTTAGTGACCGCTTGCTGTATGCTGAAGGTGGGAATTTCCGCGCTGAGCAACATCTGATCTTGATGATGTGGGGCAAAGTAATCCAGTGTTATTTTTGCCTTCACTCCCTTCCTAGTTGCTTCCAAGTTTCACATTCCTTATCCCCAAACCGTTGCATCCTCCGTGGGTTTATTATCTTTTCAATCGTTTCTTTCTACTGTGTTTCTCTCTTTTACTTACTTTGCCTTTCCAAGGCATGGCCTTTCTTCATCCAGTCAGTTTGCAAGTTCAAACTTATATTTTAATCTCCGAATATACAAGATTGATAAAACTAAACATGAGCCTCATCGTGAGGCTGAAAAAGCTTCGCGTGGACTAAGATGTAAGTGGAGAAATCCAGAAGCGTAGTTAGTCTATGCCTATCAGCCTCGAATAGCACCAGTTTCCACCACGATAGCCACTAGATAATGAGAATCGATGTCGATTCGAAAGTCCGATCCTCACGTAGGGAATTGATGCATGTCACGTTGAGGGGTTCACACTTCAGAAGCAGCCTGATTGCCGAAAGATACATGGTCAGTTGGTTTAGTAGTCATGCAGCAATGGTATCTCCTGGGATGGGCGACGCGAGGTATACAAAGAGACGGAACATGTAATTAATATATAACCTTCATATTCAGTGTTTGTTTCTTGATACTATAAATTTGTTGCCAGCCTTAAGTACTCTTGCACCCAAAAACGCGCCCTAGAAGAGATATTAGCAAATGATATGGTTGTAGCACATTTCCGTCTTTCTGTTGTTGAGATAACCACCCACCTATTGAGCCGTTTCTATACGCAACGATAATCTCATCGACCACGCCATAAGTCCCACCAGTGAGCATAAATAAGCCCAACAGAACAAGAAACATATGTGCCCCATAAGCCATTCGCTGTGCCATAGACCCCCTTATCCAAGATTTGTGGTCAGCTATCCACAGCCATCCAGGCAGCGATACCGCAAGAGGCGCATAACAAAGACTGCCCACCAGTGCGATGAGATAGTTGAAGATTGGAATGGCTTCGGCTAGAATAAAGGATATTGCGGCCAGTCCGATGATCAATCCAATCCACGTCGCCCAATGCGTCATCGTGTTCCGTTGGATGTGCGTTGTGTTCCGAAGAAGACGAACGAAACAGTACTTGGCTGTGACATGCAGGTACAAGCACGCGCTGACAATGATCCCAGCAATCCCAACTCCATAGGCAACCATTTCCACAGTATGGCCCGCCGAGCCGAGCGAAGGTGATGCCACCCATGTACCGCACCACCTGTAGATGACCAAGGAGAGCGAGAGATAGGAAGCTATGACAAATGCCATGCACACGAAGAGCGCTTTGCGGTAATCGCGCGGCTTCTTCATTTCACTGATCACCGGAAGGAAGGCACTAGTTCCAGCAAACGACGCAAAGATCGTACAGGAAGCGGCCATGCCGGCCGCGAAAGTGGGAACAGGATACGGCAGGGCTTGATATCCCAGATCAAAAGCGCCAACAGCTGGGGCGGCTGCCGGTCGGTCCCGCGTGGTGACAGCCACTGAGACAATGAATACCGCAGTGAAGATGCTGATGAACCCTACCCAGGTGAGCCAGCCGATATGCTGGAACTTCCGGACCGACGCTGCTGCTGCAATAATCACAGTCGCTAGAAATGACCACCACACTTTGCACACCGTATGACCGGAGAGGACATCCAGGCCTATGGAAGCACCAACAATCCCGGATCCAGTAGCAATGAGATATGCGAAAATGAACAACACCCCAGTGATCTCTTGCGCAATAATCCCACCGACTTCCCCAGCCATGTCGGCGATACTGTGGCAGCTTGGATTGTTGAGTCGAAACTCTCCCTGGATCATGCCGGTGTAGGTATTAAGCAGGCCCCATCCGATGATACTCAAACTGCCTCCAATAGCCCCCAGGGTCGAGATAGCAATTGGAATTGATAACACACCGGTAGCGAAGACGGTTTTGAGGAAGATTATAGTGGCACGAGGCCAGGTCACGGTGCGAAAGTCGACCTCTGCGGACTCAGAAAAAACTTCGTGATCAGCTGATTGAATCATCTGACCAACACTCTTGTTAGGGCTGTCTTTAACAAGTATAGCGCCAAGGTGGTTGCCCTTCTCGGAGGTTGCAGACGGCATTGTGCCTTGTTGACGATGGGGCTTTAAATTAGAAGCAGTTGAGTGGAGAAGAATCTAGGAATCGTAGAAAACAACAAAATTGAGATGGCGTGTTGGAGAATGCTGTGGATGGTCAACTTATATGAATGTAATGTTACACAGGTCGCGAGTCGTTATCATGGCATTCAGTCGAGCATTAGAGAACAACCTGGAAAAGCCTTATCTGGACAATGCAAGCCCACTTGATTGGTATGGTGGCCAGCTTCTGAAGGTCAAGCGTGGCTTTGATTTCAAAATGATATCTAGGAGGGGAAACACGAAGCGAGGTCCACATCCCCCAAGGGTTAATGGCAAGCCCCTTGATAGGGGGACCTAAGACAGTTGACAGCAGGCTCTCCACATTAGCATAGACAGAGATAGACACGGCCATACCTAACTCGCAATAGCCTGGCAATAGCCTGGCAGTTAGTGTTTCCCTGCTTTCAAGCGAGATCGGAGTACTCGATTTTCGCCCCGAAAGCCATTTAAGTTGCCGACCCCGAAGTATTCCATCTAGAATAGCCCTATCGGATGGCACACCCCTGTCCGTCTTTTGTGGATCGAGAGATCATGCTGGTATCTGGGATTGAGAGTAGGGGAAATCCAACCCCAGTCTAAGTTGATGCTCTGAACACATGGTTGCAGTACGTACGACCTCCGTGTGTTCGAAAAGGTGAATTGGATATGGCTGATAGTAGCACCTTTACAAGAAGAAAAAGCCTAATAATACAAGTTTTTACATTCTAAAATGTCAAAATATTCACAATTATTACATATGAATAGCGCATGTACAAACCCACTAACTAATACTTTCGAATTGAAACTAAGAAGACCTCTTCCTGAGTCGTGCATAGCGGGAAAAGCATAATCTGTCACTTAAATTTTTTGTGTGATCATCATGCTTGTGTTGCAATTGTTTGAATTAATGGAGAGAAAGCTTTCATTGGAATAATACAGTACATGTATATACCAACATGATTCCTCACATCACACACCGTTTGACCGCGGATCTTTGCCTACCCTCGTTTTCATCTTAGGCTGCACATACTTTCCGAACAGTTCCACCCCACTCAAAAATTCATCAAACTGCAGCATGACACCTTTAACGCCCTCAACTTCGGCAATTTCGTCCAACAGGCCTGCCACCTTCGAGTAACTGCCCACCAAGGTGCCTCCATTCAGGTTGACCAGATGACCCGCTGACGCTCCTTCCACAAAACGTGCGACCATACTTTGCGCGTCTGCCTTTGTGTCCATCTTTGACTGGGAATGAACCCAGGCTACAGCCTCCTCATCAAGGTTGTCACAGTAAAGCTTCCATTTTGCCTCAGCTGCCTCGTCCGTTTCGTCCATAATAAGCATCATAAGAATCTATCATCCATTGTTAACTATAACCCTCTCAATGCCACAAGAGAGCATCAGCTAGCAGGATTCTTACCATGGCCCCAACATCCCTCCCCGTCTCCTTGGCAGCATCAACCAAACGCTGGTTCGAGTCAGCGAATGCCGTCGGGGCGTTGATCCCCTTTCCAAGCGTGAAGTTGTAGTCCGCATAATCCGCCGCAAATTTAGTGCCGCGGTCACTCTGTCCGGCAGCAATGATCTTGATCTCCCCAGCTGGCCGAGGCTCCAGGCGGCAATCGTCCATTTTGAAATACTTGCCGTCCAGGTCGCACTTGCCGTTCTTCCATAGCTCTTTCATGATCCGCACGTATTCCTCGGCGTAATCATATCGGTAGCCGAAATACTCGTTTCCGGGCCACAGGCCCATCTGGGTAAACTCTGCGCTTTGCCACCCAGTGACCATGTTGACCCCAAAGCGGTTCTTGTATTGCTCGGCCTCCGCTGTGCTGTTGGCAATATCATCAATTGTCACTGCCATTCTAGCACAGATAGCGGGAGGTAGAGCAAGGACGGCAGTCGAAGCAAACAGTTTGATGCGGGAGGTGCAGGCTGCGATGCCCGCCATAAGGGTGAAAGACTCCAGGTTATAGTCCCAGTGCTCGGTCTTCCCACCGAACCCTCTGAACTTGATCATTGATAAGGCGAAGTCGAAGCCATATGACTCGGCGAGCTTCGCAACTTTACAGTTCAAACCGAAGGAGGGTTTATAGTGCGGGGCCGCGGTGGAAATTAGCCATCCATCGTTTCCCTGCGAAAAAAATGAGAACAAAATTTATTGTACAGTCTATCACTTGACTTACAATAGGGAGGAAAACGCCAATATCTAGGGTCTTGGAGGTCTCGGAAGGCATGATAAGTGTTAGTGGACTTTAGACTGTGGTCTCTGCTGCCAGGGAACTTTAGCGCGTCGAAATGAATTGGGTGTTGGAAATACTGAGCATGGAATTGCGTGCCTTTTAAAAGCAAAATCGTAAAGCATCTCTTGAAATAGGCGAGCTCTTCATGTCCTCGCTCCTATAGACATCGGGGGAACTCAAGTGGATCCATTTCGTTCGGCGCGAGAATGTCAATGTTTAGCAGCCAATCACCGCCCGAGCCTGAAATGTCCATTGACACTGAGCGCTATATGATAGGGTACTGCTTATCTGCGGGGGAGAGGATCCCGGGCCGCACCGCAGCGAACCAATCATGTGTCGAGTCACTAGTAGTATACCCTTAGATCTCCAGTCCAAGGCACAAAGAGACCTGATGCAGGTACAGCTCAAAAAATGGAGTCGAGAAACCAATACTTGAACAAGATGTAGGAAACTGTGCACAATCACCGAGGTACAAAGCCCCTGTCTCACGCAATGCGAGTATATCCCCCGTTCTCTCTCTCGGTGCCCATTGATGCCTTGCTTCACTTTATCGGCCATTTAGTATTTAGTATATACGTAGCAGGGAAGTAACTCTAATTAAGTTCATGTGGGTTATTGTATCTATATGTGTATCTTGGAAGCTAATGTCTCACTTAGCATGCGTGTGACGATAATCATAATGCCAATCTTCTCGCGCAAGATCCGCCCGGATCTTGTATGAACTCTCCCCCTCTTCAATAATGCCCATATCCAGATCGACCACCAGTATACCCTCTGCCCAGTCAAGCCGTGCCAACGGGCCAGCAAATGGAACACAAACCTGTGAGAGACCGATAAACGACTGAGCGGGAGGACCTCCAGCGTTAGCAAAAATAATCCCTGTGCCGAAACCGATTAGATATAGAACAGAAGGACTAATAACCAGGATTGGTGTAGGACTCACCACATGTATTCTCGAAGCACCGACCAGTCAGGAGCGAGTCGATGAACAGCTTCTCGGCGATCGGATTCACGACTCTGCCTTCCTCGCTAGTTTCGTTGAGTAGCCAGAATGACGGCATGATGATCAACTTTGCACCCTGTGCTATCAGCTCGCGGAAGGCCTCCGGAAAGCTCAGGTCCCAGCATATCAATAGCCCAACCTTGCCTAGCGGCGTGTCAAATACTTGGTGAGGCTCGCGCGCGCTGCCCGTGAGGTGAGCCCGTTCCACGGGGCCCCAGAGATTCTTTTTGACATATTTCCCTACAATGTCTCCCTTGTCGGTGATAAAATATGCCGCGTTCAGCAGCTTCTCGGATTCGTTGCGCGTGTCGTGAAGTTCAACGAGCGTGCCGGGAACGATGTTGATGCTGCATTTTTTTGCTAGCTTGCAGTACTTATCTAGATAGATGTTCCAGGACCTGCATGCAGGCTTGAAATCCGGATCCTCGGGCGCCCATCCCGTTAGATGATACTCGGGGAGAACTGCTAGTTGAGCACCCTGATTGGCCACAGCCCGAATGAGACTGGTGGCCTTGTTGAAGTTCGCTTCCACCTGAAGAGTCTGTAAATGGGGATAATCAGCAAAAGTATCTAGGTTAAGGGAAATCGAGGTGATAGCCTACCTCCGAGTGCATTTGAATCACTGCAACTTTGTACACGGGAGCCATATTTTGCCCCTTAGACGTCGAAATCAAGGCACTCATCATTTTTGGTCTAATTTAAACTGGTAGGAGAAATATATAAATGATATGACATCGTATTCTATTTGCACGGGAACTGATGGGGATTTTTTAGTCTCAGTTTCGTATCGAGCGACAAGCCGAACTTTCTCGGGCCGAACTCAAACTCAAACTCAAATTCGGACCCGAACTAGGGTCTATAGGGTACCAGTACCGCCTTCTGAAGATGACATTGAGTGGTCAGTTATTTCAAACAAAAGAATGAATTCAATTCTGCATTCCAATTATAGGAGGAAGGAGAAATGTGCAGTGTCGAACAAGGTATGTGGGTCCCTCTTGTATAACCGGGTCATGAAGAAACATAATATGGAGTGTAAACGAATGAACAATAATTGTATAAGCTTGATGATAATGTATTGGATACCTAAGCCACATAGCACTTTACTTAGACAGAGCCTACGCCATCCGACCTCGAGCCGTGGACAGAGAGTCGTGCTTCAACAGGTCTTTGCGTCTTGGGAGGCAATGACTCGCGCGCCGCGCTTTCACACCCACCAAAGATCAACTGCGCCTTGAGCTGCCAGTTTTCGGGAATTTCCCAAGCGATCGCAGCCTGCTGGTCGACCAGCGGATTGTAGTGTTGAATATTGGCCCCAAGGCCCTCGGCCTCCAAGGCTACCCACAGAGCATATTGATGCATGCCGCTGGTGTGTTCGCCCCACTGGGGGAACCGCTCCGCATAGAGCTCATATTCTGCCTGGAGATCTTTGATGGTCTCTTCGTCCTCGTAAAATAGGATCTTTCACTTGTGATATTCGTTAGCTACGAGCTTGTCCCATTGATGGTAGGGGTGGGCGGACACAGGGGAATAGGAGAATAAGAAAGAAATTTAAACAGACCGTGCCATAGCTGTTTCTGAAGCCAGCTATGCGCTTCTCTGTCTTGAGGAACGCACCTTCAGGGACTATTGCCCTCAAGCATTCCAGGACAATATTCCAAAATTGAACATGCTCGTCATGAAGGAGGACGACTAGCCGCGTGGACTGCGAGTTGAAAGAAGAGGGCACATCTTGAATAACGCTGTTGGCAATACTCACGATTTGGTCGTCTGAGATTGGGGACGTGTTGTTGAGCTGGTAGATGCTTCGACGGTAGTGCATCGCATCTAGGAAGGTCGAGGGTGCTGCCATTGCCACGCAGAAATCGGATCTCTAGGTTTAAAAGGCGAGTTGCTGAAGACTTTTATTAGCCCAGCGAGCCGCGAGCGAGGAGGGCATTTATATGTTAAAGCCCAGCGAGAAATTTGCACGGGCTCGGCAGATATTCGCTTGCCCGAGGGTGAAGCGGGTCCTAGATAACAATTTCAAGGGCGCATCGGGCGACGTCAATGCCTTAGCCTGCATTCTGATGGTCAGGGCTTTTCAATATCAACCGCGAGCAACTCTCTTCTGTAACTCGCTGGTCCTTTGATCCATGAGTCCTGACTCCTGACCTGGCAGTACATATATGTTTGTCTCTCGGTATTTCAAGTGATAGTGCGCTCCAATCCTTCATACTGGTTCACTTGGACTTATTCTCCTTGGAAAACGCACTTATGTTATTGATATCTTGCTAAATTCGTGACATCATCGCCAAAAGGCGGTAATTAAATATACAATACTTTGAAGAAAAGACGATTCCATGGCTATGTCAGCATGATGGGAGTTTTCAGCTCGGCCATGACATCGCGCCAGTCGACAAACCCCAGACCACGACTCGAAGGAGGGAGTCTCCCATCTGTGTCGAGGTGGCGGTCCGTTCGCTTCCATACCTCTAGAACCAGAGCCCTTGCCCGAGACAAGTTGCCGATCCCCTTTGCCGAAGCATTCTGAAACCACTGGAGACATCTGTGTCGCAATTCTACATCCACAGCCTCACAAGCCGCAACGAGGGCAGGCCATAGTGTGATGGCAGGTCTGATCGATCGGCCCCGAGTGAGACATTGAATAGTCTCGAGGGAATCGAAGGTTAAAGCGACGAATTTCTGATAATCTTGGAAAGGGGTTTCCAAATTGGCCCATCTCGGCCTGCCTTTGTCCGGATAGTCCGTCTCAGAGCGCCTGAATTGTGGTGAGTCAAAGCAACGCCCAAAAAACAAAATGACGGCATTATGAAAGGCCCATTGGTGGCTCTCAAGCAGCTCGTCGCGAACAGCTGTAGGGATAACCGCATCTTCCCCGAATGACCAGAGAAGTTTCAGTTTAGGATCGGGTACGTAGAAGTTTATCTCATCATTTAGGGCGCTCCTTGATAACGCCTCAGAATCAAGTGTGATATCGTAGAGCTGTGCTCTAACGTCTTCGAATTCTTTGACCAGGCTTTCCTCAATGCTAACGCGCGGGTCCCATTTAGCAATCTGTCGGTCGGCACGAACGGTTCGATAGAGTAATGAGATCGTCCGCTGACTGATGCCAAAGCAGGTATCTAGAACATAGTGGGACGACATGGCTATCCTTTCGGGATCTTGGAACTCCATCGAGGATCTAGAGAAAGTGGAGAAATTATCAGCGTCCTCATCGGGAGATGCAGACTTTGTTGGACTGCACTCATTATATTGAGGTCCACTGCCTAACGGCCCTTGGGTAGTCGTAACTAGGAGTTCGTAGAACCGGTATATCTGATAAAGCACGCTGGAGCGAAAGCTCGACCTCCAAAAACAACTCGAGCCGGTCATAGTGAACACTCTGTGAGCAAGATCAAGGTGCTCTTGGTAGCCCTTGCTATCAGACGCGAACACGTTACTCGAGATTAGAGACAATGTGCAGGCCAACAAGGCATGCTTCTGGGCCTCTGCGTATTCCGCATCACTGTCACTCAAACAATTATCCACCAACTGTGCAGCGTCGAGCGCATAAACTTTAGCCCGGACTAGTAGACTCTGTCGCTCTGAACCACTGGGTTGGGCCCGGTGTAAAGCTGAGACGGCAAGGATGGCGTGGCGTAACGCGAGAGTAGTGCGATCTGGTGATCTTGCGAGAGCCAAAGGCAAATAGATCTGGAGCCATGGGTTTCGTGGTGAATCTATAGCTGGCATCATGATGTGCCCAACTACCTCGCGATAGTGCCTGATCAAGAGCACTTCGTGGTCATCAGGCCCGTCCCGATTCGACGGCCAGCCCGGAGGGGTTTGCAAAGTAGTCTGGCCGTGGGTAGAATTATCCATTGATTCAGGCGAAGACATTCCAGTGCCACCTGGTGAGGAAATGATGGGTGGATTGAGGTTCTCATTGGTCTCTACACTCTCAAGCGGGCTTGATGCAATGGAGATACGCGGACTTGGGGCAAAGAAAGCCTCTGCCGGTTGGTCGGCCTCACTTCTCTGAGTATGAAGTACTGGGGCAGCCTTTGCCTTATTATCAAATATCTGTGCTATCGCAGTGGTAGCCGCGGGCGCGACAATAAATCCATGACAGACATGCCGCCGTGAGCGTTCGCAGTTGGCACAGGTTGGCCGTCGTCCGTCACACTACAGTTAGAGTCAGAGAGGTAGAGTCCCCCAAGGTAAATTTTAAGATACAGACCTTGATCTTTCGCTGGCGGCAGGTGAAACATCCCTATCATAGCGTTAAGCAAGATGGCCGATCGTGGGAAGAGAAATGCATTGTGGGAGTGTGGGGGGACGCGGGAGGGAGATTGAAGGAACGCACAGTATACACTCTACCCCCGCGTCGCCCTGCCCTGGGTTTCTCAATGGTCTTACGGGTAGTAGGGAGTTGACTGCTAGAACTTCCGGCGATTGCGGGATCAATAGGGAGACACTGACGATCGATAGCCCAATTGAGGATACCACCCCAGGGATCGATATCAGTCGAGTTGTTCAACTCCATCAATCCAGAGACTATGGGTTTTTGCATGTTTATCGCGAGAAAGCGAACTCGGGTAAGTTGTCTGGAGCTGAAAGTGAGCCTATCTGGGGGTACCTAAGCACTTGGCACTATATTTGCTTACGTTTCCCCAAAGATAAGCTTATGCAACACAGGTGTGGTGATTCATGATAGGTGATGATCGGAGCGAACGAGGGTTCGATCTTATCACTGCCATTTATGTATGTAGATGTTCTTTTCATCCGCATGTTCGCATGTTCGCACTTTCGCAGCGAGAGATTTCGCTTCGGACTTGGCATCCCCGAAAAACCTCAGACATCCCAAGCGAAGTCTTATTGCAGTTCCCCAAACCTAGCCCCAGCCTGCAAGATAAATCCTAGTATTTAGAATTTAGTATTTGGTACTTAGTACTTAGGATACAATACTCCGTTTGTCAAGTTTAATAGAATTTATTTGCCGAAACTCCCTCTTTCCATAGGTTCTTTTCCATATCTAGTTTACTCGTGAACTATATACCAACCAACACAATGATAACCTCTACATCGCCCTATATCCATTCCCAGCTCGCCCAGGGACTTGCACCTGCTATCTCTTCCATTTCTAGCACAGCTAAGGAAGATTCACTGCCAAGATCCCAGATTGCCCTTGTCTTGCAAGGGTTACGCCAGCCATATACTATAACCCCAGCCCATCCAGTTCCCCTCTTATCGTACCCCGACGAGCTCATGATCAAGATCCAAGCCATCGGACTAAACCCGATTGACTGGAAATCAGTGTATGTGCCCATATATAGAGTTTATCTGACCAAACTAACATGTCTGCCAGTGACTATGGCTTCGGGATTCCCTCTCTCCCTTACATTGCTGGTCGGGATTTCGCTGGTGTGATTATAAAGGCACCTCGGGCATCTTCCTATATAGAAGGCGATGTGGTAAGTCGGAACAAGAAGGTTGTCTATTATACAATACATGCATTTGCTCACAAGCCATCCAGGTCCTCTGTGCATCCACAGACTACCGTGATCAACGAAAAGCAGCATACCAAGAGTACGCTATCGCCCAAGAACATACAGTTTGCAAATTGCCCTCCCATGTTCCCGTCACACACGGTGCTGCCCTGGGGGTGGCCTATGTGGCAGCCACCTTGGCTCTGGGGGTATGTCTGGGCCTTCGGTTCCCGGCCTTAACAGGTAACGATCTATGCGACGTCCTGCAATCGTTACCGCCCGACTCTTTCTCTGCTGATGTTCGATCCGAGTGTCAGGAGTCGATCGACGAGCACGAGAGACCTTGTACAGGGGATTGGGTCGCCATATGGGGTGGATCGTCCACCAGTGCGCTATTCTTGTCCCAGATCGCTAGCCTTGCAGGCTTGAAAGTCATCTTGGTAGTGGATGTGGCGAGACACGGAGCAAGGCTAGCCAACTCTGGCTGTCTTCTCGTTGACTGCCACGATCCCGCTAGGGCTGTCGTGACTATTCGAGGCATCACCCAGGGAAGCCTCCGATTTGGAATCGATACCGTTGGCAAAGAAACTGCAACCCAACTCACCCAATGTCTCGAAGCGGGTCCGGAAAAGAGAGCCCATCTCGTTGCCTTGGCGGCGCTCCCGAAAAAAGAGGTACCAGGAATTGTTTACCATTCGGTACCCATGAAGATCTTCCACGAGGTGCCTGAAATTGGGAAATGTCTGATGCTCTGGCTAGGAATAGCTCTAGAAAAGAGCTTATTATCACTTCCCACCATTTCAACAGTTCCAGGGGGTTTGAGTGGGATCAACACAGCCTTGGATCAAATGCGCCAGGGCCAAGTGTCAGGCAGACGGCTGGTCGTTCCTATTTAAGCTATATAGATCATGTTTTAATGCATATCGCCAAATATTTTCTATCAATTACGAAGCACATTATACTTTAAGAATACTAGTACGAAAATCATATCCATCGCCCCTAAATGTACCCTAATTTCTGCCAAGCTGCGACTAAATTACTGTTGGTCAGTTTTGGCGAAAGGTTAGCGGTTTACCTAGGTATCCCACTCACCACACTACTTCTTCAAACACTGCTCCTACATGAAAGTAGAATTGAAGTCAAACAAGGTGAAATTGATACAATGAATTCCCAATTTGTAAAATGACGTGGTGGGACCAGATGGCGGTCAGTTTTCCCGACGAATCAAAACAAAGTAAATGTTATAAATGTCACCCCCCGGTCAACGAGGAAGTCTGTAACAAATTTGATATATCAATGAAAATACGGCTATACGCAGGTCAATTCTGAATTCTTGATTGTCTCTGTCATATGCAAAAGTCGGTCCATATGGACCCATCCAATGCCCGGGGCTCAGGCCAAACCCCATATCCATACGACACAAATCATATCAGTGAACTGCTTAAGCGCAAGCGCCGCACCCGCGGCATTAAGTCATGCTTTCCTTGTCGTCATAGGAAGGTTCGATGTGATGGCAATATGCCATGCTCTAGTTGCGTGCAGCGTCACCACCCAGAGCTGTGCTGTGTGCCTTCTAGCTCAGGGAATGAGCCGTCTGCTTCTAATGAGAAGGGTAGCTCTTTCCCTATGAACAGGGAAGACGATGAAGGAAGACAGGAAACTAGCACTCTCAGGTATGGCTCAACCTGTTCTTCCTTATGTTTTCCGTGTGTTTTGGGGCCATGCAGATAGACATTATCTTATACCTTGAGGCCTTACAACCACTGACACATAACCAACAGCATTTCCGGGGAAGATCAATCGGTATATATAAATGAAAATGACAATTACACCCCGGGGATTGATCTCATTCTCATTCGGCTTGAGAAGATGGATCAGCAAATCTCTTCCCTCAAGGAAGAACTTCAACAGACCCGCTTGAATTCTGGATCAGGTACAATTGCTCAAGCCAGCTCATCATCTGCCGCAAAATCACTATTTATAGGGAGAGGCTCTACACTTGCTAAATCCCCCGGAAAGCACTTCATCGAGACGCTACCGGGGCCACCATCTTTTTGGGCAGCCATTCTGATCCACCAGTCGCCCTGGGATACCGAAAGGCCGGGAGTGACCCAATACTTAACGATGCAATGCTCCTGGACCAACTTGTCCCGCGGACGTATCCGTTTACAAATCTGTGGAAGCAAGAGCCTGGAGCTGGTGAGATCTGTGAGACTTTACCTGACGAGTCGGATATTATCCGGTATGTATCACTGTCGTCGAATGAATTATTATCATTGGCATGCTCAAATAAATATTGGAAAATACGCATGGATTATTGTACTGATTGAAGGGTATCAGATATTGGCAGGTCTATCAAACAAACGTACACCCCTTTTACCCAGCGCTGGTGACATTCGAGAAATTCAATATCTCGCTGTTTGCGTTCCTAAACAAGCGCACAGGGATACTGTTGGAGAATGAGATCTCGAGATTAGATGACGTGGATTCCTCATGGCTTGCACTGCTTTTTGCTGTGCTTGCCTGTGGAGTGCAGTTCTCGAATGATCCTATCAAGGAGCGATGTACCGAGTCTTAGTTAGAATTAGTTGATAGGACTGACTGATTATAGGATCAACGATACGGCTTGCACAGAGTATCGGACTACACGAAGAGACAGCCTCAGACACGCAAAGCTCCACCGCGGAACAATTCCAGCGAAAACGCCTGTGGTAAGTGCAAGACATCTATCATACTCGACACAATAACCTCCATTAACTCAAACTCCAGGTGGATGCTGTTATGGCAAGATACTTTCCTCTCCTTCACCTACGACCGCCCACCAAACACAAACAAGTTAAACAGTAGCATCCCCCACGACCCAGATTCAGGCCCAGATCGCTCCTTCGCAGAATGTCTGCGCCATATGCCAAATCCTCCTCGAGCGCGCACGACAAGATAACACTGAAACCCTCACTGAAACTTTATCCTTTAAAAGCCGAATGGCAGCTATATCCAAGGACGCCGCGCCATTTCTCCGCGATAAAGCCCACTGTCGCAGCCTGCAAGATCATCTCGAGCGTCTAGCCCTGAATATCCACATTTGCTACACAATCTGTCGTCTCTGTCGGCTGATCCTGGAGTCTGGGTCCATTGAAGCTCATAACCCGGCTATAAATGCTGATTCCATCAAGGTGGAATGCATTGACTGCGCTGCTCAGGCTGTTCAGAGTTTCTTAGATATGCACCGTCTTGCGGCGACAGTATGTCGCTCATGGGCGTTTGTTCATAATGCTGTTAGCTGTGCGCTCACTCTCCAGAACTTGGTGGATTCTAGTCTGCAGGGTTCACGTGCTGATGTGCTGGTTAAGCGCTTGATTGTCGTTTTGGAGCGCGAGGAACAGCAGTCTGTGTGGGAGGATACGGATACTAATTTGAGGTACTTTGGTCCATATTCTCGGGCCTTGAAGGCCTTGCGGGAGACTAGTGATGGCCAGTGAACATATGAGATATTCATGCGGGGAGGATGAGGGGGCTGATATGAGAATACGAGGGGAAATGGGGAGATTCTTAATTTTTATTGATGTATCACTGGTTTTACAAGAAAAGTCTCTTGCATAAAGTATATGCTCTTTTTACCACCTTTACATTCATTTATAAAAACATCTAAAAGGACATCTAAAAGGACATCTAGAAAGACATCTAAAAAGAGACCACAAGGCCGCATAAGCGGCCGACTATGCTTATAATAGACGAACAAAGAAGATTCGGTTAGCATCACAATTTCCGGAACTGGGGTGCTGATTGCAGATGGAAATATTACAATCGATTCCTATTCTAAGGTTTCCTTTCGTTGCAGACGTCGTAAGATATCAAATGTTCAACCCGTAAATTCTTTTATACGTAGCATTACGTACCATCTAGTCTAATGAACAAATCAATCTATCTCAACGCCAAACTAATCTAAATAATACGGCTTCAACACTTTAAGCAGCGGCAGGTCTCTTCTTAGCGCGAACGTAGAAGTTCAACGGCCGAATCAACTGGAACTCAGGATCATACTCGATAGCCTCAAGACCCTCACGGGTAAACTCATAGCGCGAGACAAGCTCCGACAACAAGATCTTAACCTCAAGCAGCGCAAAGTTGAATCCAATGCAGCCACGGGGACCGGTAGCGAAAGGAATATAAGCGCAACGATGCTTGTTCTTAGTCTCCTCACCGGTCCAGTAATCAGGATCGAACCGGAAGGGATCGCGCCAGACTTCTGGGTTGGTGTGGATACTGTACAGGTTGGGAACGATAACACTGTCAGGAGGCAGGCGGTATCCACCGGGCAGCACGACCTCGGTTTTTGTCGTACGGCCGGGCTGAAAAGAGGCGTTGTGCAGGCGTTTAGTCTCCTTGATGAAACAGTCAAGGAAGCTCAGGCTATGGGCAAACTCGGGTGTCCAGTCGATGGGCTTTTCAGTGTTGGCGACACCACGCTCACACAGTTCCTCATAGAGACGGTCTTGGGCGCCTTCGTAGGTAACGAGGCAGTAAAGGAGCCATGACATCAGGGCTGAGGTGGTTGTGAAACCGGCGCCGGTGACAATGAGCATATTTGCAACGATCAGGCCTTCGGGAAACTTTTGGCCGGTTTCGTCGACGGTGTTGAGGAGGTAGTTGACTACGCAAGAGGCTTCGACTGCGGCTTGGTTCATGGGCATACCATCAATTCCAGAGCCCTTGACTAGGTCGATCTTCGCCTGGAGGAGGGTGTAGATTGTGCGTTGGACAACCCTGAGACGCGCGGGATCGCCAAAGGGAAGGTGTCGGTACCATTCACCTCGGGAGGTGATTTTCTTATTGAGAGACAGCAGACTGGTGATGTTGGTGACGATCGGATGCAATGGGGCGTCAACATCAGTGAAGTGTTCAAAGTCGGTGCCCAAAGAGAATTTTCCAATGGTTTGCGATGCAAGCTTCACCATGTACTGGTAGGCGTTCCAAGACTTGCCGCAAGAATCGAGCTCATCAAATACTGCGAATGACTGGCGCACACACTCCTGCATCAATGGTGTATAGTGGCGCACTGCCTTCGGACCCATCGCTGGTGGCAAGAACTTGTGAGCCAACCGCCAGTTCTCAGTCTCGGTATCTCCGATGAAGATTGCTGTGTTGTCCTTGACACCCCAGAGAGGGTGGTTCTCGTTGATCTTTCTGGTCATGTAGACAGATTCAGCCAGGGCAACGGCTGCCAATTCAGGGCTATCGGTCAGGTATGTTGTCTTGCCCATATTAGTAGTTTTGATAACATGGCCGTATTTGCGGAAGAGTCGGTAGTGGTTGCCCAGATGATCAGGGAAGATCTCATAGAAGCTACCCACAAGTGGAAGACCCTCGGGACCTTGGGGGCTTTGGACTGCCTGTCCATCGACACGGAGGCCGATCGGTGTAGTGTGTGATGAGACTGCGCTAAGTATTTCCTCTGCCAAGGAGAGTTCTTGTTCGTTTTCTCCGTGGTGAAAAGTCAACCCTGATCACTTCAGCATAAGCTCATGTATAGGGACTGGAAACACATACCAAGTGGTGCGGCGACATTAAAAACAGCTCCCACCGCGCGCTTAACGTCTTCGATCTTCCATTTAGAATCGAGAGTCACAGACTGCGCTGTAGATATGTCATCTCCGATTAAGTAGAACATGGTGCTCATCTGACAAGCATGAATTTCAGTTAATATTTCAGAGAATAATCCATTTCAATACCATCTCGCAAGATGTACACCCTTGAGCTACTGAGGCATTCGAAGAGACTGGTCACTCTGACGAAGCTCTTGACGAGTTGGTGCCATATTACGTTGGCGATATCTTAGAAATGACATCGTCCTAAACCCTCGGATATAAATTACATTCTTCCTCCACGCTTCCAGAAGAATCACCCCAAGGGATCGACCAATATTGAGTCATTAACAGTCAATATCAAGTGGAGTTGAGCGGTTAACATGGTGGCGACGAAGTGTGCCAGGGACTCTACTCCTAGGTACTATTAACCACCATTTTACAGTTGATGATTGTAGTACCGGGGCGCCAGGGTCCCGGGAGTGAAATTGAGGGGCTAGGGGTCTACTACCATCTATGTTAGGTTATAGGCTGTATATTTACGTTGTACATCCACATAACGATACATAATTTGACCAATGTAGCCAAAGTCCTGGCACATTTCATCACTTCATCGCTAGTAACAGCAACAGTTCCAGGGCCTTAGCTCAACAAAATGAATTGTGGTGGAGAATCCTCAAGGTTGTTTATTCCACACATTCTGCAAGTTCCTCCGAACTGTTTCCATTATGATTCCGTGGCGATTCCGTTACGAATCCGAGCCGAAGAGTGTACTACCACCACCCGAACTCTCTCGGGGATCCAGAGTAGATCCCGAATCTACCTCTTCAAGGTATTCTATTGGCGTTGACAACACTACAGGACAGCCGTGATGTCCGCGAGCCTTTCTCTTTCTTGGAAGCTCGTACCAATGATGCCGGCTTCCGGTGGCGGAGCCCTAACATATCCAATGACCATGGGATGGTATAGTGCGAGCCGAAGTGCATAGAAGGCCTCTGGATGGATGCCATTGTAAATGCTGATCTTGGATTAAAAAGTATATAACATATAAAGAAGCCTATAATCAACTGCCACCTTGGTGATATTTTCATCCACGCTTTCTTTCGCCCTCAACGTCATATCTACATACTTTTTATATACCAACACACATCTATATTGCCACCTCCTTCCTTTCATACTCCTACCTACCTATCTACCTACATACAAAATGGGTGTTAAGCCCAGAACCGACCGCCCTGTTGCAGTCATCGGCGGCGGCGTCCTCGGCCGCCGCATCGCCTGTGTCTTCATCGCTGCTGGCTACCGTGTCCACATCCGGGATCCCTCACCGGCGGCTCTACGTGACGCAGCGGAGTACGTCGATCACCACAAAGCCGAGTTCTCGTTGATGCCACGCATTACCAAGGCACGCGAAGAAGATGCCGAGGGGAAGGGAACTAATCCCAAGGATGGGACCTCCATTTCCCAGGTTGACCTCGAGTCGCATACTTCCGCGCCCTACGGTATCTGCAAGACTTTCACCGAGCTCGAGTCCGCTGTTTCTAATGCTTGGTTGATTATCGAGGCTGTCCCTGAGGTGCTGCAGTTGAAGATTGATACTTTGGCGGACTTGGATAAGCATGCCCCCGCGGATTGCTACATCGGCTCAAACAGCTCCTCTATGAAGTCAGCCTTGATGCTTGTCAAGGTCTCCTCTAAGCGCCAGCGCAAAGTCTTCAATATTCACTTCGCTATGCCTCCTTCAATCCGCATGGTCGAGCTGATGACCTGTGGTAAGACCGATCCCGAGATCTTCCCTTACTTGGAGACTGTCCTGGGCGAGTGTGGCATGTTGCCAGTGACAGCTCGCCGTGAATCGACCGGGTATGCATTGTACTATAAAAAAATAAGATAAAGTCCCTTATATCAGCACAGCAGACTGACTCAATACCCGTATAGATTCATCTTCAACCGCATCTGGGCATCAATCAAGCGCGAAATCATGCAAATCCTCTCCGAAGGCGTCAGCGACCCTAGCGAAATCGACCTACTCTGGGAACACATGTTTAGGAATGGCCCTCTCCCCTGCCAACTGATGGATCAAGTCGGTCTCGACACCGTCGCCTTCATCGAAGACAACTACATCCAAGAGAGGGGTCTTCCCTCCGCCTCAACCGTCGACTGGCTGCGCAAGGAATACATCCAGCAAAACCGCCTTGGCAAGAAGAGCGAAAAGGGCGGCCTCTACCCCCCACTCGCGAAATCCTCTACTGCAAAAGCAACCCCTGCAAGCCCACACAGTGCCGCAAAGGACATCTACCTACTGGACGTAGGACTCGGCGGAAACGCAAAGGATGTCTCGCAGGTCCACTCCAACGGCAAAATCCTCCGCCTCAACCTCGCAACCCAGAAACTCACCCCCGTCGTCGTCGGCCAGAACCTGCCCGATGGCATCGACGTGTCATTGGACGCGCAGCGCATCTTCTGGACGAATATGGGCCGCAGCACGGCGGCATGCGATGGCTCCGTCTGGTCCGCTGATATGGAAGGCGGCGATATGACGTGTCTTATTCCTGTTGGACAGGTGCACACGCCCAAGCAGCTCGCGGTTATCGAGTCGCGGAAACAGATTTACTTCTGTGACCGCGAGGGAACAAGCGTGCATCGTTGTGACTATGATGGGAGTAACCACATTATCCTTGTACAGCGCCGTGCGGAGCCGGGTACCAGTCTGTTAGAGCAGATGACGCTTTGGTGTGTGGGTGTTGCTGTTGATGCCGAGCGCGGTCTCTTGTACTGGACCCAAAAGGGGCCATGCAAAGCTGGTCGTGGTCAGATCTTCTGCGCTGGCTTGAATATTCCTGCTGGTGAGACTGCCGAGAATCGGACTGACATTCGGCGTCTGTGGAATAATCTCCCTGAGCCTATTGATATTGAGTTGGATAGCGAGAGTCGGACTCTGTACTGGACAGATCGTGGCGAACACCCTTTCGGATGCACGCTGAACCACGCGTATGTGGGTGGTGAAGAGATGGATATGGAGAAGGTTATTCTGGCACGTCACTTCCACGAGCCTATTGGCTTGAAGTTGGATAAGGCGAACAACATTGTGTATGTGGCTGACCTGGGTGGTAGCTTGTACTCGGTTTCATTGGAAGATGGACTTAAGACTGAGCTTGTGCGCAATGATGTTTGCTACACTGGTTTAACACTTGTTTAGAGAGACATGTGAATCATGCATAGAACAGATTTCCTGTTGATTCTGCCCCTGTCTCAGTGAAGAAACCCCCACACAACATGGGGGTTGCAACGAAGCCTAAGAAAGTAATAAAGTAATAAAGTAATAATACTCCGTTGATACTCCGTCGAACGTTGCATTTCGAAGATCTTATCTGCAGGCAACCGTGTTCTCGTAGCGATCGTAGCGATATGACGATGTGGCTGGGGCTGATAGATCCTTCAGACCCCTTAACCCTAATTGATTCCGCCATGTTGCTTACTAGTTACTCCGTAGTTGACACGATATATGCACAACTGAAACAGACTAAAGTAATACAACCTGAAGGAAATGTCACCCTTTTTCCCCTCTCCCCCTCGATCCATTCCTGCACAAGTCAGGGACTGTCGATCCCCCGTTGATCGCGTCTTTCACATTCCCATAGACACTGCATCTACTACTTACAAGACAACCATCCATCCCACCCCAAATTTCATAGGTTGCAACAACCTACCAAACTATCTAAAATGCATTTCCAAACCCTTCTACCCATCCTATCTGCTTTAGGGACCACCTCAGCAGCCATTGCCTCCAAACCAGCCCACCTCTGGGCAACCCACTACAATGGCAATGTCTACAGCCTAACCCTGAAGAACAATAACCTCTCACTATCGCAAACCCTCAACACCTGCGGTGATATGCCAAGCTGGTTAACTCTGGATGCGCACACCCGCACTGTCTACTGCTCTGACGAAACTGGCACTGCCGATGCTTCGACGCACGGCTCGCTCACGGCCCTGCATGTCAGACCCGACGGTACGCTGCGTGAAGGTGCCGTCGCAAAGACTGTCGGTGGCGGTGTTAATAGTGTTATCTATGAGTCGGATGCCGGAAAGAAGTTTCTTGCAATTGCGCATTAGTATGTTTTTTGGTTTTTTGTTTTTTTCCCCTTTTTTTTGTTTTTCTTTCTTGCCTACATTCCAAGGAATTAGGTTTTGCCCTGCGTTGTTGGCTGGGTCATTGTGAATGTGGGCCGGTACTAACAATCTAATAGCGAGGGCTCAGCCATCTCAACCTTCGCCCTACCCATCAAACAAAATCAACCAGCCCAGCAAGCCTTCCATTTCAACTTGACCAGGCCGGGCAAAGTCGCCCAGCAGGACTCGCCCCACCCGCACGAAGTCTTCCTCGACCCGACCGGCTCGTTCATCGTCAGCCCGGACCTGGGTGCGGATTTGCTCCGCGTGTACGCGATCGAAGACGGCCCGTCGGGAAAGCTCTCAGAGTGCCCAAGCCTGAACATTACCTACGGCAGCGGGCCACGACACGGCGTGTTCTGGACTGATGGCACTGGCCGGTCGGCTGGAGTTGGGTCGACGCATTCGCGGAAGATAGCGGCTGTCGGCGAGACAATGTTGTATCTTGCTAACGAGATCGGTGGTACGATCATGGTGTTTAATGTTTCGTATTCGAGATCTGGGTGTTTGTCTTTTGAGAAGACGCAGACGCTGGTGCCATACCCCGGAGGTGTTATGCCCGAGGGTGCGACGCCGGCTGAGATTAGCAGGATCGGGAATGAGATTTATCTTTCGATTCGCACTGATCAAGGGTTCAAGCCAAGCGATTCAATGGTTGTGCTTGATCGGTCACCGGCGGATGGGTCGGTTAAGGTGCGGGACTCGTCTTCTGCATTCGGGAAGGTGCCGCGGACTTTTGTGATTAATCGGGCCGGGGATCTGGTTGCCATTGGGAATCAGGCTTCTGCGACGGTTGCAATCGTGCGCCGGGATCCGAAGACGGGGAATCTGGGCGAGAAGGTTGCTGTTCTACAGGTTGGTGAGCCTGGGAAGGTGGGGACTGCGGAGGGTCTCAGCAGTGTCATCTGGGATGAGTAGATTGGTAGTTATATAAATCAAGAATTGGATGGCGTGGGAGGACAGGATGCCTCCCACGGGCCACAGCTCTTTTCTATAAACAGCGCGACAGGATGAAATCATTGCAGTACAAGTTCGCATCACATGAAAAACTTGAAAGAGCTTAAAAAGCATGTACCTCATGACCAAAAGATATGTCCACATGAACCAGAATGCGGAAAGAAAGAAAATGTAGACCTTTGAATGTTGAAGACCAGCTTCTTCGGGTTTTTGACTGTCGGAAACCTGCACCGAAAAGACCTGGCCTAGAAAAAAAGAACCAACTCCTGCAACATCGTCTGGATGATGGATCTTGCCAGATCGTAGTGAAAAAAAGAAACCCAGAAAAGCCGATCGAATGATGAAGAATAAATAACAACATAAGAATGAACGTGTATCAACCATCAGTCGTAAAATGCGTAATGCCAAAAATGTGGGCCGTCTTATTGAGGTCGTTCACTTGATGTCGATTTGGAAGGCTTTCCATTTGCCTCCCACCGTTCGGCATCGTGGACACCCGCGAGGACCAGGGTAACTTGTTGGTCCTTGTGATGGACCATTATTCAATGGTCCATTCCCTGGAGTTCGGAATGAAGTGGGCGGACTTGAAATGAACATACCCACACAGTCGCGGCAGACTCCACAGATGCACTCCGTACAGGCATAGCACTCATTCAGTGCCGAGGGCCGTTTGCACTGAGCGCAAAATACCTGAACCTCTTTGTTGCGGAAAGATGCCGGGGTAGGATTGGAGAATCGATGTTGCTGGCGCTGGGAAATGGACGGGATAAGATTCATAACCGGGCTCGAATCAGAGTTTATAGACGGCGCAACTCCCGAAACCGATGATGCGAAATTTCTGCCAGATGCTGAAGACATGGAATCGAGCGATGATTCAATAGATGGGAATGGTTCCAAGTCGCTCTCACGGCTGCGGTGGTTCTCGTATGGTGGTGGGGTCAATGATTTGTGCAAGGGCGAGGCGGCGTATGAATGCGGTGGGAATGGCCGATGGGAAGTGATAGGAGGCAATCCTGCAGATTGGAAAGCGGGTGGTAGCGAGGACCGATTTTTCACCCCAGAGGGGACAGACGTCACGTTGGAAAGTAGTGGGGCAATCGTTGGCGACCGACCAGCCTGAATTTGGCGCATCAGCACCGAAAAAAAACCCCCAGAATTTCATTCAAACTCACCTCTGAATAAGGCTCATCGTCTACTTCGGTTGCTGACGTCGCGGCTTCTATCAAATCCTCCCAACGCTTGCCTTGCGCCCACGCCGCAGTTTGCGGCTCTGCTGAAAGGGCTTTGCGATCCCCGAGGCTTGGTCGCCGCCCGAATTCCTTTGACTTGGGGCGATCCTGCTTGGGTTTGCGGGCAGATTGAGTGATGGAAGATTTGCGCGGGCGGCAAAACTTGTCTCTCCGCTGGATTGGCGGTAATGTGGATGAGCGACCGGGCGGGGAGTGATTGAGGATGGATGGAAGAAGCTCGCGAGGACGAGGGGTAAACGGCGGGAGAGATTCCTGCTTGAAATGGTCACGGAGTGGGGGAAGTTCAATAGCTCCACGCAAGCGGGGATGACTCAAGTCGGTATCCGAATGGGTATCCTGGGGAAATGCGGGTCAGTGCCACCGTGGAGAGACTCAAGGGTCGAAGCCCACAACAGCCCGGAGCGACAAACCATGTCTGTATCCCAATCTGAGGCCAGTCGATGATGGTGCAGTTGTGCCAGAGCAACCGCCGCAGTGGCCGCAGCTGGGTGGGGTTCATCCAGAGCTCGAGGGGTAGCCGGGGAGCCATCCGCGACATAGATGTCCCTCTCCGGCGCCACATCTGTGAGTAGCCGTCAGTATGTGTGGCGAGAAATCAAGACCAGAAAAGGAGAAAGAGAAAAAGAAAAAAGAAAAAAAGAGGACTGACCATGAGGTCGCCGGGGTTGAGCGGGTTCGGGGGGTGACAGCTGCACCCGTTGCTCGAGCGGGGTGTTCACCATCATCAGGAAGCTCTCCTCGGTAGCCGGGAGCTTCGGGATGTAGTGGTTCGGATGCGCACGTCGAATATGCTCCTGCATGGAGCGATAGCGTTTTTCCTAGAGCACCAACCAGATTAGTTCAAGTTGAACTCCAGAGTTGCACGGGGGTCATATAGCTTTCGCAAGGTGATAAGGTGGGGTTCGGGGCAAATACTCACACCCAGGCATCTTTTGCGACAATTGGAGTTATCATTATTCTTCAAGGGACAGACCACCTCATTATTGGCATCGGTTACCGAGAACGAGCTGGTCAGTGAGCTTCGAGGAGGCATGGTGCATATGTTCATCCGAGATCCCGGGAGTTGAGACAAAAAAAAGGAGGGGCGAATAAAGAGGTCGAGCACAGACAAGGTTGATGTGAACAATAGACAGAAATGCAGTTCAACATGCTCTGGTAAAAGAGAAGAAGGGAAGAATTGGAAAAGGGTAAAAAAGAGGAAACGGAAGAGAGGGCGGCTCATACATTCAGAGAAGTACTTGGGAGGGCTTGTGGGAGTCACTGGGGGTATTACGGGTAATTACGCAGACTTCGCCTTATTCTATTTTTTTTTTTGCCCCGTACTTCTTTTTTTTTTCTGTTATTTCTGTACGTATATGTATATTCTATTCTAAATGTTATAGAAGTAGTTCAGGGTAGCTCTATTAATTCTAGTCAGGAACAGCTTTTATTCTTACCTTTGAGATAGTTACTCCATGAGCTCACATACGTGGCTATCGTCCCTATCGAGTATCGATAACCAAAAAGAGGGGCGTACAGCTTTGAGCTTCCCTTGTAAAAAGAAAAACCAAAAAAAAGTATCCCGTTCTTGGAATGTTCCACGCTATTAAAATTGAAATTTAAAAAAAAGGGAAAAACGAGGGGAGGAAAAGAAAGAAAAAAAACGGAAACGGAAGAAACTGTACGGTACAGAGTGGTATTTAATATACCGAATCGCACGGCTTTTCGGAAACCCCGGTGGAACACCGAGCTCTAGCGATTTTCATTACTTTTTTTTTCTTTCACATTCTTTAATGTAGTATCCTTAGATGTTTCTAATTTGTTATTCGGACTATTGATAACATATCTCTAGATAGAGATATAATTTACAGCTCCGGACAAAAGGAAAGAAAAGAAAAAAATAAAATACGTCGCGATAGGCGCTATCAGCGGCCCCTCCGAAGCTCTCCCCAGCTCCTGAGCTTCATTCCAGAAGGGAGGGAAGCTCCGGGTGGCGAACTAGCGCCACGTTACAGTGTAATATTACATGTAATATTCAATTCCACGGTTATATTTTTCGAATTTTATAGTTACAACATCCATATGTACATGTACATAGTACATAGTACACAGTAACGACCTATTCTAAGATTGAATATTAAATAGTTATAATGCGGAGTATATAATGTAATAAAGCAAAGGGGAGGTGGGTTCATACTCACATTGTATGGCAAGCGCGTGACTCCTATGCCCTACCTAGTGCACGGGGTACTTCCATAACCCTGCACTACTATATATCTTTCAAGTATTCCCCAAGTGCCTGTATCAGCTCCGATCTCCTCCGTTTGCCCTTAACTCTGTTAAGGCACAGCTTTCCAGATTATTTACATTTTACCCCTAAATACCCTGTATAACCAGTTGCCGATGAAGAGCATCCCAAAGCAGCCTGATTGGCCCCCAATCCCCACCGAGTCGCAATTACCTTCATCCTTATTGGTCTAACTCTCACGCCATCCCGGTTCTGGGTGGCCGTGCAGGGGGGATCAACGGAAAAGTCTGAGATTTCAAGGTCGAGGTTTTGGTATGCTGTACTCCGTACTCCCGTACGGAGTACAGAGTACATTGTATCAACTCCTAGCGATGTCTGACACTATAACACTAATAGTAAATAGAATATACAAAATAAGATACTAAATAGTACATTAAAACTGTAATCAGACCTTTACACTATCTATCCATTGGAAATGTCAAGCATGTCACACTCCACTTAATATGACAAGGTGGGGAGAGCTTGCGAGTCGAGACTTTCTGGCTAACACAATGTATCTTATCGTCGCTTAGAATTCATACATACTTTGTAAGTACAAAGTAAGGTCTAGCTTTCATGCAAGTCTATAATTATATCAACTCCATACTTTGTACGGAGTACATCTATTCCGATTTCCGATCTCGATCTAAGAACTATGACCATTGTACCTTGTAATCCGATTTCCTTGTTTAAACATTAATCCCTTTCTGCAGACCAACATACCAACTACGTCTCAGCCATGCAGGGTCCAACATCATGGTAACTCAGTGTGTCGCCACTAAGGGGTGGCTGAGTGACCACGAACTACAACATACCTATAATTGCACACTCATAAATCCCACTCGTGACCTATGCTCCGCATCACCTGAAACCCTTGCCGCGCGGTTCACAAGGGATTCAAACTCGCCCAACTGCAGAAATGCAGAAATTCAGAAATACAAAATGCAGAAACCAGCTCGGACACAAAGTCTCCAATACGTGATACGTGATAGAAAAGTGTCACTCTCCAACAAATACCGCACAATACGTGCATACATATCCACGCATCGTCATATCTTACTCCGACCGTAAACCACCCCCCCAAAAAATCAATCCAGCGGAGGTGTAATAATACCAGTACCACCACCATCACCCATCAAATCCCCATCCTCCCCAGCAAAGAACAATAAAACCGCCTCAGCAGCAGCCTTAGCATCATCATCATCCTCCAAACCAGGAACGCGTGAGCGATAAATGTGCTCTAAATACTCTGCCACAAAAGTCGCCGACCAACCAGCGCGACGCCCAAACTCCTGCACAAGCTCCCCATTGACAAAAGTGTCAAACTCAAAGTGACCCTGATACGTCAAGACCCGGCCGGGGTTATAAAGACCCTGGATAGCGCACTGCGCACTACTCCCGATACTAGACCACGGCGCTGGCAGCGAGACTCCCGTCTGGTCCGCGGCAGCTTCAGCCTCGGGCGTCGGCACAACTGCGTCACCGTGAACGAGCTGGATGCGGAATGGGTTCTGAGCCGTGGCACGCGCGAGAGGTGGGAAGTGCGCGGTGAAGGAGGGCTGGAGGGTGATAGGTTGGATGCCCATTTCGAAGCCAGCGGGCGAGGGTGCAACATGGAATGTTGATTTCGGTGGGTTGTTGGGATTTGCTTTGGTGCTGAGGAGGGATTGGGCGATTATCTGGTGCCCGAAACAGGAGCCAAAGAGCTTTATGTTTGGGTAATGGGTGTGCACTGTTTGGATGAAAGATTGCATTGCGTGGATCCACGGTTGATCTTCGTAGGCTGAGGACGCTGAGCCCGTGATTAGGATTGCATCTATTGGGCTCAATGGCTCGCCGGCGTGAGGCTCGGCTGGGGACTGTGGGTTGGTTCGTAGAGTTTCCAGAGGAGGTAGGGACCCGCCTACAGCATCGAAGGCCGTTACATGAACGGCAAGAGGTCCTTTCTGGAGTGTTTCTGGGGTTTTATTCAGCCGCTGAGCAGCTGCTTGCAGGAGGACGCGGAACTGCGAGCTGTATAGACCTCGTGCTTTGTATACTGAGAGGCAGGGAATGTCGGCGTCTAACACGGCCACGTGGATCTTGTGTTGGGCCATGGGATTGGATATCCTCTATTCAAATAAGTACAATGTACCAAATAAAAGAATATGATATTTGAGTCTACAAATATGAAAATTGAAAATGTTCCATGTCAAAGGGCGCTCGCATCCCCACGCCCGATAAGGATTCTGAGTAATCCGGTGGGGGCGTCCCAAAGAGGAAATCGAATCCTTGTCTGCAGATGACCCGACAAACGACATCAGAAGAGACAACGGCATAAGACAACTTAACTCAAGAAGAGTTGGAAGGGAAAAGTAAGAAGAAAAGAAAGAAAAAGCGGTTGAAATAGTCCACCCAAAGACCATTCATTAATAAGTACAGAATCAAAAAGTGCGAGAGCAACCATCTTTGTGCAATATTTGAAGGCTATATAAGAAGACCAGTACTTTGAGATATATCCATGGGTATATAGTGAGTTATCAATTGAGAGAGAAGAGAGTGGTTAAGAATCAACAGATCTCTACCATGTGCTTCCCCGAGCCCTAAGACCAACCCATATTTAAGGTAAAACGTGAAGAAAACCTAAAAACTCTCGCCCGATAGATTAATCACATGTAACAGAATTCCAAGGTTGATAGATGAGATCTGCCTGGAGCACTTCTTCTTTTGGATCTAAACAACCCGACCAGCCGGTTCATGCACGACGTACTCCGTACAAGACTGCCGGTACGATCGGTTGTGGTCAGAATATGTTGTGCTAGATAATAATGGATAACCTTAGTCTATCGGCCGAGACTGTGACTGGTTGGATGGTTGGATGTTAGAGATGTGCAGTATACTCCATAATAGATATGTACCTATTTTTGACTATGTAGATATGTGAATAGGGAGTAGAATCTTGTACCCCCTTATTTGAACGTCAATTGCTAATATTACTACCAACTACATAGCAATTTACCATCTTTCTATCTTCTTTATACTGTTAATTCTTCTACAACATAGTTTTATTCATATGTACATTCTAAATATCTACGAAGCCCAATATACGTGATCCCCCACTGCCATCACAACATCCAACCCCGCAAATTGCGCCATCCCGGCCCTTCAACCTCCAATCAGCTTCATTGCTTTTAGTTGCGGCACTCATTCCGCTATACAACCTTGGAAGATTATACTAAAGAATACTATGTTGTATGTTGTGTTTCGTAAAATTATCCCTCGTCACGCCATATAGTCCACTACATTGCTCACCAATTTACTGAGAACTGACAGAATATAAATAACCAAAGGCCCTGCATTTAGTGCTTCACATCTGTACATCATATTCCCGTTAATAATGGCTCCCGCTGCTACCTCCTCTCTCCCAGCTGCCCCTCACGACCTCACAGGGCCCATCTCATGGGATCTGTTCCCAGATGGACTGAAAACTACCGGCCAACATCCCCCACTATACGACCACATCATCCCCTTCGAAAAGTTCCCCAAACAAATCGACGGCCCAACAGTCTGGAAGGCCGAGGACTACCGCGAGAACCCAGAAAAATGGACACACGTCTTTACCCAGGACCAGATCGATGAGCTGAGCACAGCATCGGATGCTTTCCTTGCATCCAAGACCCCGCTCACTGGCATTTCCAAGGTGAGAACAATACAATCCGTATCTAGAAGACTTATGAACCAACAGCTAACCAATAACTTTGATAGACCAACTTCCAACTGCCCAGTCTAGCCGCCTACCTGAACGACCTGCGCGCAGACCTCATTGACGGCAAGGGCTTTATCCTCTTCAAGGGCTTCCCCGTCGAGAAATGGGGCAATCACAAGTCCGCCGTGGCATACATGGGTCTCGGCACATATCTCGGCTACTTCGTCAGCCAGAACAGCCGCGGTCACGTCCTCGGCCACGTCAAGGATCTCGGCGAGGATTCGACCCAGATTGATAAAGTGCGCATCTACCGCACCAATGCTCGGTGAGTTTCGTTTTCAATGGATGCGCAAGCAACGCAAAGCAAGCAATCCACTAACAACCCAACCCAGCCAATACTTCCACGCCGACGACTCCGACATCGTCGGCCTCCTCTGCATCGCCAAGGCCCTCGAAGGCGGCGAATCAGACCTCGTCTCCTCCCACCACGTCTACAACACCCTCGCCGTAGAACGCCCAGACGTTCTCAAGACCCTCACCGAACCAATCTGGTACTTCGACCGTAAGGGTGAGACAAGCAAGGGACAGGAAGATTACATCCGCACCAGTGTGGTGTACCTCGAGCGCGGTGAGAAGGGACGTGTCTACACAAAGTAAGTTTCACCAGCCCCCTCCAACTCCGATACTCGTATCTAATAGTAATACTAGATGGGACCCATACTACGTCCGCTCCCTCGGCCGCTTCAGCGACGCAGGAATCATCCCCCCTCTGTCAGACGCACAACAAGAAGCCCTGCGCGTGCTGGAAGAAACCTGCGTCCGCTTGTCGCTGCATATGATTCTCGATATTGGTGATATTCAGTTCTTGTCGAATGCGCACGTTCTGCATGCCCGCACCGCATACACGGATCATGCGCCCCCTGCCCCGCGCCGCCATCTGATGCGTCTTTGGTTGGCGACGCCTGAAAGTGAGGGTGGGTGGAAGTTGCCGTTCTGGGATAGTAATGAGAAGAAGAGGGGTGGAATTCAGGTTGATGACCAGGCTCCTGTTGCGCTTTTGGATGCGGAATGAGGCTTGGTTTGCTGTGGGCTTTATAGATTTGAATGATACCTTTTTTTCTTCTTTTTTTCTGGTTCTTTCCACGGATATATGGTTTTACCTAATTGGTCCAATCTATCATTCATAAATCATATTCTTTCAAGGGTATTTTGTACATCTGTTCCAGCAACGCCAAAAGAAGAAAGGAAAAAGCTCACACTTGATAGACGCCCCGTAGCTGATGCTAATGCACGATCTTGTAATTACCCCCGTTAACAATCTCCAACTTGCCCTTCGAAACCATACCACCCAAAAACTCGCGTAATTCCTCGTTGCTGAATGGGAACCCACCAGGAACGGCTATCTTCAGCATCATGACAATACGGGCCAGAGCCATAGGTCCTTGATTCGTGAGCATGCCCACAATAAACTGCCAATGCACATTCATTTTCTCCATGGCAGCCGCCTCGGCAGATTCCTTTGCGGCCGCGGCGGCCGCTGCTTCAGCCGCTGCGGCTGCGTTGGCCGTATCGCCTGCTTCGCTATCTGAGGCGTCGCTGAAGTCGCCGGCGGCGTGGGCATGGTGTTCCTCGTCTTCTGTGGGGAGAATTTCCAACACGCGGAAAGTGTCGCGGTGTACCTCGGTGAGGATGCGCTTGCTCACCCAGAAGAGACAGGCGCTGCGTACGAGGGGAAGTGTCATCTCGAGCTCTTCGGCGAGTTCCGGGATTGTTCTTGTGGCGGGTTCGCTCGAGTCAGACTGGAAAGCATAGATTACGGTTGCTTGCCAGGTTGTCACCTCGTCTTTGAAGGTATGGTTTTCTAACTCCAGCTCGACAGTGACCTGCCCCAGGCCGTTGCGCCACATGAGCTTACGCGAGTCCTTGCGCCTTTCAAAGCAGGCCGCGTACCGCTCTTGCAGTTGAGTGATTTCATCAGGGACCTTGAATTCTTGTTCTTGGAACTCCGGCCAGAAGAAGCGTGATAGAATCTTAGCGTGAAGTTTTCCGACGCCTGCTTGCTTCCGATACCCGGACAATATCTGATCATTCCGTACGGTGAGGTCAAGACGTCGCGAGTCGGCGATATCTTTTAGCATCACCTCGCATGCCTGTAGTGCCGAATCCCCGAATCGGACCTTTAGGAGCTCTAGTACTGTAATCTCTTGGTCGTAGTTCTGGCGTTTCTGGACGAGGCGGTCTGCGAGCAGGGTCTGCATTTCTTTCACAAAGGTCTCCTTCGAGTCGAACAAGCTAACCAGACTGTCAATGACATCTACACTCTTCGACTTTTTGTAGTCGGGGGCGGCATCCACTGGATCGGGCATCCAGTACAAATCGTCATAGTCGAGCTCGCTCCTATTGTTTTGCATGGAATGCTGGTGGACCTTGGTCAGCTCTGCCGCCAGCTCTGACAAGGTGTCGCCGGTAGTTGTCGGTCCCTCAGCTGCCGCGGGGTCCGCCAATAGACCACTAACAATCACCTTGACGGTGTCATCGCGGTCTCTCAAGTAGCGCCGGATCGGTCGAGCGATGCGATCTAGCAGAACACCCTTGGGGTCCAAGATATGAAATGCTCGAATGATTGAGATGTAAACCTGCAAGATCTCGACTGTAGAAGCACCGGGATGCAGCAACCGCTGGAGCAAATTGATAGAAAAGAAATGTGTCACATATAATCGTGCTCCAGATGAGTTGTTTGTGAACCGTCGCAGATCCTCCACCGCCCCACTGCTTGCAGGCCAATCGACAACCACGTCAAAGAGCTCGCTAACTCGAAGCTTTCCAAGCCGGGCAATACCCATCGCTCGCCATTTTTCCACGTCGCGGAAGCTCACTTCCATCACCCCGGACTGGGTTCCAGAGGGATCAGAATGGATGATGGCCAGGACCTGCACAGCAAGCCGTGCATAGACATTTTCAACCCAATGTTCTAGGTGCTGCGGTGCGGTTGAGGGCGACTCCCACTCGCCGGCATACGCGGCTCGGATAAAGTCACCCATCATGATGTTCATCACATTGGCGAACACCTTCTGGGCCTGGTCACCGCCAAGCCCGACAAGCTGTAGCCCGTTGAGAAACGCCAAAAGTCGATCCCGTGCAATGGTCACGGAGCCATCTTCGCCCTCGACCATCATGTGTGTCTGGGCTTCAGGTGACTCGTGCCTCCAGTCCTTGTACGAGACAGAGTATGCCCGTTCCATCTCCGTGCCATCGAGACTCATTCTGTCCGCATCGGAATCTTCGTCCAGGGTATCAATGCCTAAAATGATTACAGCATCTTCCGTAAGCTCTCTGGCGAGAAGCGGTGAAATCTTCTTCCATGGTAGACTGTACTGGACGACCGTATGAAAGGCACGCTGTAGTTGAGCC